AATAAAAGTTATTTCTACTTGACCTTTATCTTATTAAAAATAAAAAATAAAAGCCAATTCGACCCAACTGAGTCTCTGTTCAAAAAGCTGAGTAAAAACAGCCGTCTGCGGGAAAAGTTGAGACGGAATATTTGATTGAAAGGTCGGAACAGCGAAAAATAATTCAAGAAAACATTGCGCTAACATGGCGCAAAATTCAAGAGCCAAGAAAAATGCAAAACCACGAGGTTCTTTTATTCTGTATGAATCGCTTTTCAAGAGCCTTACTTGACTAGAGATGATGTTTTTTAAGATTTTTTGACAATAAACATCGATGTTTTTTGAATTCTTGAATTCGAAGACAAAAAATTTGAGTTTCAATTTTTTTCTTAAAATTTTTGATATTTTATTTCAAAATTAAGAATTTTTTTCCTCAAAAACTTTGACTTTTTTTTTCAAATTTTTTGAATTTTTCTCCTCAAAAGTTAAATTTTATGTCTAGGAGATATTTTCGATGCAATTATTATATGGTATTATTTTTTAAAAATTATGATTTTATCCTCTGATCTCGCAAAAACGATCATTATTACCATGTCAAGCTGGCTGCGCTTAAAAAAAATTAATTTATATTTTTAGAACGGACTCAGCCGCAAAGATCAGTTCTATTTAGCAAACACCGAAAATGGCGATATTTAGAGGGTGGAGGGGCGAAATCAATCTGGGACCCAGCACTCGCGAAAATTACCTTGTCACATATCTACTCAAAATACCAAATTAACTTACGCATCAATACGTAGCCCGGCTTTGAATCGAATTCAAACTGAAGCTGGACAAATACAAATAGCTTCAAGTTCACATGTCAAGTGGCCAAACTTGTATTTTTTCGAGTAATCCAAATTTGACTATTTTGTATTTTGTTGTATTTTGAATTGGCTCGAATTGAGAGACAAAAAAATGTCCATGTTATTTGCGTAGCGTTTCTGTTTTTTCTTGATCTTGGTTGTTTAGCAAACAGTGTTCTATTCAATTTCAAAAGTTGCAAAAAAAAGACATAAAAATTCATGTAAAAGGTATTTTCTTAGGAAGTTCAAAGCAGCGGATTTTCGGACTAAACCAATAAATGGGATTTAATTTTTAGATAACCAATAAGATTGCTGTATTTGACCAAACGGCCAATCAAAACCTTGATCCATGAATTTACTTCCAAAAATGGTTTAAACCGGGTTTTCTGCCTGAAAATGAGGTTTTACCAATTTATGGAAATGATTTTTTTGATCAGGGTTTTGATTGGCCGTTCGGCCAAATACAGCAATCTTATTGGTTAACCAAATATTAACTTCAATAAATTGGTTTAGTCGGAAAATGATGAACAGGAGGGGTCCCCTTATTTAATTCCTGCGTCTCCTTAATTCTGTATGTTTCCACATAGTGGTCCAGCAAAGCCGAAAAAGCCGTTCTTTAGAAAGAAAAAGCAGTGTAATCAAGCCATGTAGCGCTTAAAAATTAACAGCGCGCGGGTCAAAAAATAAGTTCACCGGACACGAAAATGGGTGAAATTAGGATTCCGCTAAATTGGCACTTTGCTTTTTCCAAACTATCTTTCGGTCAATTATGTAATCAATCTTTTGTGGGCTCTTTTTATGGAGCTAATTGAATAAATGAAAGATTGCCAATCTTAGATTGGTCAATTAGGAACCGAGTTGTCGATAACACTTTTGGTCGCGAAAATGGCTTAAAAATTCATAAAAAAAGAACGCTGCGAAAAAAACGAGTCAGATCGATTAGCAATTCGAATTGAGTCCGGAACCCCGCCTTGGGGTCAGTTTAAGGTGACGCTGTCGATTCAAATGAAATATTTTAGGGAATTATGCAGCACACAATTATTGGATCAGCGCTCGACGCCTTTGGAACTTTGCTGGATTAACCTCGCGCGCGAAATTATTAAGTCATAATTTCATCGTTCGATCGAAAAAGGGAAAGACCATAATTGGAAGGGAGAGCCTTAATTGCAACATTAATAATTCAATGAACTTGTTTTTCATGGACAAAATTATCCGTTTCTTTCCTTCATTTCACGTCGAGAATAAGGGGGGGCTCTAAGAAAATAATTTTGAAAAAAAAATTGGAAAAGTCATCCGATTGACACCCTTATTTTGGGGTGGCGTCAGGGACCGACAAAAAATTTCGACAAATTTCGGGTGCAAATTTTAACCAATCAAAAGCCCGGACTCGGAGAATCGGCCAATCGACAGCCAAGGAGCCGCCCACGCAAAATTTGTCGAATTTTTTTGTCGGGCCTTGACGCCAACCCTAAATAAGGGTGTCAATCGAATAGTTCTCAAAAAAAAATTATTTTTATGGCTCATCCCTTAAAAATTGTTGAGCGGATAAAACAAAATTAAGGGTCCAATTAAACAGTGCAATTAATCCCTTCCTATCCCTGTTTTTGAATGAAGGGGTACTCGAGGGGTGAGGGGTTATAATTTAGCTGAACACTCGTTTTCGTGGTTAAGAATTTCCCATCAAGTGGGTTGACGAGTACTTTTGCCGGATAAGACAAGTGCTGGGTGTAGTTCTCCCCCCATCATGTTTCTAAGTTGTTGACTTCCGTGGCTACAATTCGCGACAAGAATGGGAGAAGAGTACACTTTAGGCACACAAATAAAGAAAATAATGAAAAAAGAAGGGGTGCTTTGAAACTTCCGATTTTCGATTAAGGGTCTATCCTCCGAAATTGACAGTACCTTAAATGATAATACAGTTGATCTGGACAACCTGAGTAGAAAACCTGAGTCAGGATCTTGCAATTTCAAGGACCCTGAGTCAGGTTTTCTTGACACTTTGTTGCAGTCAATTTCGGAGGTGAGAGCCTTAATTTTCATTAAATTCCCCACGATGTGTCAATAAAACCTTAACCCTAGTTTTGAACCAGTAAAAGTGTCAAATAAACATGCCAAATTTCCCCCAGCCGGACAATTCCGAGCTCATCAAAATTTCATCCATCAAAATTTCCCGACTCGTGCCAGCTTGGACTTTGTGAATTTAGCACTTAGGTCCTACGACGGCGATTTTTATCGGTTGGCTAATGGGGTCATATTCTCCGGCGAAAAAGGGAACAAAAGGTCGAAACGGGTAAATGGGCATTTTTTGGCACGTGGCGGGCTATTAGCTGCGCGAAATGAGCTTGATAACCTTATCGCAGTCTGAAGAAATGAGGCTGAGCTTTTTCGAACCGAATTTGGGGATAATTTATAATAGGAAATGGAATGGCAAAGTCATAAACAAGAAAAAAGGGTATCACTTCAGAGAAAATCATGATTTTTTGAGCAGAATTTTCTTGCTTTTTCGTAGAGAGACCCTTATTTTCTTCAACAATCCTAAGCAAACTCCTCGATAGTCGAAGAAAATAAGGGTATCACTACGAAAATTATAAAAAAATCTCGTTGAAAAATCAAGATTTTTCTGAAGAGATACCCTTATTTGTTGCTTTTGACTTTGCCATTCGATTTCCTATCATGAGTCTTCCCCTAATTCGGCTCCAAAAAAACGTATTGTGGCCGAATTAACCCAACAATGTTGCTTAGATTGCCTTTCAGACGAATTAAAAATGTATTTTCCATCTATCTTCAAGTTTAAGTGCCAAATAGCTCTACTCATCATCAATTAATTTTTATCAAAAACAACTCATTTTCAAGAGCAAAACTTGAATTCATCAATTTTAATGTCCTTTTTTTCAAAATATTTATTTCCTCCTCTTTTTTCTGAAAAAATGAATGAAAATATTTTTTTGATTATTTTTCTTTTTGCTCCAAAAAATGTCGAACATGATGTTCGACGAGTTTTTTTTAACCGAAAAGACTCTGAATTGCTTAATTTGGAGCATTTGTGAATAATGAAAAAAGAGATGTCGGAAAACAAAGCGAACAATGACTGAAAAGACCGATCCCTTTTTTGTCGGACACTTTTTGTCCGGTTTCTGATGATTTTTTTATCAAAAGTCGAGCAGACGATTTTCAGACGAGGAAAAACTGTATTCAGGGCGATTTTTCTTTCGGCAATTTGAACAAAAAAATCACCTTCTTCCGAAAAAAGCTTTTAGGTCTCGGCGCCCCACTTTCCAACTTGGTCGGCCTCCATCACCAAGGTGCGAGTAGATTGCGATCAAAGGGGGAATATGGAGAGTGGGCCCTTCGTGGGTTGTAACAGATCTTCCCTTGAAAGTGATTTAGGGCGCAAACTGTTTGCTTTACGACACTTCAAAGGGGCATCTTTCAAGAGTCATGGAAGGGGAACATTTTTTTTCATGGGAGAAGAACTGTAAAAATGTTACTGTGCTTTACTTTTTCTAGAAATTTGAACAATTTTAATAATTTTGGACGAATAAAGATTTCATTGGACGATAAATAAAGGGTTCCTCTTTCTTACTGGAAGAAAAATAAGGGTATCACTCTGTTAATTTTTTAGAAAAGCAATTTGAAAAATTTTAATTAACGTCGCTACACCCTTAATTTTATTAAGACCTTTGAAAAAATCGTCGAGAAAATCAGCGAACAATATTTCGAGTCAAAATGATTGGCAATTTTTTTGAGTTCCAGTTGTGTATATCGCAGTAAAAGAGAATTTTGAGTCGAAAAGTAAACTCGCCCTATTTCGATCGCTATCCCCTTATCCTTCCCCGAATCAGCCCTAGTTCTAGAAGCATCACCCCTCAGATCTCCCGTGGCTCACTTTCCCCGCATCAGATCGTCCCTCCGCCAATTTTCGAAGCCCCCGATCGGCTCCTGAGCGCCAACCCTTTCGAAAATTTTTTTGCTGTAGCGCCACCGCGATAGCGCAATACGCGCACGTGCGGCGCGCACTTTCTCCGCTCAACTGAAACTGAATTGAAAAAAGAAAGAATCGAAAAAAGTAAAAAGAACGATCAGCGATTTTTTTAATTAATGCTGGAAATAAACAATAAGAGCTTGGAGAATTAATAACAGAGATTTCAAGAAGAACCCCTTGGTAAAACAGAAAAACTAATGCGAAAACTCCGGAATATCATGGTGAGTCCCTTAAATTTATTTCTTGATAAAAGTGATTTTATGGTTCAGATACCCTTAAATTCCATTTTTTGCCTTTTCAAATCTTGTTTTATTTGCACAGAAATTTTTAATTTTATCATTTTGATACCCTTAATCGAATCAAGGCAGATTTTAAGGGGGTGTCTTTGAAAAAATAGTCTTTAAAGAAATTTTATGCTAAGGGTATCAGGATTTTTACAGTTTTTGATGACTTGTTTTATTTTCAAATTTTTGATTATTAATGAATAAGGTCCAAAAAGAAAAGAGGACGAGATGAAAATTGTGTGTATCTCAAAAATGGTCCTCGTCTCTTCTAATTAACTAAAAGCTAATTGGTCACCTTGGAAAGGATGTTTGTTACAGTAGCACTAAAGGCAGGCAGCCTTGATTAATCTGTCACAGAAGTCGATATTGATTTCGACGTAAATCAGCGCTCTTTGGATAAGAGGATATTTATGATACTCTACTCTTCGTTTTTTAATTTACTAAAAAGCTAATTAGCCAAAAAGAAATGGGTAAAAAGAGGGATCGTAAAGGAGATTTTCGGTAATTTTTGACGCACCGAAGTCGATTTTAAATCACTGTAACTAAAGCGTATAGAGGGGAAATGGCTCTGTATCGAAATATCCGGTATCTAACTAAGGGTATCGAGTTTACTTTGGCTAGATTTCCCCTAACCCGTTAGAGCAAATATTAACCCGTTTGCGCGGATGTCACGACGGAAGTAACTTTAAATATTTTCGTAAGATCACTTCTTTTGGAAAATTTTTATCCGATGTTGACACCCTTAATAACAAACAAAGGCATGATTTTGATTTATGAAAGTTTGAACGGCCGTTTTTGTCGTTCCCGAAACAAATAGATTAGGCGTTTTTACGAGGATAAGGAGAAAATTTATGAATTTGTAACAAAGGGAAGGATTTTTTTGCTTGAGAAACGGGGCTGATCGCTTCAAAGGTCGGATTTGGATGTTTGAGGGTAAATTTTCCTAGGCTCGCTCGAGATTAAATATGATTTTAAAAGACTTTGAGTTTGAGAAAAGTCCCTATCGTTAAATTCTCGAATATATAATCAACAAAGTCCTGAGCCAAAAATAAAGGGGTCTGTTCCCTTAGTAATTTCGACTGGGGTCCCCTTAATTAATAAGTTTTTCAGCTAAGATTAAGGGTATCCCTATCTTTTCAGAAATTTTGAATTAAGAATTCAACAAGAATATGAAAAAAATTAATATCAAGGTCTGTTCCCTTAGTGATTTCGAACGCAGGCCCCTTAATTTAAGCAAAAAATCAAAGCCCGGGAGTTGTTCTAGTGTTTTCCGAATTTTTGCCAAATTCCTAACCTATTGTTACGAATACATTAACACGAGGCAGAATTGAGTGGGGGTTGTAATTCGGTTGATGTTTTCTAGAGACAAGTACGAGCGAGGAATTTTAAACAAATTCGAACAAAGCGCAAAACGAGGCATTTTTTTACTCGTCTAAAATCTTGAATTTCAAGCACTTGAATTTTCAAGCGAGAATTTTAGGAACCGTTTAATTTCGACTCGAAAAATACAGTAAAAAACTTGTTTGTGGAAGAAATTTCAATTGACGTTTCGGCTCAAAAAGTCAGTCGAATTTCGATACAGGCTAATCCAAAAGATACAACTTCTGGACTCTGATTTTCGAGTCAGTTTTTGACTGTATCAAAAATTTTGATTGACTTTTTGATCCAAAAAAATCCAGAAAACAAACAGTTTTGAAGAAACATCTCTGTATGTTTCTCATTTTGTGACCGTATTTTTCAAATTAAAAATGCCCACTTTTGACTCGAATGATTAATTTTTCAAAATTTGTGATCATAAGCCGAGTACTTTTTTCTTTTCATCTCGAATTCCCGCGATTTAGGGATCAGGATTGATTATATTTAACTTGGCCGAGTTGGTTGGTAACCTCATTTACCAACTGCTGGAACAATATATCCTCCGCCGCCTTTGATCCCTCTTAATTTGATCGGCTCAATTCTGAACTTGAGCCAAGTCTAACTTTATAACTTGACTCGCTGGTAGTACCCGAATCAATGCCCGCGTGGCCTTTTTAAAGTTGCCGCCAGGAACAATACAAAAATGTATGTAAAAGTGTCCAAAGTTTTCAAGTTCATGGGAAATCGAAAAAAAAGAGGATGAGCCTGGTGCCGCCTCCGTGGGTGGGAAGTTTATAGGTCACGATAAAAGGAACGAAAAGTGAAGTTAAAAGGTCATTTCCGTTTATAGACCGAGATTTTCAAAGAGATGAGATTTATATTTTTCACTTTTGTCTACCAGACAAAACTTCTGTCTGGTAGACAAACAATCGAAAAGGCGAGTAAATCAGGTATTTTTATAACGAATATCTTTCCAGCTAGAAATCAGCTGATTAATCAAATTAAAAATTTACATTGATCAGAAAAGTTGATTCAGGGGCTTTATAAAATCATGATGATCGAGAAAGGACAAAGGACGAGCATCTCTCAGATTTTCGCCTGAATTTTTAACAAGAAGACAATATTTTTCCTCGCTGTCGATTTCGAGAGGTCCTAATTCGAAGGCGAGAGTTGATACAAAGACAAGTAGAGCCGCATATTGGCGTTTTTAAAATAAAATAGAGGGATCGGATGAAAAATCTCCCTTTAGCACCTTAATACCACTGACAGAAAGCCCAATCTGTCGACAAAGTGCGATCAATCGGGGCCCGCAAATAACCATCATTGAGTGACAACTCGTCGATTTTTTGCGGATTCTTGGATTGATTCGGACTTTCTCTCTTCTCTGTTTTCCAAGGAGCGCTGATTTTCAAAATAATCAAAGATCATTCAACGATCATTTTTCCAGCTGACCAAGAATTTCCAAATAAACTTCACTCTCTCCCTTTTTTACTCAGAACTCTTGACCCCAGACTCGCGTGATCACTGACCCAAGACCATCAACAATCAGAAAAAAGCATCAACAAAAATAGTCGCTTCTCTTTTCGCACCAACTCATATTATGGCCAGGTGCAGGGCGACCCAACCACGTGGATATATCTGATACAGATTGGGCAAATTATATAGACCCGGGGATGAGCATGATGTGAGAAAAACACGAAATGGCAACATGTGATTTTCGAGTTGATGATTTTCGATGTTGTAAATGAAAATTTCTAAAAAGAAAATTGACATTTATCCTTCAGATACCCTTATTTCTCCTTCAACTGGCCTCTGCCCGGTATTATGGCCAAGATGATTTCTCCGAAACTTTCAGTCTTCTGAAAATCTCCGAAAACACCTCCCCCGGATCAGAAATCTTCAACCTCGCCACTGTCCTCCCAGAAGCTCCCCAAGTCGCTTCAGCTCGGATTTTTTCCGAATTCGCGGAAAACTTCAAAATTCAAAACGGCGCACTTTTTCTGTCGAAACGATTGGATCGGGAAAAAATCTGCAACTCGGCCGACTTCCGCTGCGAATTCATCGTCAAACTCCTCGTTGAACCGTTTGAATCGAAGAAGAGCGAAAAACTGGTGATTCTGCAGATTTCCTTGGCGGACGAAAATGATTCGTTGCCTGAATTCGAGTTTGATTTTGGCTCGAAAACCATGGATTTGTGCAGCGAATCCGTTCGAAATGGTATCTATGCCGCGCCTTTTGTTGCTGATGATGCTGATAGAGGTAAATAGAAATTTCTGTCTCGTAGACAGCAAAATTGTCTACCAGACGAAATCATGTCTGCGAGCGAATATTTCAAAAAAGAGGGTCATTAAATCAATTGTGTATTGAAAACGTATCTCAATCATGAAAAAAGATGTCTATCAGACAGTCCATTCCCCCTCTTGACCCAAAAAATTATGCCTCTAATTAGTAAATTAGCCAATTTCACCCTCTCCCCGCCATTTCCACAAAATCCAATCCCATAATTACTACACAAAAAATATTTACTTTCTTCACGGCGCCCCACATGTTTTTGGGGATTTCATGGTGCAACGCCAGAAAAAAAGTCAGCTGGGCCAGGGCTTATGCACCACCGCCAACGCCGCCCGTTACGTAATTAGATCCAGCGAGAAAAGTCACCTGACATATTTTTTATCAAATCAACAGCCTTACTTATAAAGTTATAAAATTATAAGCGCCTTGTTGTTTCTAGCGGCTGCCAAAGCTTTAATTTTCGACTCGAAAATTCTTAGTTGAAACGGGCGCAATTTCGAAGGTTATCAGAGATACTCCCTTTATAAAAAAATGAGTCAAATTTGCATAAATATTAAAAAGAATAAGTCATCTTCGCGCGCCCTATCTTTCCTCTTCTGCGTCTCCCGAGCGCAGGTGTCTCCTTAAATTAGCATTTTCCATCTGAAACCCCCTTGAGTTTTCAGTAAACACACTTTATTTCTTCACCATTTTCGTTCACGCTTCAATGGTTCTCTTTTTTAGTTTCGATCCTTCGCTACGGGCTGAAAAACACCGCTTCCTTCACTCTCGAGGAAAAAGAAGAAGTTGACTCGTTCGGGAATTCACGTGATCAGCTGACATTGAAGCTCGTTGGCGAATCCAAAGCGCCGGAAGAGATGGTGGTTCAAGTTTCTGACGGACTTCATCAAGTGGAAAAGACGGCGATCGTCAATGTCGTTGATAATTGCAAAGAAAATGCGAAATTTTCGCAACAGGTAAATTTTGAGCCGAAAAAAAATTTTCCATATTTTTTTCTTTTTTTTCAGATTTACGAAGCAACTCTTCCCGAAAACGTCAAAAACTTCGCCACTGGCATCATCCTCTCGCTCGACACGATGATAGCGACCGAAGCCATCGAGTTCCGACTCGGCTCGGAAGTGGCACGTGAGCACTTGGCGATAAATCACGAGACAGGCGAAATTCATCTTATCAAGTCTCTTGATTACGAAATCACTCAGAGGTAATTTGACGCGCGTTGAATCACGTGAAAAAACGTGCAAATTTGATTTTTGAAAAAAGGGTCGACATCAAAATCACACGTAATGACTCCTGAGAAAATTTTCTCGACTCAAAAATCATTTTCAAAAATAGCGCAAACAGCTCCTATTTAAATTTCGCGCAAATTTTCTATTGGATAATTCGATTATCGCTTTGTTTGACCAAAATCTTCATGATTCCCTCTTCTCATCCCTTTTTCTAGAATCCGCTCCGTGGTTGAACTTGTCGACCTCTACACCAACGCCATCATCGACTTCACCATCATCGACATCTCCGTCAAAGACGTCAACGACAACGTCCCAGTCATCACCGCCACGGTTATTCCCCCCGCCTCTGTCAACAATGATAAAGGTAATTTCACTTCCAATACTCACTTTCTATTGGGCAACTAACAAGAATTAGGCCATGTTATTTTTGCGGCGCTAACATGTTTAATTTTCGAATTATTACTTGTAATCCAACTTCTGAATTTTCGAATTTCGCGAAAAAAAAAATTGAACTTTACCTCAAATCTCATCTTTTCAGTTATTCTCCGCGAAGACTTCCCAACCTCCGTTGCTCTGGCTTATTTCTCCGCTTCTGATGCCGACCTCGCTTCCGCCGGAGAAGTCACACTCGATCTCCTCATGGGCAAAGACTACTTCGAGCTTCGGGAAGGATTCCTCGTCCTGAGAACCCCACTCGATCGCGAGTCGCAAAACCTCATCGACGTCAGCGTCTCTGCTTGCGACAACGGCCGTCCAAAGAAATGCGCGCAGAGTGTTTTGACCTTCGTCGTCAGCGATGTCAACGACAACAGTCCTTTCTTCACCATGTGTCCGGAAGAAGTGCTCGTTTCCGAGTCCCAGCCGCCCAACAAGCTCCTCACCGTCGTCCGCGCTTTCGACAATGACAATCTCCCCGGCCTCTCCTCCCCCAACGGCGTCGTCAGCTACAGCACTTCCAGCTCCGTCGTCGCCGTCAGCTCCACTGGCCAAGTGTTTTTGAACCAAAAACTCGACCGCGAAAGAATCTCCAGCTACACAATTTCCATCGAAGCTTTCGATCAAGGCGTGCCAGTCCAAAACTCAGCTCGATGCACTTTCAACTTGATCGTCGGAGATGAAAACGACAATGCGCCGCTTTTCGATGAAGCGACGGAATTTGTGAAAGTGATTCCAAATACGCTCGGAAAGAATGAAATCGTCTATGATTTCAATGTGGTCGACAAGGATGATGGAAAGAATGCGATGTTTTTCTTGGAGTTGGAAGATGATTTCGGTAAGAAAAATTTTCAAATAAATGAAAAAATTATTTAGAAAAATTAATAAAAATACTAAAAAAAAATTTCGAAAAATTATTTAACGATATTATCATAAAATATATTATTTAGAAAATATTTATAAATTATAATTAGAAAAATAAATTTCTATAAAAAGAATTATTTTTCTAACCCTCGGTTTAGATCTGTTCTACATCAACTCCGCCAACGAACTCCGCCTCTCCCGCAATTTCACCTCGACCGATCCTTCCCGAGTCAATCTGATCGTCCGCGCCCGAGACAGCGGCGACCTCACTTCGGAAATCTCCTTTGCCGTCGAAATTCTCCCGCCAGAAGCGCTGATGCGATCGAGCACTCAAGAACTCGCCATTGCTTCTATTTGCGGATTGATGGCTGTGATTTTTGTTCTCTGTCTCGTGATTTTCTGCCTGAAGCAGCGACGACAGCAAACGTACAAGTTCCGCAACGCCGAAGACAAGGAAGAGAGCAACATCCACGCGAGCAAGCAGACCCTTTCCAACTGGACGGTCGAGATCAAAAACGACGCTGCTTTGGTAAAAACGAATTTGATCGTCGACCCGAGCGAGGATGGAAGTGGCCTGTACAAAACACGATCTCAGGATCACGGAAGCGATTTCATCCCCGACTCCGGCCGCGGCGAATCGGAAAAAGACTCCGTCTCCTCGACAATGGGCCCGAACTGCTCGAAAGATTGCTCCGTGATTGGCCACTCTGATGCTTGCTGGATGCCAAGCTCTAGAAACGAAGAAATCATGTCCTCTTCTTCCATCGTTGGTTATTCGAGAGAGCATTTGTCCAAGCTTTCGCAGCAATATTTGACGAATCAAAATCGACTCGCGAATTTGTCGCCGATTTGCGATCAAGAGAGTCAGCGATCTTCTGGTTATTTGAGCTCACTTGATGCGAGAAATGTTCATTACTGTTAATTGCACTGTATATTTATTTATTCGCTTGTAAATAAAAAATGATAATTCTCATTGTCATATTGATGTTCACCTAATTTCGGGACTAAATATGAAGACTATGCTTTCATCTAAGATTCAACCCTACCTCAAAGGAAAAATGTGCGACCCGCTCGGCTATTGGAACGTTTATGGTTTTTTGGTTAATTTTTTTGCGCTTGATCTTGAGAGAAAAAATTTATTTTTCAAGCTCTTCTTTTTCAGAGCTTGGACACCTGTGTAGAAAATTTGAATCAGCTTGACTCAGTTAGAATTTGAAAGAAATTTTCGAAATATAAAATGAAAGCGAATTGTCTGGGAACGCCTCGTAAATTTTATTGTTTGAGATAAGCTTCAAAATGGCGCGTGCTATTTTAAATGAAGCTTTCCCTTTTGATTGCCAAGCCGTGGAGTGTAGCCAATCACGTGACCCTCTCTTGTGAGCGCATCGCGTGATCAAATACGGCGAAAGGGAAAGTTTCATGACTAGGTCTCAAAACGAGAAATTTCAGGAGAGTTTTCATACCAGTTCGAACCACTAAAGGCGATTTTGCGAGTTAGGGTGGTCAAAAATTTTTGATGAAGATATTTAAACTATACGTTGTTTACTCACGGATTTTTGACGGTCAAAATCATTAAGTTTGCGTACAAATGCTTTTAATTCTTTGAAATCAGACTTCAAATAAGTAATAATTCATATTATAACAATTACAATGACCGTTTTTTATGATGGTCACATGATTACTTGAATTCGTTATTTAACGAGCTGTTTCTTCGCTTCAGTCACATCAGAGGCAAGAGATACTTGAAAATAGCATATAGAAAAAAATCAGACAAAAATATTTTTTAAAAAAAATGAAAATTATCGACTCAAGAATAATTTCTGAATGAGTTTCAATGAATTTCATTAAGCTTAGTATTTGCTGAAATTAGTCGACCGGAAAAATGTCGTTAAAAATTCGCATTATTCAAATTCTTGCTTGAAAACTAGCAAAGTCGACGACTGTTTAAAAAAAAAGAAGGAAAAGATCCAGAGAGAAACCAACTTTTGAAATGGAGTCGGATGGAGAAACCTTCAAATTGATAATTAAAACCATGGGTAAGATCGTTTAAAATCGTTGTTGATTTCAATGTTGAATTTAAGGTGATAGTTCTATCCCAATAGAAATTAACGGGGACGCGAAAATTCTCGAGCTGAAAGAAAAAATACAAGCCGCACTTGAGAATATTCAAAACGAAGATGTTTTGGAGCGCGACAATCAAAGGATAATATTCAGAGGGAGACTACTGAACAACGATTTGAAAATAAAAGACATCCAGAATCTGGAGCGCGAAGGAGGAGTGATGCATGTAGTGAGGTTGAATATTCCGGCTCCGGGAAGAAATGACCCGACTGCGGCTCAGCGGGAAAATTTGGAGCAAATGGCGAGGAATGAACTCGTCATGGCGAAAATCAGATCGCTGGAGACTTTGTTAAAGTAAATAGTTGAAAAAATGGCTTGTAGGAAAAATGCCCTATTATTTCATTGACGGGAAGAGTAAAATTTCTCCATAGGAATGCAGATCAATGCGTCTCATATTCTCAAAGAAACACGAATTGGAACGAGAGGCGTGAACTCCAAGAGCCTGAAAATCTTGGAGAGGGAGTTATGTCTGTCAAAGATTTTGGCAACGTAGCTGAAGATTTCGGCGAAAGTATGTTCCACACTTTTTTACAAAAAAGCAACTTTCAGCAATGATAAAATGGAGTTACCAACTTTCCCGATTGTCAAATATGCTCGTTGACGTACCAGATGTCAACGAATTCAATCAATTTCAATTATCACAAGAAGAAATCCAAGAAAATCAAGACTTATTCAGAAATAACATGGACGCGACTAAATATTTCTCAAAAGTGTGCCAACAGTTCAGTGAATTTTTCATTCCACTGGATCATCCGCCAAGAAGAATATCAACTCTAGCAGCGAGGCAACTCGATCCGGGCTAAACAAATTCGAATTCAAAGAACAAAAATGCACGGTAGCATGCGTTTATGATGATGATGATGATGAATGGCTTTGTTATTATCACAAATTATAATTTTCATATTTTCAATAAAAAAATCATAACTATGTTTTAACTCGCCATGAGATTTTTATTGCAGAAGAAAGTAAGGAAAATTAAATAAAGAAAAATTTTTAAGCGAGAGGATTGGTAATGCCGCCAATAGTGGCTTCATTTCTCTTCGTGTAGAAAAAGTATCCTCCAGCAACAGCGGCATGAGGCGTTACTCGTCATCGCTAATTGCTATGCTATAATAACATATTTAAAAATCCCCAAGACAATCAAGAAATGATATGAACTTACGGTTCGGTATGTTGGGAGTTCAGTCGGTGAATTTCCTCGCGCAGCTTTTCGATTTCTTTTTCTTTTTCGGCGAGCTTCTTATCCCGAAGCCTGAAATTATTTCATGAGAAAAATAAATAAAGATAACTGAATTCATTTTCTACAAACGACTTTGAATTATACTGCATAATTTATACATACTTAATTTCGTCTTCGTATTTTTGCTCGAATTTTTCAACTAGCTTTCGAATTTTAAGCAAAAATTCATTGAATTCGGCATCTTCTTCTTTCATTTTTTCTAAGAAGCAATCTTTAATCACTACAATTCTTCACAAAAAAAGGAACATTCTCAATTTTAGGTGGCATAATTTCTCTCTAAAATGGGCACAGTAAAATTTAATTCGCGAGTATCTCTCTTTTTTTCGTTAAAAAATGATGCCGGTGGATTTCTCGGTTTCGACTTACGTATCAAGATTAAAAAATTTCCCCGCGGCACTGCCATTTTATAACAATCAATTTTTTCTTTATTGTCTTCTATATCTTCGAAAGTCGGATTCTCAACTCCTTCTTCAAATCTCAATCTTGCCTTTAACTCGTTGCAAAGACCCTGTAAAAGATAGCAGACACAAAGGCGAGAGTTCCATTGATTATCCACACCGTATTCCAGGACGACATTAGGTCTTCTCCCACACATTTTTGGATGAAAATTGGGGTCATAAAACCAAACGCGGAAAAGCATGTGTCTTGGATCCCATGAAGAATACCTGAAGATAGATTAGTGAAGACCCTAAAAACCAAAGTTCCATCAGATACGCGCATAGCTGGGAGACATATCAATCAAGGAGGGCAAAAACGATGTCGTGGAGAATCCATTGAATCCCATTATCACACACATAAGCGCAACGATCGCCCCGGAATCAGGGGAAATGACGAAAAAGAAAATGCCCGCAAGACCGAGAGCCTGAACCGCTGTTATTTTTTGAAGATTTGTGATGCTCAGAATGTTTTTCGATTGAGCGAAATCGAGTAGAGCTGATGAAACGAAAGTAACTACCAGGTAGCAAATAAAAGGAAGGGCGCTGAGAAAACCGTCGGCGAGGAGGTTGTAGTGGTGAACTTTCTAGAAGAAAATTTCTAGAGTGATTGACAAGGTCTCTACCTGAAGGTATTCTGGCAGTTTGTCCGTAATTGTAAAGAAAATGAATCATTTTAAATGATCGAATTTGCCACATTTGACATTCTGACAGACATTGTCTGTTTTGAGCACATCAGGATTTCATCGCAAGAAAAAATTCAAATCGACTCCAATCGGGAAGAGTTTTCCCGGAAGATGATACTTGGGAATTTCAACAAGAATTTAGGGTCAACAGTGAGCAAGCAGATATCGTAACAGCCGAAGAAGCGAAGCAGAAATGCACCTACTTGGTTTTCAAGTTTTACGAAGAGAGAATTCTGCCTGAACAAGAAACAGCTGAAGAGAGGATTCAGTCCGCAATGCAACCCAAAAATAAAATGTCTTTGAATAAATAAAGACATCACAAAAGAATAAACTTTGCCTATCAAGAAAGAAGTGTTGCGTCAGCAGGAAAGAATGTTGAGAACTGCACGAAGATTCTTTTGACCTGTTTTGAAAACATCCCGATCCCAGTCCAAGGATCAAAGAAGACGCTCAATTTTGGCCTTTTTTTAATTTTTCATATTGCGGAAACTGGACGAATTCAACGAACAAATGACGAGAAAAACTTTAGCCAAGTTTCTGGTCCTGCCACTACTTTTAGGTTTCCTTTCAATAATCGATATCATTAAAAATATCAAAATACAGAAGAAGCACTCATTTCCACTCTTAATCACCGCGCTCAAAATCAGAATAAAGATAATCATGTTTTCACTCGCCATGAGATTTTTATTGCAGAAGAAAATATGAAAAAGAAAATAAAGAAAAGCTTTTAAGCAAGAGGATTGGTAATGCCGCCAATAGTGGCTTCATTTCTCTTCGTGTAGAAAAAGTATCCTCCGGCAACAGCAGCAATGACGAAGACGGTGACGCCGACAGCAGCGCCTGCGGCCATGCCAACGTCGACCGGAGGCTTCGGTTGGAAGCAGTTGTTGCCCATGCCCGAGTCGATTGTTGGGTCGAAACAGCATCCGAATTCTAGCATGCACTCTGTCTCCGAAATGCCGACGAATCCACAAGACTTGATTTTACTCGAAATCGCGGCAGTGCAAAACTCGGTCGGAGCGACCTTTTGCAGAGGAACGGTTTCGTTTCTCGACACGGCGAGTCCTTCCAAGTGCCAATCTCGTCCATGGCCACGCAATCTTCCGGCTCTTGCCAATCATTCGGCTCCCCATTTTCCCAGTTAAAGTAGCTGGCGCCAGTTCCATCGTCCCACTGCCAGCCGAAAGCGCCTTTGTACTGCATTCCGATCCACATCGAGTTTTCGGCGTGGGCGATTTTCGTGAACTGGTCTTTTATGATTCTGTTGTAGCCGGAGGAGTGGATGCTGCCAAGATTGCCGCCTTGGATTTTGCATTGCATGGCGGCTTGTGAATACGGCTGCGCCTCGCTGTAGATTCTTGTGCAGTGGTGACCAAGGAGGCTCCAGCCATCGGGGCATTCCTGAGGCTTTCCGAGCTTTGCATCGATGTCTTCGTATGAATTGAGCGGGACCTCGTAGAACTCACTTTTGCAAATAAACGCTTTTTGCTCGGAACAGCCGGAGGTCTTGTACATTTTCGTCTCCGAGTCCAAAAACGCGCAGGGCTGATTTCCAGAGTCTCCAGCCCAATCTTGACGCGTCAGTGGAACTCCGTCGATCCATTCGAATCTGTCGCTTCCTTGTCGATCACTGAAAAGAGCGGTTTGAAAGGAAACAAGCTTCTTGAGCTTACTTTTTCTTGAGACCGATCCAGATTCCATCTGGCAGATCTGTTGGCTTTCGCTGCGGGAGTTGATCGTCCCGGAAGAAGGATTTGGCAAACTCGACTTCGTACTCGTCCCACATCGTCATCAAATAGGTTGCTTTGGCTGCGGACTCGCCATTTTCGGAGCAAAATTTGTTTGCATCGTCGAAGGGTTTTCGGTCAGTGAATAACTAAAAACCATAAAGAGGGAAAATTTTTAATAGAAAACCTTGTAGCAAGCAGAATGGTAAGGAATCCAACCCGGCCCGCATTTCACATCGGGCAGCGAAATCCAAGTCGGGTACTGCGACTGATAGCTAGAACTCTGTTCGTGCGAACAAACCCACGGGTGAGGATCGCCAAAATTGCCAGCGGTTGAGTAAGTGCCGCAGTAGACGTTGTTCCATTGGCCGACTCGGAAAGCATCGTGGAAATTCGCGTCGTTTCGCCAGGACATGACGACGCATTTGTCTTGGGTGGATTGGGCGTGATTGGGCTTTCCCGGAACCCAGTTGTCGTATTTTAGGCGGTCTTCGTTGATGAGACTAAAATAAGTATTCGTTTGCGGGATCAAAGAGGAGAGCGAATACCTGAAGTAATAATCATAATAAGCATGATTGTAAACTCCAATAAACGGATCCGCCCCGAAAAACCACGGCCCAAGAAGCGATGCAACCAACGAATTGTGCTCTTCTGTCGGAAGCATGGCCAAATCAGCTCCTTCCCAGTCCTCGTTGCATTTTGCTCGCGCATCATTCCACTTCAAAAATCCAGCCGGGTCGAAACCTGATCCGCCATCGACCCGAAAACCGTCGAATTTGTAGCAGTACCCGCCGAATGGATACCAGCCAGGTTTGCAACCTCCCTTGGCGGGGAGACCATTGTCTGGCTCAGGATCCCAAGGTTGTTTTCCATCGACTTCGAATTGGCAAAGATCGGAGTAGATACCCGTGCAAGTCATGTCCATCCACGTTCCGTTGTAAACAGCACCATTACTCGAATAGCTTGATTTTTATTTCGGGAATTTTCGACAGATACTTACTAAAATCGAGCACAATCGTAGGAGTTCGTATTCGGCTCCGTTCCGTACCAATTCGTGTAAGTGATTGGACTACCGTCGGACCAGTACCACTCACAGTTTTGACATGTTTTTCGAAGCCCGATTCGTGGATAGTAATAGACGTTTGCTCCGTCCATGAGCGCGATGATCATCTGGCGAATGACTTCGTTTTCTTCAGGCGATCTTATTGAGAGCATATTTCCACCCTTTAATTTCAGTCAACAATTTTTCAGAGATAAATGCCAAAAAAAGCTTCTCTTAGGAAACGTGAAATTTACCTCGACTTCAGTTCCGTTGATTGTAAATTTGAGTCCAGAGCAAAAAGCGTTCGATTCCGGCCATTCTCCCCTCGTTTTCATCAAATACGCGCATTTTTTCGACCGTCCATTTGTTCCATCGTTGACCAAAACGCCGCAATTGAGCTTTGTCTCGTAAGAAGTTCCAGCCGGGTTCGGGCAGTTCACATTATCGCATTGAATCTGAGCCCAGCCAAGACGGAGAAAAGCTGATGCTAACCAAAAGGATAGCATCGCGGTGAAATCTCTTTGAATGAACCGGCAGAATGGGAAAAAGTGTGAAGAAAAGTTTTGCAATTTTATTTTATTTTCGCACTGAGGAATGAAGAAAAATGCTCGTCGATTGCGATTTTATATGTGAAGTTTTATTTACCTCGCGAGAAGTTGAGAAATTCGCGAGATTCTGTACATTCTCTTTTTATTCATTTCATTGTTAAAATATCAGACACGAAAACTCTCCGAATTGACAGTAAACAGAACCGGGTAAGAATTTTCAGCTTCATGATGATAAATAAACAATCGGGAAAAAACCAAGAAAAGACTCCAGTTCTGCGATTCTTTGAAGTCAAACTAAGAAGAAATTGCTTATTCCATTCATCTTTGACTTCAAGAAAATCGAAACACATAAAATCGGCGCTTTCGAAAAATCATCAAATCGAAAAATTTTCATAAAGAAGTACTTCGGAAACAATCTTCTAGAACCATGTTTAATGATATTTGTTATTATTCCATACCAATTTCAAGTGTAAAATTTTGATGTTTTTTCGATAAGAAATATACAATCCCCGCTGGCTTTTTTGAAGACAAAAACGATTCTTCAAGAGTTTATCTGCTTATTTTGACTTCAGTTAAATAAAGATCAGTTGCAAATTGAAACTTTCAAATCGACGACCTGTATTGAAGTTCTAAGTCAAGGTCTGGAAGATCTCTTATGAAAAGCTGTTCTAGAAACGATTCCGTAAAAATTATTTTTCAATCAATAAGCAAATTCTTGCGAAGCCGCTTTACGGCATCATTTTTGGCTCTAGAATCGTAACTTGAAGTGATTTTCGTAAAACTAAGACGGTCAAATTTTTTCTAGATTTTCTCCACTCATTCAATATATGCATGGTGTTCTAGGTCTTAAAATGAGGAAGTGGGTGAAAAAAATTTATAAGCTCTATTTTTAGAGCTTAGACACCTTCGTCGAAAATCTTCAACAAGAACCAAAGTAAAGAATGAATAGGAGAATCAGTGAGAACCTAAAAATACGGTTACACGACGTTTTCAGCAACCGACGTTTTCAGCATACCGACGTTTTCAGCACTGCTGAATTCGTCGGTTTGCTGAAACGTCGGTTTGCTGAATTCGTTGTTTTTCACCTGGAAACGCGTGGGTGTTTACCGGGACGAAATTTTCAAACCAATTCGATCTAAAGGCGACGTTCTCGCAATTTACTTGGCTAATTAAAAGTTTAAAAGCATTTCTAAATGAGTCATTAAGAATGCATTATTTAGAAAAAGAATAAGAATTAGCTAAATAACTTCTTAATTCATAATTATCATAATAATCATTAGTCACTCTTAGTCACCAGTAAGTTAAGAGTATTAACGTATTATCCAGTTTAGTGAATCTATTTTTAAAACATTGAAAATAATGATTAATCAATATTGAAAAAGATAAAAATGGTAATATTATTAAATATAATCTTTTGTTACTCATTCATTAATATAGCATAGATTTTATGTTATTTTATGGTTACACGACGTTTTCAGCATACCGACGTTTTCAGCAACCGACGTTTTCAGCATAACGACGTTTTCAGCGCTGCTGAATTCGTCGGTTTGCTGAAAACGTCGGTTTGCTGAATTCGTCGGTTTTCACCTGACAACGCGTGGGCGTTTAGAGAGGCAATCATTTTATCAAACTCCATCAGAAAACGATATTTCCGAAATTCGTAAAATAACATAAAATCGATGTAATATTAATGAATCATTTACAAAAGATTACATTTAATAAAAAGTATTCTTTTTATCTTTTTCAATATTGATCTATCATTATTTTCATTGTTTTAAAAACAGATTCACGAAACTTGATAATTCGTTTATACTGTCAACTTTCTGGTGACTTATAGTTGCTTATGATTATTATGATAATAATGTATAAAGAAGTAATTTAGCTAATTCTTACTTTTTCTAAATAATGCATTCTTAATGACTCATTTAGAAATGCTTTTAAACTATTAATTAGCCAATTAAATTGCGAGAACCTCGCCTTTAGATCCATTTGGTTTGAAAATTTCGTTCCGGCAAACGCCCACGCGTTTTCAGGTGAAAACCGATAATTCAGCAAACCGACGTTTTCAGCAAACCGACGAATTCAGCAGCGCTGAAAATGTCGGTATGCTGAAAACGTCGGTTGCTGAAAACGTCGGTATGCTGAAAACGTCGTGTAACCTTATTTTATGATCTACGGAAATATCGTTATCAGATGGAGTTTGATAAAATGATGGCCTCTTTTAACGCCCACGCGTTTTCAGGTGAACAACGACGAATTCAGCAAACCGACGTTTTCAGCAAACCGACGAATTCAGCAGCGCTGAAAATGTCGTTATGCTGAAAACGTCGTTTGCTGAAAACGTCGGTATGCTGAAAACGTCGTGTAACCAAAAATACCTCGAAGTCCGTTCTTTTTACCCTAAAATTTTTCTTTCAAAAGGGCAGTGTATTTAACACGGGCTTGTTAGTCAGCGTGCGCATAATTTCCGCGCAGGTCAATTTGAACAAAAGCCGCTTTCAGGTCGTTACTCCGCTCCGAGGATTTTTGTAGCACTCCGATTATATAGTGAGTCAAAGAGAAAAGGATCGTGATCCCCGTGAGACTAAAATGGAGAAATCGTTGATTGAGCTTTTCGAAAAAGTTGATGGCAACAAGGATAGAATGATGAGCAAGGATGAACTCAAGGTTAGTCCAAAACAAAGATAAGGGGGCCCCTTATCTGTTGTTGCCAGAAGGAGTCCCCTAAAATATGGATTAAGCGCTCTCTGATTGGCCTTTTTACTGAGGAGCCTCCGACAAGACGCTCTTAGCGGAAAGAGCCAATCAGAGAGCGCTGAATCCATATTTAAGGGGATCCCCAAAGTAAAAATATTCAATCTTTCCCATGCCGTAACAGACAGATCCCCTTATTTTCTATTCAAAAACTACCTCAGGATGCTTTGAAACAGCTTTGCGAAACCGTCAAAAACGACTCCACTTCTCCCTTGTATTTCATTCTCAGCGATGTTGACCTTTCGGACTCCAACTTGGGTAAATCCCATTTTTATCTTTTCAAACAAAAAATTTTCCCAAGAACGAATAACGCGAAAAGCCTTCAACGAAATCGACACCGATCGCTCTGGAACAATCACTTTTGAAGAATTCGCCAATTCTGATTGGACCCTTTCTCTGTGAAATTGACAAGAAATTGAAATATTGCTAGCATTTACTGGAATCATGAATTGGGCTAGGCGTAGCAGGAATTCTCGAAGAAGAGCAGGTTAAAACATTGTTCAGCTTTTCGAGCTTGTCTCCTCGCTCGATGCAGTTGGAGGATTCTAGAGTCGAGCCGAACTCAGCATCTCGGCGGGTGGGTTGGGGACTGCGGACGGCGGAAAGATGGAAATTCAGGGATAATCGAGCAATTCGACCCTGAAGATAAAAAATAATTGGGAAATAATTTTTACCTGGAAACTGGACATCGTTTTGATCATCAGTTTCTCCAAAAATATAATTATCGTCGGCGCCGAAAAGCCTAGAAAGAACGCGATACTTCCTCCAACATCTGACATGAATCGCTCAAGCGGATATCGCGGTTTTTCTTCAGTTGATTCGACGCGGGAATTCATTTCGATGAAGACGGAATTGATGGAGACGTCTTTTGGCGCGTTGATGGTGAGGGAGGGATAGCCATATTGGACTGTGATTGGTTGTTGATATTTTGATAAAAAATTTAATTTTATGGAAATTGCCAAAAATGAATGATAAATAAAAATTAACGATTTTGAGTCGAAACCTTTCCTGATGACATTGAAAGCTCTGAATTCTCGCAAGTTGTGGTGCAATTACAGTCGAATCGAAGTAGAGAATCAAATTTCTTACAACATAGAAGTCCTTCTCGTTTGTTTTTATATACCTGTAAAATTTCTTTGACGCAGAAAATATGGTCGAAAATCTTGCAATCGGGATAAGTGTATAAGTCCTCATATTGACGAAAAAACGGAGCTCGGCATCCGCAAGCTTTTAGCACCTTGTCGACTTAAGGGTATAGCCTGTGAGATTGAACAAACGGAAAATTGAGTTACCCTTGCATTCGTGAAAACAGCTTTCCACAGTGTATTCAGCGCGGCTGTACTTCAGCGTTCCATTTTTGATGCACTGGGAGTACGGTTTTCCGAGCTTGACGTACTTTGCTCTCGAGAGCTCTAGAATGGCTGCGTTTTTCGGATTGATCTGCAGCGATTTGGATCGAGCAACACTTTTGCTGTCATCTTCTGTGTAGTAAAGAGTGAACCCGTCGTAGAAGTTTTTCCAGCCGACGGACCAGTCCGTTTTATTGTAGATCGTGACTAGAATTGATGCTCGAAATTGATGTTTTACCCCTTTCTTACTGATATCAAGCGTTTTCGCGGTGGAACCAATGTAGCTCTTGCACTTTCCTTCTTGAAAATAGTCGTCTCTCCATCCAGCTGAACAATCGACTGGTCCAGCGCGGCAGGCGGAAACTTTGAAATGAGAGCTTGTTTTCGTGACGAGCTCCCACATCGTTGTTGATCGGAGGAGATGCTCGACGGAAATGACGTCTTCGTACATTTTTCTGTCACTGTGTTCTTGAAGAATTTGTTAATTGATCATTTGTCATTTGATCGCATTCCTAGGGGTCGACACTGACTATGTCGTCAAATGTCGTCAGATGTCGTCAAATGTCGTTAAAGGTCTTCAAATGTCGTCAAATGTCCTCGAATGTCGTCCAATGTCGTCGAATGTCGCTATTTTTCGACGATATTCGACGACATTCGAGGACATTTGACGACATTTGAAGACCTTTGACGACATTTGAAGACCTTTGACGACATTTGACGACATTTGACGATATTTGACGACATAGTCAGTGTCGACCTTTTTAAGAGATACCTGTCATGAGGCCAGTTTTCATCGCATTGAGAGTTTGTTCATTCAGCTCCATATTGTAATACAAAAGTCCGAGAATCTTCTCCAATTTCGGGTAATATCGCCTGAGTTTTTCCTTCGAATGCATCGAGTTCAAGCATAGCATTACTCTCGGAAATGGTTGCTTGAAAAGATGAGGAAAGATGATGGGAAAACAGCTTACTTCTCGAACTTCAACGATGTTTTGCTCGGTGTGCACTTCGAAGGAGAGATATTCCTGGAGACATTTGTACAGCGCTAGAATACAACGAAGAAAAAGAGCGACAAAAACGACAGAAGAAAGCTTCATTCTGCCGTCTTGTGCCACCTAGTGCCGGTCGGTGCCGCCAGGTGCCGTCCCGTCTGTAATAAATCTTTCCGGCATTAGCCGGCTCTATTCGACACTGACCGGCTCTAACCGGCAGAAAGTGGCTCTGGACGGCATTATATAGTAGCTTACAAAGCAACTTACCAATGGAAGATCCAGAAAGTCCAAAAATCACGACAGAAGCGAAAATAATCCTCTTGAACCTTTTCCCGATCGTTTCACTAAAAGAATCAATGTATTCCGTCTCAGAGGGCCAAATCTCAAAACTCGAATTTCTGCTGATCATTATTGTATTTCGCGTTATTCAATCGATGCGGCTTCAGTATTTCTTTGCCGACCCTTTCTGTCATAGAGGTCAGCCTGATCTAAGAGCTATTCACTTGTCAACCAGAATTGTTCTACTGATAAATCACTATTTCGCTCTTTTTCCTTTTGCCTCGGCTCGGCAAACTGTGTGAAAAACCTGAGTCAGGGCCTTAATGATCTTTTAAGACCTTTCAAATTTTCAAACCCTGACTCAGGTTTTCCACACAGTTTGCCAAGCCCAGGCCTTTTGCTCGCAGTGCGGCGTAAAGTCGTCTTTTTCTCTTTGGAAGGATCCAAAAAACCATTTTCAATAATCATTTTCGAATAATATCCGAACGATGATCCATTGAACAAGTGTTTTTGTAACTGACTATCGTCAAGAAACGACACATTAGTTGATATGTTTATGTTTTTATAATGAAGCGAAAACCGCGATCAAACGAATTCAATTCAATATTGAAATGGTACTATATTTATTCAGAGATAATGTGGTCTGACTAGCATGTTCGTTCCAATTAAGGATTATGGCAATAATCACCTTGGCAATTAAAAATGCAAATGTCAGCACTGTCAAGGGAAATAAACGAAAATGACTATAAAAGAAGTCAAGGCCTATCCCGTCCTCCTGGTCCCCTAACCCGGTCGACATTGATTATGTGGTCAAATGTCGTCAAATGTCGTCGAATGTCGTCGAGAAATAGCGACTTCCGACGACATTCGACGACTTGTACGATATTCGACGAAATTCGACGACATTCGACGACATTCGACGACATTTGACCACATTTGACGACATAGTCAGTGTCGAGTCGATAATGTCGACTTTAACCCTAACCCCTTTTCGTCAGCTCTTACCACCAAAAAAGCCGATTTATTTTCGGCTCAAAATGTTTTCTCGCGAGCCCAAAGTTATTTCTCCCTTTTTTCTTCGTTTTAATTTGCCTCACTATACTCATTTCTTACTGTCAACCCCAGCCGCTTATTATGCTCACCCCTGGTCGGGAGAAGGTTTTAATCTAACCCAATAACTCGTCTGTCAGAATGAGGAGAGTAATCAAAATTATAATACTCGCCGAGGAAAGGAGGTTTTCTTTACTTACCTCCAAGCCCATTTTTCTCTCAAATCGGTCCCTATCTAGAATTTTTATTTCATACTGTTTCTGTTAGTTTTTTATTTACCGAGCGATGTCTGATAAAAGCCCTCTTTCTACTCCATTTTCGCATGTTTTTTTTTTCTTACAATTGACAAAATGTAATGGGGTTCATTTGTTTTTAAAAACAGGAAAATAAGATTCTCTCGGTCATTGGAAAATAATCCCAGCTGACAGGAAAAACTGATCTAAGTGATTTATTCAATTTATACCGTGGCGTTTTTGAAGACAACGAGGAAACCGCGGGATTGATTATTGAAAAAGAGGGGTTTCAACATCTTTGATTTCATTTTCGTTAATTTTTTCTCTTCAGCGATTTCTTACTTTTGCTCGATGATGTGTTTAAGCATTTTTAGTTCGATTTTTAGTCAGATATTTTCATTTTCTACCAGCTTGCCTGACCTAAGCCATTGGCAATTGTCATTCGTTTCTGTTAAATTAGTTTGACAACAAGGTCATCAGAAGATTCATTGGAATAGGCTAATTAATAATTACTTTTTCATGATTTCTGCCAAGCAAATCCCGCCCCTTTCCAGAGTTCCACACTTAGGGGCTTTGTTTAGTTTCCTCAATCCCTAACCGAGTTGGGGGGTAAGGGGATTTAAGGGTCCCCCTCATTGCTCTAAAAACAGCTTGTTACAATCACTTACATTATGTTGCATTGATAGCTGTGTCCTCGAGCAAGTCGCGAGATCTTTTCCGGATAAAAGTTTTTCAAATGAAATTAATTCCAAATAAGCTTAAATCCGCGCCTCATCTCTATACGGTCCATAGCAAGTGCTCTCCCTTTTCAAATTTTTGCGATCTTTTTTCTCTCCCGATCCTATCATTCCAGCAAACGTTATTTTTGTCTCATTCATTATACCAGTAGACATCGCTTGCTATTCATAAAATGCTATTTTTCGCGAAAAACGAAGCCGTGTGATTTCATTTTAATTATTCGCTGGCGACGTTAATGCTTTATTATTGCCGTTTTGCTGTTTTGCTTTGAAAGCATAAGAAAAAAGCAATTGATTATTCTATCGATAATATTGTTGACCACAAATGTTCGATTAAATTGTCGATTATGGCATCAGAATTGCGATTTTTGCAGCCAAAGAATGCATTTGTTGATGCCAAGAAGGGGATTCTGCTTTATTATACAGATATTTTTTCCAAAGTAAAAATTCGCTTATTCGTGAGATTCCATCATCAAATCTTCATATTGCCTGAAAATAATCTTCTTTCCTCAAAAATCAATTTTCTTACCTAGCGTCAAAATCATCTTCAGTCTGCCACGAATCGTCGTAAAGATTGCCGTCTGAGTTATCGTTGTTAGAAGTATAGGCCAGTCCATAAATGTCTCCTCCGGAACTGCCGGAATCACCTGTCGGCGCATAATGGGCATTTTCCTCGCGACAGGTTTCTTCGGCTCCGGGCATATCAGCACATGCTAGCAGAAAGTTATGTAAATTTTTGAGCCAAAAATGATATTTTGAGATTCTTCAGGTATTGGCTTGAATCGACAAAAATAATAAAAATTTCATCAAAATTTTGGTCGAATTTTCGACGAATCAGATTTCGTGCAAATTTTCGCGAAAAATTGAAAAAAGGATATTGTCAGATTTTTGTCGATTTTAGCTACCAACAGACATTTTTTATAAAAACATAGAGCAATTTCTTACCAGAAAGAAAATTTGAAGCTTGTCTCTTCTCAATCTTATGAATCGGCTCTGATAACGAAAACGCCAAAAGCGGGATAAAAATTTTCATATTTTTCGATTTCTTTGATTTTGAATTTGAGCCCCTCTTTTCCGAAAAAATTCTCACCCCGCTGTTGTCTCTTTTTTGGTTGAAGTTTGTTTGTTTTTCAATTCGAAACTGGATCTTCTATTTCAAGTTTAGCCTTCAATCAAAATCATCAAATTTGCTTGATTGAGAATCGTTTATTATTTACAGTAGGAAAAAATCAACCAAGAGTCGAATAAGTGTGATCATCATAAGAGCTGTCTTTTAAATTTTGGTGAAGCTGTTTTTTGATCGGCAAAGTTTCCAGGTCCGAATATTCGTGCGAAAACGGCGCTGGGGCGGGAGGTAGAGTCGTCATTTTTCGGGCGTGGTGGATGAAGGGGATATTGTAATTTTGCTCTTCGGAGTAGGGAGGGTTGAACATTCGGCCGGGGTGATTTTGAGGAGCCCCAAGAGGAGGAGGGTTGAAATTGGGCTGCGTGTAGGAGACATATTTCATGTTCTGAAAAAATTGATTGAAAAATGGGAATCAAGGAGGAAAATTTGAAAAAAATTTTTCGAGAAATCAATTTTTTCGAGCGATTTTTACCTGAATAGTATCCATTGGATTCTGAGTATAAATATTCGGCGCCCGAAAAACTGTTTTTGAAAACTTCGCTTCTTTCGACTTCGTCCTTCTTATGAGCAGCAGGGAAACGAGCGCTAGAATCAAGGCGACTCCAGCGAGAGCAATGATCACGGCAATGAGCACTGCCGAGTTGTCTGAAAAAAGAATGTAAGGGAGGAGTTTGTCTGGAGATTTGTACCGTGAGGAGGGAGGGGAGCTTCGCAGCCGTAGAAGAGGATGTTCATGGCGGGAACGGGCGAATCAACTGCTGCTTCGGGATAGAGTCGGATTTTTTCGGCGAGGAGGGGGGTCATGAAAGTATGGCTAAATTTTGCTCTTTATAAAAAAAAAATTTATGGTGCCTTATTCACAAAAAAAAATCATGAAATTATATCTGCAAAAAGACTGTAATTGAAAAAGTCAGAGTTGTCGTGTGTCATTCAACCCGTCAAAAGTTCAAAGGATCGGGGAAAATCCCCCAAATCCGCTTTCTCGTAAAAATAAGTCTCTTCCTTGATTTCAGTAAATCTCACCTTGAAGAAGCAATATCAGCGGAGAAAGACTCTTCAAGACTCGTCCACTCCCCATCTTTGTAAATTTGAATTTCAAATTTCGAAGCGCTCCAGGGGAAAGGCTTTAGATCTGAGCCCTTGGTTTCAATTCGCTCGAGCCGCATGAGGCCATTGAAGTCGACCTGAATGAAAAGAGGGTTGAAGAAAGGAGGTTTATTATATCTTTTCTATTGTTTATTTTTCATTGCTATTTGAGTTAGATTGAAAAATTGATGATTTTACTAAAACCATAAATATTTTTCGAATTTTCAGCATGCTATTTTTCTTTTGAGGTAAAATTTTTGAGATGAAAAACATAGAATTGTAAACTTTCACTTTTCGAAGAACTCGGGCTTAAAGCTAATTATATTATTTATTGAACATTATATAAAAACAATACTAAAATGCCGAAAGAAAAATTTTTTAAAACAGTTTTTCTGTCAAATCTGCGCTTCAATAATTGAATCTCAAACAAAGCTTTGGCTATTCAGAAATCTAATTAGCGCTGCCCTTTGGAATACAAAAAGCTAGGCAAATTTGTTTCCACAGCTTGAAAGTTTGACGTTCCATATTGTCAAGATTATCTCCCCGCTTATTTGAGCTTTCAATCAATCTCGCTTTACATTCTCTTTTTCTTTCACTTTCTCAATAATTTACCTGAATCCACGGTTTTCTATCCTCAATCGCCGGCGCCCAGGGAAAAGCCCCATTGGAAAAAGCATTTTCTCCCTTCCAGTTCAAGACTGTCTCGACTGGCGTCATTTCCGGATCCGACTTGTCCAAAAACGCCTTTAAAAAGCTACTCGTCTTGATTTTCTCCAAATCGACTTTGAGAATATTTTTGTTGCCACATTTGCTCGGTTCTTTCAAAAAACCAATCGGGATGAAATTCGTCTTTGAATTCTTGGTTTGAAGACTTTTGATCGAATTTAGAGTCGATCCGGGAATAATGATGACGTCATCACTTCCCGCGGGGACTTTTCGCAGCTCTAGAATTCCGCCAAATCTGTCGGAAATCTCTCCAGCGTGAATTCCACTGCGGCAAATTGACGATTTCGAGTCAAAACCCATCTTCGAATCGCCAAAAACGCCCCCGTCGGTTCCAGCACAGCCCGCAGGGCAAAGCACCGAAAAAGCTCGGCTATTTTTCGATTCGATTTGAAGAATCTTCGAAGAAAGGGATGAAAAGGAAACGGAGCAGCCGATAAGACGAGGGCCAGGGGGAGAGCGGGAGGAGAAGAAATATGACATTGTGGCGGCCGAAGATGTCCAGTTTGAAGAACTGATAAGGACGGTGACTGGGAGCTTTATCGAGGGGGGAAAATCGCTGCCAGAACAACCTGAAATTTCATGATAAATAAATAAAACACTCAACAAATAAATTATAAAGTGAAACAGACATGACGATAATGGGTTAAGCCAACTTTTAATCGGAAAAAATAAGGGTGTCACTTCATTAATTTTTCAAGAAAAATCCAATTGAAAAACAGGTCTGCCCTGCTAAGCCCCGAAAAAAAAGCGTCGTCTTTCTGAGAAACTGTGGCAAAACGATTTTAATACACATGTATTTTGGGTCTCAACAAATCCTTTTGTCCGGCAATTTTCCGGTTGAGGACTTTTGAAAATTATTTCTAGCTCCTCTGGCCGCTGCCGCTTGTGGGAACCGCGGCATCAGCGATCAGGGGAAGCGATTTGTCAAAAATCAAGAAATAAAAACGTCAAGAAGATACTTTTTCTCGTCATAGAAAATCACGTGATTTAAGGATTTGCCCACTAGGACAATTTTTTTTCATGGTGACTCCCTTATTCATTTTTGGTAAATTAAAGACTCTCAATATTGTGTAAACACCCTTAAGCCGGCACTTTTCGTTGTTGCTTTTTGAAAGAAACAATGTTCGAAAAAATGTCAAGTTTGAAATTTCCGCCCTTTTATGTTGCCTGTTTGCTAAACTTGAAAAATACAATCAAAAATGAAACTTTCTCACTGCTTCGAGACACTCATTCATTTTGTTACCTTTATAAACGCGCTCCTCGCCATTGGATTGATGTTCTTTCACTTTGAGTTGGAGGAAGTCGATGTCTTTTCTTCCACATCCTCTTGGGAAACTCGTCACCAGCTCGACCGAGGAAGCGCCTGACAGTGACGAAAATTGAATCGACTCATCGGTCGAAAACTCAATCGTGCCGCTTGGGTTCTTTTCGTCGTTGATTTCAAGCGCTAGAAAAAAAAATAATTATGAACCAGGGTAGGTTGGGCAAATCTTTGAAATTATTAGGCAATTGGGGAAGTGAGGGGTCCTCTCAGCCAATGAGAAGCCGGTATTTTTATATCAGCTAATTATTAACGATTTATCCCCCCCCCCTTGGGACTCCCTCCCCTTCCGGGGACCCCCCTAGTTTTTTCCCACCCTAGCTTTGGAGTGCGGTCGGTTTGGTTCTCAGCCAATCAGAGGCAAGTATTTTTCGCAACGGCCAATCAAAAACGAGCTTCAGCCCCCTCTCCTTCTTAAGACCTTTAGCCAAATTTCTTTCTTTCAAACTCAATTATAAAAAATTAACCCTCCGTCGGCAGGTGTGATAGAAAGTAGCCCCGAGCGTGCGTGCCTTTGTTTGCATTCGAAGCTAGGGTCGGCACCGACCACCGACCAAAACCCGACTTGGTCGGGTTTGGTCGGGTTGATTTTGGTATCGACCAACCCAACCTGGGAATTTTATTCTATATTTGGTCGGTGGTCGGTTTTGGTCGGTTGATGGTCGGTTTTTGGTCGGTTTTGGTCGGATGTTGATCGGGTTATGGTCGTGTCGGTCGGTTTTTTGGTCGGAAACCTTCGTATTTTCTTCGCTATTCGAGTATAATTTTCAGCGAATCATAATTTGTTTGGATAAAAACCGACCCCACCAGACCAAAAACCGACCACCGACCGACCAGAAACCGACCAAAAAGTAAGGCGACCCGACCAACCAAAGCGACCACGGATTTCGCCAAATTTCTAGGAGACCGACCAACCCGACCTGGGAAAGTCGTGGTCGGTGCCGACCCTAGATTCGAAGGTTCAATGGAAGGAAGAAAAGAAGGAAACCGTCAAAGCCTTCAAATATTATGAAAGAGCTTTCATTGTAACCTCGAGTGGCGACCCGCCGCCGCTTTCACTTTGTTTTCGACGAAATTTGCTCAAACCGGAGCATACACTTAACCTAAGCTGTGTAGAAAGCATACAGTCGCGTCCTTGTTCCAAAGAAAAGATTTGATCAGAACAAGCAATTTTTGAAAAAATATTTATCGACTCGAAAAATTGTTCCCATGAGAAAACAAAAATTTAATGATCTTTTGCGTCAAAAACTTTTGATCGATAACCTCAAAAAATTGGTGGATTTTGATGGATTGCTGCTTATATTTAAAAAAAATAGTCCTCTTTTTCGCTTCTTTTTTAATTCCTTATTTTGCGTTGAAACTTTCATAACCCCTTTCTTCATGAAAACAAAGTAAGCTCATGATTTTCCCAAATTGAAGCCTCAAATGAAGCGAAAACCCAAGTTTTTTCGTCTTGGCAGGGAGCATCGTCCCTAATGAAGCTGAAAATCCATCCCAGGAATCGATGGTCAGCGATCCTAATTTTTCCGGATTATGGTTTTCGCCCCTGGGATGGACAAACGTCTAGTTAACGGGCGGATTAAAGGGGTTAAACATGCGGCGAAGGAATATTCGTTTTGTCAGTTTTTTGACCGATATTTTCGAGAAGAAGGATGATATCGCGTTGAAAAAATAACATGTTTCGGAAAAAAATATAGAGCTCTTAAAGACGAAGACAAAGTGGCAATCAGCGGCCGTGTTCTCACGAAGTAACGCAAAAGTGCCCAAAACGCGAGCAAAGTGGAGCGCGAAAAATTTCATGGCGAGTTTATTTTCAGCATCATTTTCCCAAGAATTCAAAGCCAGCCTTCTTTTTCTTGGTCTTCTTTAGTGTTATGTTTAGGGCAGTTCGAAAACTACGGGTATCCGTTGCTTTTTCAAAATGTGTAACTGACTTTCACCTTATCAATCATCCCCTTTTTTATCAAAAGGCTCCTTGAACCCTTTCAAGCAATGCCGCGGGCCATAAATATCCCCAACAGAAAATCAGCAAAACGATATCACACTTGAAGAGTTGGCCCTATTGTCACGTGTGCCAGCCATAAACACGTGATCAGCTGATTGATGGAGGCGGATAAGGGTCTTTGTAGCGAGCTCAATCAAGGATTACAAATCTGCATGAATTTCGAGCTTCGAGCTTTTTTTCGGCGGGTAATTTGAATCCTCTGATTTTGCGCATTTTTGCGTGTAGTCGCATATAGGGTGTACCCAACCGAAACAAGGAAAATAATTGGATTGATGTACTGTTTCATGTATGGATTTTATCAACACTTGAGAGAATAGAATAAGGGAGTAGACAGCACTAACCAAAAATTTCTCTGATTAAAATTAACTTTATAAGAGAGGGTATCCCCTTAAAGTCAATTCTTGTAAAAAAAAGAATAAGGGGATAGACAGCACTTACAAAAATATTTTCTGAGCCGACGAAATTAAATAAGAAGGGGTGTCCCCTTAAAATCATTTAAAAAACTTGGCATGGAACAAAATTTTAAGCAAAAATTTCAGTGTCAAGTTGGCAGATGGAGCAATATTTGAAAAATTCTTCGTATGCCAAAATTTCTCGCTCAAAATTTATTCAAAACGCAAACTGTCAATCATTCAACTCTCCTCGCCCATTACTGTAAGAACGTTTCAGCTGTGGATGAATTTATAGAGCAATCCGCAGGCGGAAATGTCGCCGGAGAAAGGAACCAGCTGGAGGGCGAGCGGCGGCGAGATGAAAAGCATCGAGCGACAAAGTGGATTAAAATTGCACCAGAAATTGACAAGGCTGGATAAATATTGTCGCAAATGTACAACTCAAGTGTTCTTTTTTGATCGACGAAAAATATGGAAAAGGGGAGACTCTTTGTTTTTTTATTGAGAATAATTTGTTAGGGTTAGGCTTCCTGGGCAAAAATTATCAATTTTATTTTTGAATAAGAATTGATTCTGTCATTTACCTGTAGTTAACTGTAGAATTGTCGGTAGAAAAATCTTCCAATAAAAAATCTTCATTTTCGGCTCTTTTTCTTTGTTCTCAATTCTTGACTCTTTGGATATAAAAAGTTTGTTGGGATTTTTGGGGTATATTTTGTACTTGTGTTCACTTAAAAATATATTTCTTCGTAAATGTGCTTCAGCTGTGGTCCAGCTCGCGCTCGTGCCCGGACCCCTCCGAAGCGCCACCTAGCGTGAGACACGGCGGCGCCGTAAAAGAGAACGCAGAATTTTAAGCTTTTGCACCTGGTCGGTTTATTTTTATTCTGGATTCAGAGGTCGAAATAATATCATTTAGAAAAAAATTTTCTAGATGTCAAATCTCCAAGACCATAAATCTGACGTGGAATCATGTGACTTATATTTTTTTTAGGTCATAAAATTGATCCCAAGAGTCAACCATAATTTGCATATGTTTGAATAAGCACTTCATAAATTATGAATCATAATGATTAAAAAACCTTCTTTTGAGCATTTTTCTATCACCAAGGACCTTGCTAAATCGTAACGCTACTTGACCCGAAAAACACGGGGCAGAAAAAATAATACGATTTGTTTACCAAACTGCCTAAAGCTCCTTATCAGCGACCCGCTTACTTGCCGATCAAGAATCTTCAAATCTTCATCTTGTCGTAATCAGGGTTCGAAATCGCCTAGGCGAATTCGCCTAGAAGGCTAGGCTAGGCGAGGTTAGGCGAATTCGCCTAGACAACCTAGCCTTGGCATGAAAATTTCCAAGGCGAAAAATTTCGCCTAGCCTAGCCTCAAGGCGAAAAATATTGGCGACTTAGGCGAATTAAGGCGAAAAGGCGAAAACCTTAATTCGCCTTGAATTTAGGTGAATCAAGGCGAATCTAGGCGAGATTAGGCGAATCTAGGCGAAATTAGGCGAATCTAGGCGAAATTAGGCGAATCTAGGCGAATTTAGGTGGAAAGGCTTGATCGTTTTTCGCCTAGGCTAGCCTTGAAGGCGAAAATAAGGCGAATTTAGGCGAAATCAAGGCGAAAATATTACATATTTCTCTGCCCTGCCCAAAGCCTGTGAAAGAAATCCGAAGATCTCGGACCAAACGGTGACCGTCTCTACGCCTTTTTTTGACTTGTTCCCTCTTTTCGACTTTTCGCCTTATTTTCGCCTAAAAATATAGAATTTTCCGATTTTTTCGACTTTTCGCCTAAATTCGCCTAAGGCGAGTTCGCCTAGCCTAGCCTAGCCTTGAAGGTTGAGCTAGAGCCTTCGCCTAGCCTTTTTTCGCCTAGAAGGCGAAAATTTCAGAAAACCTAGCCTAGCCTAGCCTTTTGATTTTTCGCTCCGATTTCGAACCCTGGTCGTAATATAAACAAATCGTCTTCTAAATTTCTGAGTCAGCAATGGAAATTTGTGAAGAACATAAAAAGGCGAAAAAACGAAGATATGTGTAATCCTCTGAGAGCTTATTTTCTCGCAAAGGAGATAATCCATTTCTCGGAGAAATATTTTTGCGATTTATCGCTCCACCAGCGCGGCACAGGTGCGCTAGAAACTGACATAAATAATTGTTGCAATTTGAGCGACAATTGAGTGATTGAGGCCTCATTCTTATCCTCAGTCTTTCTAGAGCTACAATCTAAAAAGCATAAGCAAATAAAAAACAAGAATCAAATTTTTTTCATAAATAATTTTTTTTTTCTTTATTAACTGCCTCTTCATCATTGATGAATCATCAACAAAAAAAATAATACTTTGCCAACCTTACGTTCAAATTTGAGATCAATAAAATTTTTTCATTCGTTTAGTAGAACCTAAAGAAATTCTTACGTTTACCCTGTAAAAAATTTTTCTGTTGAAAAAATTTACCGGCGAAGACTAGAAAAAATTCTGGCCAGAAAAGATCGGTCAAAAATCCCGTCAAAAAAGGCCCATTTTCCCGAAAATGCACGAAAAATGGTCAATTTTTTTACAATTTTGTTAATTTCATCCTATAAATATTATTTTTATCAATTTATTTTAGGCTCAACAGATTTGGTAGAATATGAAGATCCCAAAAATTCAAGATTCATATCCAGACTATGTGTATAAGCAAAGTTACAATCACCCAGGAAAAAATTCTTGTTGACCCCCCTCCCCTTAATTCTGAATAAAAATAGACATAGTGTCTTACTTCCGAAAATGTCAGAAAATCGCTGCACCTGAAAACAAAATTACTTCCACCTGGCAACCTCTTTTTGGCCCCCGCTCCGTGAGAGAGGCCCAAATATTTCCGAAAATATGAAAAATCAAAATAGCGAAATTGGAAATTCCAACTTGTTGATAAAATAGAAAAAGGTTATTTTGATTACAGAATGGAATTTATAATTTTGCAAGAAAAAAAATGCACAGGAATTTTTTCGTTCTATGATTTCGTTTTCCATTTTTTCATTTTTAATTTAATTTTATTTTTTCTTAATTATTCTTAAAAAATAAAATAGCTAAGACGGGCTTTTTACTAACTTTGCGCTTTTCCTCCTGCAAAAAATAAGCCAAAAAATAGCAGTACAAAGTTTTTCCACTCAATTAGTTTTATTGGGGCGCTCGGAAAATCGCTAGATCAGCATAAATCTGTCTGGTCAAAGGGAGCATCCGCCCGAGCGCCAGCTTTCCAAACTCTGCGGCTTCGACCCAGAAAGCGTGCCTTTCATCTCCCTGACACCTGACAGCACTGTATGTTCCGCCTGTCAAGGAAGTTTTATTTAGGAGAATGATAGAGGACAATCTTTTAAAAATTCATACATCGAATCTGGTGAATTTGAGTTTGATAGGGTAATAGTTAATAGTTATGAATCGTCGGAAATAATTTTGAGTAAACCGGGAAGTGAAAAATCAAGACATCATTATGGTTCTTTTCGCCTTAATTTGTTAAATTTTGCTTTACTATGAACAACTGCTTTTCGTGGTGTTTTTCGACAAATTACAGAAAATCGAATTTCAATCATCCCTTTCTTTTACATTCTCATCCCTTTTAACATCTTTTATCCTCCGAAGAATTTATTTTATGGCAAAAAAATCTTCGCAGTTTTTTTTTCAAAGCCGACTTTTCAATAAAAATTTTTTCAGACCCTGACTCAGATTTATACACAGGTTTTCGAGCCCAGCCCTTACTTTCAGACAATAATACTAACGATTTTTGCCAATCATAATTGTCAAATTCTCACTTGCAAATTTGCCCTGTCGCCCGATTCATCACCATTCTCCTGTTTATCATCCCACACTCGTGCTTTATTTGCTCCAACAATTTGAAAATTGAACATCAGCGCCCATCGAACCCGATTTTGGCCAATTTGTGATCGGAAGTGCGCTTCACCTCGCCTCATAAAAACGCCAGGATGAGGACTCCTCACTCCCCGCTGAGCTTTTAAAATAGAAAATGCGAAGTGCGACCTAATTATTTCGATTCTGGGAAAAGAAGAGAGCTCGTCTCCTAGGGTTTTACAGATAAGCTCCTGCTGGGCAAGCGCCGATTGGAAAATTTTATAGAAACGTTGAACGAAAAAGTTGAAGTTTGTTCGTTTTCAGTTCATTTCGGGGTCAAATAAAGCCGGAGTAGTATTTGTCGATCATGAAAATTTAAAATGATGAAATTTGAACAGCAAAAGATGAACAGAAATTTTTCGAAAAAGAAAGTTTTTTTAGCAAAAAATGAAAAAAATCCTGAAAATTCTCTTCTTTTTACTTGGGATTTTTGCCGACCCGAAAAACTGCCCGTACGTTTTGTGATTGATTTTAAGTTTTATTGAGAGAAAATTCTAGTGATCAAGATTTGGGAGATTTGTGCAATAATCACTGCCAGGGAGAGCTTGATATTTGCAGGGAAGACTGTGGAGATGCCAGTTGCGAGACTACTTGCAATCGGGAATTTTTGCTTTGCATTGATGATTGGTGAGAAATAGGGTCGAACAAAGTTGCCAAATAATTCTAGCCCCTGTGGAGAAAATTGCGAAAACGGCTGCGAAAACTGCCCAAGCTCCTTTTGCGCTTCCACCTGCGACGATCCTGAAAACAACGAGGACTACTTAGTCTGCAAAGACAAAGTAAAGGGAAATCTAAGCGGATGCTTTGACTTCTGCGACAATTCGATCGACTGTCATCTCAACTGCTCGGAAGAGTACACGAAGGATATTTACAGTTGTCCCTGCATGGAAGGATGTCTAGGCTTACCGGACTAAATTTTGACCCTTCTTTCTAGCTTAGTTGGGTGGTCATATGACACAGTTTTAGAAAGCCTAGCTTCTGGGCTTTCATTTGGGCACAAATTCAAGGGGTCTGGGTCATGCCGTAAAACTCGGTTTTGAGTTCTAAACTCTACAATTATATGTATAAAACATATATAAACAAAAATTAACGCATTAAAAAGTTGAACCGAGGTCAAACCGGGTGGTCAACCGGGTGGTTCATCGTGGGCCATATTTCCATATATTTGAAGGTTTCTAGAGTTGAAACACCCGGTTCGACCGCGGTTCAACTTTTAATGCGTTAATTATTGTTTATATATGTTTTATACATATAATTGTAGAGTTTAGAACTCAAAACCGAGTTTCACGGCATTTCCGGATTTTCACCGCCAACTTCTAGCGCCTCCAGGTGGCCACAAACGGCTTGGCGCTAAGATTTCTTGAGCTCTACTGAAAGCTCAGAGCCTGAGCTTTCTAAATATATGACTCTTGACTACTCTCGAGCCCGGACGGGCATCGAAAAATAGTTTGAAGGATTCTAGTACCTATTTTGGGACTTCAGGTCCCATGAATTGCCTTGCGGGCATGACCCAGACCCCTTGAATTTGTGCCCAAATGAAAGCTCAGAAGCTAGGCTTTCTAAAACTGTGTCATATGACCACCCAACTAAGCTAGAAATAAGGGTCGAAATTTAGTCCGGTAAGCCTAAGGATGTCCCACCGGCTGCCCAGGATGTGGCGATTACAATTGCGAGTCCAACGAATTCATCGTTTTTCACCCGGAAGAATCGTATCTCCAAAACACCATTGGTCGAAAAACGCCAGTTCAGTACTCTTTCCCTGACTCTGATAGTGGATATATCAAGTACGCCGCTGGTGTCTATTTTCAAGGCCGATTTCATGTCTTCGGAGGATATAAAGACTCGAAGGCGATTTTGATTCTGAACGGCTGTGATTTTGAAAAGCAATCTCTTTCGCTTGTCTACAGTCATCGATATACCCAGACTGCGATTGCTCTTCAAGACGATTCTAGAGGTACAGTTCTGAAGAGCCCTTTATCAAAATATAGATTTTAAATATGATTCCCTTAGAAGAGATTTCTTCATTTAGTAATAAATTCTTCCATCAGGTGGAATCCTCCGGGGTCCTCAGAAGATCCACGTGATAAATTTTCTCGATTTTTATTTGCTAATGCGCCGAAAAATCAGGAAATCGCAATAATTCCCCGGAAGAGTCTCTTCTTCTTTTGCTTAAATTCTTCCAGTACGGGGGTCCTCCACGCATAAATAAAATACAATCTACTCGTTTGGTGTCGCTTATTTCGTTTTCGGGGCAATCATCAAAAATCATCGGTAATTTGTAGTCCTCCTATGCTTCTGGTTCGACAGCAACTACAAGCACAAGCGATGCCAGTACTACGATGGCCGAACAGTCGGGCTCGATCTTTACTCGACTCAAGCTGATCATCAAAAAGGTTGCGTTGGCTTCTTTGGGGACGACATCATTACTCTTGGTTCTGAAGATTATGGAAAACAAAACTACGTCGAGATCAGAAATAGCGAAAGTTCTGAGTGGAGTCGAACAACTGATTTTCCCGGCGAAGGGTAGAAAATTGACTCTTCACGATTTCGCTTTTCTTTAATCGTTACTTCTAGTGATACTGAGGGAAGATTCTGCCTTGGCGTCTCTGATGGCTTGATCACTATTGGCGGATATGAAGTCTTCCTCGGCGGACGAGTCAATGTTCATCTTTTCAAGAATCAAGTTTGGACAAAAATCGGCGAACTTTTTATGTGAGATATTTTCTATCAAAAAGTGAGGAAAAATTTGCTTTTAGAAGCATTATTTCCCCACCGCGATTTCTTTCGAAAACTACATTTTCACCGTCGGAGAAGAGTCCAATGAGCGGTTTTTTCTACGATGAAGAAGTCGAAGTTGAGAAAATCGACATCGACCCAGAAGTTCTCAGTCGCCCGGTTGGAGATCGAAGATACTCCCTTATTCTCGATGGAAAATACAACACTTGTTTTTAAAATATATCAGAGTGATATTTCACGCTGGATTTTCCTAAATTAAAAAATTTATCTCTGTAGCAATTTAATTTTATATAAGAATTGCTGTTGCTCATCTCTAATAAACTAGAAAAAAATGATTAAAAGCCTAAATCAATGGATTTAAAGGGCTTTGGTCACTTTTATTGGTTTTTGAATTTTTTATTTGTGTTATTCGTGCATAAAAATATCAAATTAGTCAGAGAATCAAGATTTCGCTTAGAGTTACTTCTTGTGTACTTCACGGCCAGTCCCATCCACCTCTACCGTTGCGAGTTGGACAAGGGGGATTAATGCAAAGCTCTTTGATAGAGTTTTCTTCTCTTTGAAAATTGTGAATAATTGAGAATATGAAATACTAATGTACAAATAAAATTCAAAAAACAAGCTCTTTAATACAGAAGAAAACCCATCCCTGGTACACCAGAGAAGCAGGCGGTAACACTGGAGACGACAGCGAAGAGATTAACAAGTTTCATGATGTTTTGAAAACTGTGACTTTTTTAATTTTGGGACTGCATATATAAGCTGCATTTGCGTCAATATCGTCCTCGACCTTCAAACTCATCGGATGTTCTTAGTCTATTTTTGCAAATGAAAAAAAACAACATGCGCAATAATCATGGAATACAAACACTACAAGGAAAAATTCCTTCTGAGCCTCGAAGGATAAAATCGACGAAATGCCGCATATTTTAGCAAAGTAAGAATAGGAACCCCCCCTCCAGTTTACAATTTTCGAAATATCAAAAATCGGGTTTTCATTTTTATGACCCCAGAAATGAAATCTACAGGTCCAAAAACGATTTCAGGGCTTCATAAGTCTTGTCTCTCTCTCGACTTCTTCACTCTCAAAATCGCTTTTGTAAATTTGACTTTTTGATAAAAATGACGAAAAACTCCAAATTTCAAATAAAATTTTAGATTTTTATAAGTCAATAATTGCTCTGGACAAGTTTTCATGATGAACTTTACTTCAAGGCACACTAAGAAGCCGAAATATGGCTGTTTTGAAATTTTCGATTTTTTGAGGGAAAGTGTTGATTTTTTAAGGCAACGGTTATCGATCAGGCTACGTTTGAGGCTGTATTCCTGAAAACCTATTGATGGTTGAAGATTTCTTATCATTTTTATATGAAGATTTATCGTAGATCTTAATTTTGTCAGAAGGAAATTTTCTTCCTCTTAAGAAACAAAGACAACCGTGATGTTTCTTATGCTTTGAGCTTTATAGCAGCTTACATAAAAACAAAAATGCTCAGAATTTTGCGCAGAATTTAATAGAAGACAAAATAAATGTCTTAAATGCATTATAAATCCCTTTAGAAATCGAAACCCGTACCCCTAAAGAGTTAGATATCAAAAATCACAGTTTTCAAGCAGATTTGAAAAAAAGCGAATTCTGACATTCTAAAGGAGGTTCTAAAAGGGTATTTTAAGAATAAAATTTACTGTATTGAAGTCCGCGTTTTATTTTGGATTCCCAGAGATTCACCTTTCGCCAAAAGAAAATCGAATATTTTAGAACCATCCAACTCAGTCCAAGAATCAACCAATTAAAGGCTATGAACTAAAGCCTATGGTGGTCGATTAAGCTTCAAGCAGAGATTTAAATCTCTGGACTCTTAAATGCCAGAGTATCTCATACTAGCTTAAAATGAACATCTATTCAAGATATTTGACTAACAGAAGCTTTTTCCGTCATTCAAAGAAAAAAGCCCCTTTTTTTATTTTCTATTATTTAAAAAAGAAGTCTTCAGGAGGGGTTTCACTGTATTTAAAAGCATTCGGGTCCTATCTGGACTTTTTACCCTCAAAATCCTATTTGAAAATAAGACTTTGGACAGAAAATGCGCGGTACGTTATTTTGCTGTTTACTGTCTGAATTTTTACTCAAGAACATACTTTGTAATTTGACTAACGTGAATTGACGTAGGAAATCTCCATCATTTGGGTCAAACTCCGATGCTCTTAGTCGGCATCAAGGACATCTCTCACGCAACAATGCAAACTCGACACTATAAATACGATAGTTTTTCTTCAACATTCGTGAGAAATATTACAAAAATATTTCGGAGCTCAAAAAATGAAGTTTTTGACTCTTTTTGCGGCTGTATCTTACGGAAGTGCCTGTTCATTTAAGGGTTTCGAATTTTTTGCCTTTTTAATGTTTTATAAAAATTCAAACCCTTATCAGTTGGCTCGCATGATGGCACTCATGGCGCTTTTTATGAAAACGACGGCATGTATGCAGGCGGCGGCGTGTCTGACAGCGGAAACCCAAAGATCTCCATTGGATGGAAATTTAAAAAATAGACATCTTTGATCAATGATATTTCGGATAGTTCCTGAAATTCATACTTTCTGATTTCTTTTTATTCTTTTAGATTTTTATTTCTGCGATTGAAATATATTAAAAATGAGTTTTATGGTTTATTTTTTAGCCTCTTTGCAATCTGAAAACATAACAAAATAAAGTGGAAATGAACTGCGAATTCAACAGTTCCTGTCCAGCGTCATTTATTATATTGCGTGGCTTTGCAGCTCAGGTTCTTCCTTTCTGAAAGTTGCAAGTTTTAACTCTTCTGAAATCAACAAAAAACCCCATGTTCGAAAAGCTCAGGAAAATATTCAAAAACGGCAAAGACAGAGAAATTGACAATGATTCCGGCAAGTCCAGCAAAGGAAATTCCGGCAAGAGGCGGCAAAGTTTGATCGAAAGGGTCAGAAAGTCGATTATTCCCGATGATATGGACTTGACTTTTTCGAGGTAAGATCGCAAGAAATCATAAAATAAATGTCATTTTTGAAATTTCGATTTTTTGTCTTCAGAAAACTTTGACTTCCTGAACAAAAACTTAATAATTTGGATAAGACCATCGAGATTTTCTGCCTTCTACTAAATAATGACATCAAAACTAAGTCTGAAACGAGCAAGCCAGCTGGACACGAAACGCCGCTCAACTAGAAAAACTCAAGAAACGAAGCACGTGACCCTTTCAAAGCAGAAAGTCGACCAAATTCTCGACAAGGAACCGCGCGTTTCTCAGTATTTAAAAGTCGAACCATGCAATCGAAGAAAAGGAAGCAACTCGAGAATTTGGGCAGTTTCGGAACAAAAGGTAAACAGAATTCTAGAGCCCCTTTTTCTTGAAAATCGTCCTTTTGAAGATCAAGAAAAACGATCAAGAGTAAAATTTATACTGTCAGATGTGTACTCCCGCCTGTCAATTGGCACTGTAAATCATTTCTTCACCTGTTGACAGGGAAGAGTTAAAAAAAGATTAACCAGTCTGATTTCTTGAGTCAGCGTTTGTGACCCCCGGTGGAAGCATTTAAAAGATTTTAGGGCATATTTCTCCTTCTCAGTTATTTGTTCTAGGACCACGATGCGAAAGTAAGAAGGCAATTTAAGCACGTCCCGATTGAAGAAAATATTCAAGGTAAAATTTCTCCGCAAACACTTTTTCCCCCTTTCTAGAGTCGAGCCAAAGTGATTCGCTGCGAAAAATCTCCACCTCCCCAGCTTTGATCCGTGCTCAAGAATCTCGTTCCTCGACCAGAAGTCTCCAAAACCGAATCGCCGAAAAAGTGCTCCGACAAATAGAACTCGTTATTAATAAACTTTGCTTTATTCGATATTTTTTTGGCAAAATATGAGTTTTCTTCTGCAGGATTGATTTCTTCCTTGATTTCATTTTTGCTTGCTTCGTCCAACGAACTAAAAAAATCATGAAAATGATTTCAGTCGAGTTTTTTTTTACATCATTCATTGCATCAAGAACTCCTCCCCAGGACAAGAATGTCAAACCAGCGTTTCTCGGAAGCATCTCTTGAAGAACCTGAATTTTTCATTAATTACCTTAATTCTTTGCTCATCAACCTGTGCCGAAAATATAAGTCAGAGTCTGAAAGGTTCCTAAATAAAAGCCGCGCGGCGGTTTTTTTAAAATCGAAGCCGCAAAGCGGCTTCGCGAAACATCTTCTCTTGTAAAAGTTAGAATTTTCGCGAAGCTGCTGTGCGGCTTCGTTTTTAAAAAAAGCCGCTGCGCGGCTTTTCATTTGATGTCTTTCAGACCCTTTCTCAGGCTTTCTACACAGGTTTTCGAACTAAGCCGGTATCAATTAAAAAAGAAATTTACCGCTAGAATATCAAGAATCTTTGGCAAGAAAATTCTGTCCGCATTCGTCTGAATTCCGTGAATAACACTGTCGACGACTGATTCCGGCGTAAGAATATCCACCAACCACGGTCGCTTGGCAAAGAAGCCTTCAAACATTCCCGTCGAAATCGCGTAGGGGCAGACCCAGGAGACCTTGACCGCGCTATTTGCCTTGTACAGCTCCATCGACAGCGACTAAAATTGTTGAAGGGAAATGGTTCATGATTATTTTACGTCGGCAAAGTGGGCGGCGGCGGCTTTACTTGCGCAATAATCAGCGAGCTTTGGAACGGCGAAGTAACCAGCAGAGGAGGCGATCGAAACTAGAATAAATAGAATTGAAATTTCGCAAATATTGATGAAGAAAAAACGAGCTTTTTGATCTTCAAGGGCATCTTTCATCGCATTTTTTGCGAAAATTTTCGCATTTTTTTCGCAATATTTCGCAATTATTACTGTTTTTTTCGCAATTTTCCGCATTTTCTCGCGAAAATTTTCGTATTTTTTCGCAATAAATTTCTATTTTTTCTCAATTATTCGCATTTTTTTCGCATTTTTCGCGAACAACTTACTGACATGTCCATGATTATTTTCCACCATTTTTGGCAAAAACGCCTTCGTCGTCCAAAAGTGCGAAATCGCGTTGACTTCAAAAGTCTTCTGAATCACCGCGTCATCCGACTCCATGAACGTTTTTCCACCAACGATGCCAGCGTTGTTGATCAACATCGTAATATCGCCGGCGAGTTTCGCAGATTTCTTGGCGACTTCGTAGACTTCAGCGCGGTTGGTCACGTCGCATTTGAAACCATACGCTTCGCCGCCATTTTTTCTAGAAATTTTAAACAAAAACGACGCTGAAAGGGGCTATTTACCTGATTTCTTCGACAGTAGCTTCGTTTCCCTTCACATTGACATCCCAAGCGACGATGACACATCCCATGTCGGCGAGTTTCTTGGCCATGAGAGCTCCGATTCCGCTCCCAGCGCCGGTGATGCAAACGATTTCTCCATTCAGATCTTTCTTCGACTTCGGAAAGGGCCATAAAATGATCGCTTGTAAAATTTGAAAAAGCGAAACAAAAACTGGCAGAAAATCCTCCGTGAATCCCATCGCGGCGAGTTTTTCTCTTTCTCCCTCTGAGCGGCGCGAGGATTTCGCAAATAAAAAAATTGTTCAACAAATATCAAAACGTGTACTAGAATAAACGAAAGCAAAGTCTTCTGAGTCAAAGGTCATAATGTCAGCGAGCCAATGAAAAAATATTATTAACGAAAATATTTTCATCTCGCTGCGAAATCAACAATGAGTAAATGACTCAAAAAATGAAGAGCTTTTTAGATACTCGTTTTTATAATTAATATTTTCTCTAATTTTTTTATTTAGGGAGAAGTGAAATTTTTCTTCCGACTTCGGCAAAATCCAAAACAGCATTTTCTTTTCTTTTTCGTCAAATTTTCAATTTCATTCTGAACAGCAAATGTCATCAATCAATTCGGTCGTAAACCCTGTGAAGAAAACCTTAGTCAGGGTTCTAAAAACAGGCTTTCAGAACCCTGACTCAGGTTTTTTACACAGGGTTTTCATCCCCAAATCAACAATAACCAAGCAAAACTCACCCGAAGAAACTGATTCTCCCCTCTCAAAAAGTCCAGCTCCGATCTGAGTTGAATTAAACTCGAGCTGGAAATTCCGCCTTTATCTCGTTTCATCTTTTCGAGCTCCTCAGCAAGCAGCTCGTCAAAGTTCTGCTCAAGTTTCTTTTTCAACGCTTCAGATTTTCGGAGCTCTTGGGCGAGGCGCTCTTCGTAATCTTGAGTCAAAAGCTCGATTTCGCGCATTTTTGCCTCTAGAATCGCTTCTAGCTCTGTTTGGCTCAAATTTGATGGTCGTCGGGACTTTTTCATAGCGCTCTAGAATCAGAATTAGTTTTCAATTTTTCCAGATATTGAGCCTTTAGTCGAGTTATTTCTTCTTCCAGCTCTTTGATGATCTTTGCCGCCGATTCTTCATTGACAATCGGCTCAGTCGCAAGCTCTTTCATTCGATTTGCATATTTCAGCGTGCTCAAAGTTTCCTGAAAATTCTCCTCGTCCGCGGAAATCGTCGCGATCATAATTGTCTAAGAAAAAATCAAAGAAGATTTCTCAACTTCTCAATTTCTACCTTCGAATTTCCAACAAGCGAGCGCTTCAACAACTGAGTCATCACCGATCCCCGGAAAATATGCGAAGGAGTTGGATGGCCAGGCGAATTTCTCAAATCGACCAGCGCTAGAAACCTATTTTTCCCTTTTCTTTCTCACTTTTCAAACCTTTGATGCACTCCCCAAGCTTCATCAGCGATAAATTGATGCTCACTCCTTCCTTGAATCTGTTTCCTTTCATTTCTGCTTGCCCAACTCTCTCCGATCCGGCGAGATCGACGAGGACAATTTCCGATCGCTTCACGCGGGTACCCTCGTTTTCCTTGATTTTTTGAACGAAGCGGATTTTGAAAATCGTGTGCGCTCTTGATGATTTCTCATTTTTATTTGTTGAGGCAATTGATCGTCCCTTTGCTCCTTAATTCAATTATGAGCTGGGTTATCTGTGAAGAAAACCTGAGTCAGGGTCTAAAAAATCTAAAATAAAAAGCCGCATAGCGGCTTTCTTAAAAAAAAGCCGCTTTGCGGCTTCAATTTGAAAAAAAGCAGCTACGCCGCGCTTCATTTAACGTCTATCAGACCCTAACTTAGGTTTTCTTCACGAATTTTCGAGCCAAAATTTAATTCCTTTAGCATTTTTCTTTCATACCTTCCGCCGCCACCTGTTCAACCTCTTCTCTACTATGAACCACGACTGTGGTCAAATTCAAGACCTTGAAATATTCGCCAACTTCTCGAACCTTCGCGAAGCCCCCATTTTTCGAGCCGAGAAGATCCCTCACTTTTTCATTGTAAATTTCGAGCATCGAAACTTCCACGTGATAATCATTCGTCGGAAATTTCGATCTCAGCGAAGAGATCTTCTCAAACAGCGCGATTAAAAGCCGAGGCACGATGCCGGGTTCTTCGTTGTCTCCAAAAACGGTGAAGGTCTTTCCGGAGCCAGTTTGGCCGTAGGTAAGAAGTGTTGAGTTGAAACCGGCGAGGGTGTTTTCGAGGATGTTTTGGCCGATGTCGGCGAAGATGGTTTCTTGGTCATCTTGTGGGTTGAAGACTTTGTCGAATTTGAAGGAACGGGATTGATGACTTTCCGCGTAAATCGAGTTATTTTGGATCTTTTGATTGGCTTATTCAAAAATTTTTATTTAATAGAGGAGTCGGGAGCTAGAATCCACAAAAATGCAACAAGAAATACCTTCATTTTTGCGAAAATGATTTAATGAAATCCGATTGGCCCATTTGCCGAATGCAGGCCTCTGATTCGCCTTTGAAGGACCAAAATTTTGGTCAAAAATGTCGGATTTCTTGTCAATTTTAACTTCCAAAAAGAGTCAGTAAAGCCAATTTCCTGTAAAACCGGTCTATCGCCATCGATTCCCAAACTCGGTCTCACCCGAATCCCAACTTGAATTCTCTCTCCCATCTCTTCTATCTTCAACGCGCTAGAAACGACCCATTCTACGGCTGGATAGAAGCTGTGAGAAATTTGCGTGTAACGAATTCTGTGAATTCAATTCCAAAGGATCGAGATTTGCAACAATCATTTCCTTTGTCTTTTTTTCTATTTCCACTGCTTGACAACACCCTGGTCGCCGCACCCCAACGCCACGGGAGGCGAGCGATTCTAGAGCCATTTTTGGCTGTCCACGGCAACCTTTGCTGAAACCTGAGTCAGGGTCTGTCAGATCCCAAACGAAAAGCCGTGTAGCGGCTTTTTTAGATTCGAAGCCGCGAAGCGGCTTCAAAAATTATTTTTCTTATCAATTTTTTTCGAAAAGCGACTAAAGCCACTTCCTGACTCAGGTTTTTGCACAGTTAAAAATTTATTTTAACATTCAAGAAAAAAACCTTTTTCGGGTCTTTTTATTTCGAGAAAGGTGACAATCAGGCCTGGCCCTCGATCTGTGCCAAGTTTAATCCCTCTTGCCACATATCTTTCAAAAGCTGAGATAAACTTTCTGACTCAACTGAGAAACTACCCTTATGAAATATGAAATTACTGTTTATTGAACGTCCAAACAGATCAAACGACGTCACATTTGCAAAACGTCGAATAATGAGAGCAATTCAAATAGTGGCTGTGGCTTTTTACCGGCTGCCAAATCGAATTATTCTTTTTTTTTCAAATCGATCATTTCTAGAATCGCCAAAAAATGGGCACTGAAGAGGGAAAAGCACGACGAGCCGCGGCTAGAGAAAAGTACGGACCACAGCTGAAGGAGTCCTTCAAGGCGCTGGACAAAGATGGAAGCGGTTTCGCTTCCGTCGAAGAAATGACCAAGCATATGGTCGAAAAGGGGATGATCAAGCCGGGAGCGCGAGAAGCTGATTTTGTCAAATCTTTGGTGAGATTTTTTAATAATATTTTTGTGGGAATAAAAAACAATTTTGGGGAACAAAAATAAATTTGAGAAAAAAAAACCATAAGTAAAATTTACAAATTATCGGAAAACATTTTAAAAACAACGAGCGTGTTGAAAATTATAATCATTAAAAATCTCTTTCTTTAGTCATCTGATCAAGTGATTTGGTAAAGAAACTTATCATCGATTTAAGAATCATTACCTGTCAAAAATGAACTACGGCAAAACCAAGCCCGGGGAGCTGAATGAAGAAGAATTCGTCAAGTTCTGGGCCGATTTGTACGCTCTTTTTGACAAAATCGACAAGGACGGAGGTAATTCTTTCTTCGCAAATATAAAACTAGCGGAGTTTTCTTGAAGATGGTGCGATCGAAATCGTCGAATGCGTCGAGCTCCTTGACGAGCGAGCGGACAAGTTTGGAATTTCCAAGGCTGATCTTTACAAGGTAAGCAAAACCAAACAAAAATTGATAAAACCGTGTTTTCCAAGCGCGTGGTTAATTTCTACAACAAAGCAGATGCCGATGGCGACCGAAAAATCTCAATCATCGAGTTTTTCCTCCGACTTCCCGAGCTCGAGGAGGCGCTCATGAACGCGAAGCTCTAAGCAAATGCAATACTTTTCCCAATTCTGACAATTGAATAAATAAGAAATGTTAAAAAACTGTTTTCATTGACATTTTCGAAAGTTTGTTTTTCTTTGAATCAATATTTTTCTGTTTTATTTTTCGAGAGCTCGATTATTTTGGTCATTTTGTATTTTGATGACTATGCAAAAAAAGTCATCAAAAGTCAGCTTCAGACTTTTTTTCTCGGAAAAAATTTCTTTTCCGTCACAAACAAAAATTCTAATAAAAAATGGTATAAAACGAAAAAAAAGCATAACAAAAACATCATAAAACAATAATTTCTTCGATCACGTGACGATCAGGTCAGGTCGCAAGAAGTGGCATCATGAGTTCTGATGTCTCAAATAAAAGCGACTCTTTAAGGAAAATCAGTCCATACATCAAACTTATTACTTGCGAAATTCAAAGAATTCTCGCAAAAATCACAAACCGAAAACAAAGAGCTTTTGATGGGGAACGCGGCGAGCTTTTTTAGTTACGAAGACCCGACTTATCAAAACTATCAAGAAAACAAAAGTAAGTAATGAAAAAGAGCTAGATTGATGAGGAAAAAGAGGCAACCTGTGTTGAAAACCTGAGTCAGGTTCTGAAAATACTAGATGAAAATCTGCGCAGCGGCTTTTCCTTATTCAAAGCCGCGGAGCGGCTTCGGAAGATGTTAAAAATGAATTTCATTGGAAATTTCGCGAAGCTACTACGCCGCTTTTTATTTAGCGTTTTTAAAAATCTGACTCAGGTTTTGATGCAAGGTAGGGAAGCCAGTTCGCCTTTTTTGAAGATTTTTGGAAAAAAATAATTCTCAAAGAATTTTTTTTTATTATCGCTTTTCAGATGGAGTCAGCTACAACTACTGGATCAGCGAGCCCTCAGACGTCCCACCCGCGCGAATCACCACGATCAAAGGAAAACCTTCCCGCCGCTATCTCCGCCACTTCCAGTTGGTCGATCAGCGCCGCGAAGAGCAGCTCAGACGAAAGTCGCAAAAAGCCAGACATCACAATACAAGACACGTGGGCGATGTCCTCTCGCAAAAAGAATTTCTGCGACTTGGCGAAATCGACTTGACGGCTTTTCTCGAACGCGCCCCGGCGAAATACAATCTTCGCTCCAAAAAACGAAATCGAAGACGAACTGCTTTTACCAAAGCCAGACCTCTGCAACACGATTATTTTGATGAATATGCTTATTGAATGCTCAAATAAATATAGTTACGCTGGTTCTTTAGATTAAGAATTCTCAAAGAAAAGCATAGACAAGACAACCTCTGTTGAAAACCTGAGTATGGGCAAAAAAGATTTTGATCAAAAAGGCGCGATGAGATCTTTCAGACCCTGAGTCAGGTTTTTTTCCGAAAATCTGACCCTGTATTCTACTCAGGAAATCACGCAAGCCTAAAATGAGGTCTTTACACTAGATTCAGGATTTTCGCACTCAGGTCAGACTTTGGAAGCCTGAGTAAGGCTCTGGTTTTTTTTATAGAAGGTTATAAGTATAACTAAGGCCTCGCATGAGAATTCGCATGACACAATTCAAAGATTTTTTCTGTTCCGTTCGCTTATTATCACACTTCGAAAACACCGATTAAAAAATTTGAAAAAAAATTAAGGTTTTTCCAAAATAAAAATTTGTGATCAATTTTCATAATTTAATCTTGATAAGAGAAAGCAAAGAAAGATCGGAAAATCAAGAGAATGATTCTGTCGCTCGTCGAGTTGGTTTTTTCTAAAGAGAATTCTAATTGCATTCTTGAATTTTTTCCATTTCCGGTCCAATTTGTTCATGTTCCAAGGCCAAGAGTGGGGATCAATTAATGTCGAATGATTTCATAGTCAAAGTTGCTGTAATGATAATTGCTGATGATTCAAGAGCGGAAAATTCGCCAATTTTTTCATACTGACACGTCTTGAACCCTTTTCCTTGAATCAACCTTTATTCAATTCGAAAAGAAATTTTGAAAAATATTTTTTTCGAGACAAAAGCGGCTCAAAAAGGCGTCAAGGATCATCTCAAAAAGTACAATGATAACTGACATCAGTAAATATTTGAAAGAAGCTTAGCGACCACACATTTTTCTGAAGCGACAGACTCCGGCTCTTACTGTCAGATAGAAAAAATGAGCTCGGAAACGAAAAAAGCTAGGACGAGGAGAAAAACTGTGAGTTTTTCGAAAGACACGAAGAATGAAGATGACGATGAATACAAAAATGTTGTGAGTAAAAACAAATGACGTCAATTTGAAAGAAAAAGCTTATAAAAGCCAAAATTTTCAAAGGATTTTGAAAAAAGAGAATGGGGATCGATTTCGAGAGGTTAATCGAGGTCAATAATTTTAACCCATGTCTGCTTTTGGCCAAAAATTTGTCAAAAAAACTCGCTTTTTTCCCAAAATTTTTTTATCCGACGATGTTTTTGAAATTTATCCACCGGTCGAAACCGGAAATCTGATTGGTCGAGAATTTGACCAAATTTTTGGTCAAAAATAAACATTTTTAAAGAACCTGAAAAACGACGCCATCGATGAATTCTCCTACTCCGCCCTTCCAAAACGACTCAACGAGCTCGGAGCTGATTTCGGAACTCGCCGGACGATTTCAGAATGCACTGCGGAGAAAGAAGAAGAAGACGAGGACGATTTTTCGCTGAATAGAATTTTGAGGTTAGAGTCTAACCGTTAGACTGACTCTTCGCCCCGCGATACCGGCCGCGCGAAGGTCGGTATTTGAGCAGCTTTGGGGCATCGTTATCTTTCTCAGAAAACCATAAAATGTCTGAGAAGCGATTGATTTATCGAATTTTGATGATTTCAAAAATTATGGGGAAATTGAGAAATATCAAATTTTAGCACAAAAACGCTTGCTCCAAGCAAGTCTTTCCAAGACGCTTTGTTAGCAATCATGGCTGAAAATCCCGAATCGCCGAAGAAATTCGACGAAATCGAATGGGACGAATACGGCTCCGGTTTAATTCAGGTCCGTTTTTTTTTCGACGAAAAAATGAATAAACCGGGAAAGAGGCGAAAAAAGAGCCGACAAGCTTTTTGGTGAAAAATCGGAGGACGAGTGTAGGTCCGGTTTGAGAAGGAGAAATGCACTTTTTATGAAAATTTTCTTTCATTTCGATTGAAATTGATTCACCAACCGTTTTTAAAGATGATAATGTAATTGGACTACGATTAGGGCCGAGAAGAAGAAGGGGTGGAATTATCAGCGAGGAAAGCCAAAAAGGTATGAAAAAAAGTTTTTTTGAAAAAATATTTTTCAGCCTTTGCGTCGATAAAAGAAAGCCAACCTTTAGAAAAATAATCACTGTTCATGATGATTAATAAAATATATTTTTGATAAATTCTGAATTGATTGATTCTTGAAAATATTTTCAGCCAAACTTTAATTAAGGCGAAGCTTCTTTGAGTGAATATTTTTGTCTTCTCTTTGCCAAAATTATTGTTAATTTAACAAAAAGAGCGCCTTTTTTCCCAATAAAATCGAAGCACCATAAAGGCTTGTTCAAGTTTATCGGCTACTTTAAAGAAAGATTCAAATTATTTTCGGAAAATATAAGACTAGCATCTAAAGTTATGACCGTTAAGCTATATCTTTAATTATTTTAAATAACTATTTTTTATGACGGAGCAACTCAGACGGTTCATTGCAGCTCTATCAGAACCCTTCTCAGGTTTCTTTTTTATAGCAGGATTTCAATTGAAAAAAAAACAAAAAAAAATTACTTGAGATATCTCTACGCGAAACGGAATTCTGATGGCCTCAATATCGGTTCAAAACTTGCTGATCGTGCATTGTCCGAAGCTACGTAAGGGTAGACCGCCGACTGTTATTACATTTGAAATTGAATTTCGTCTTCCCACGGCTAGTTATGTTAATGGGGATCACTTCAGCAAGTATCGTTGCGAAATGGATTTTACGCCGCTCAAGTTTGACAAGTTGACAAGCACGATTAAAGATATTCAGGAATCTTAGATCTCTGGCCCGTTCTTGACACGCCGGACTTTTACTCACGAAAATTTGTCGGAACATAAAAAAAAAAGAGAAAAAAGAGAAAAAAATTATGAAATTGAATTTTTTCACATTTTTGATTTTTCAGCAAATTGAAGCCAAAAATAAACTAGTAGAGTTCTTTTAAATTTTTTTTAAAAAAAAACGCTGTCTGCCAGACATTGTCCAGACAGTGTCTGGTAGACAGAGACCAAGAAAATACAGTAAAAACGCCAAAATAAGAACTCGTTCCAAGAAAAATCTTTTCGAGAAAAAATCCGCCTCAAATCAATTCGAGAAAAACCGATTCGAGAAGCCCAGTTCCCACGATTTCTCGAAAAGCTTCATCGTCAGCTTCGAATTTTCCCCGATTTCAAATGCTTGGACCCTTCTCTTACGCCTCGATGGAACGAGCTCACTGCTGGGCAACGATATTTGCGAAACCAGCGCTTTAGAAACAATTGCAATGAAGAGATTTTGAGAAAGAAAAAAATCTTTGAAGATGAAGTGAAAAATTACTATTTTGATTTTTCGCCGCATTTGGCGAGAGGATACGCGAAAAATACGCGGAAAAGGAGAGAAGTTGGAGCTTGGCGGAAAGAGTTGGAAAGAGAAATCGAAAGATTTTTCTCAAATCAGCGGCTTTGGAGAAGAATGGGGAAGAAAAAGGAGCGAAACCGAATGTGGTTTTTATTATGGCAGATGATTTGGGGTACAAAGATGTCGGATACAATAGGTAAAAGAGCCGCTGATACACATCAAAACAATGGCAATAGTATCTTTTTTCGTTAAAAGATACCCTGAAAAAAAACCTTCGGTGTTTTAAAATTTAAACATTTGTCATGGTTCCTTTTTTCGGTTGGATCTTATCTTTCCTCGAGTCTCGAGATGACTTTTCAAAAAAAATTAATTATTTGCGGTGTGAGTTTTGACCGCGAAAAAGAGTCTACACGGCAACGCAAAGGGTCTTCACCAGAATTTGATAATCGATTGGAAAAATAATTTTTAGAAACCATCTATAGCGAAGCGGCTTTTCCTTAGAGATCATCCAGACCTTGACTCAGATTTTCTACTTAGGTTGCCGAGCCCAGGTCATAATCTCCAGAATACGGGCGATTGGAAAGAAATACGGGTTCGACGACATTTTTAAACTAAAATTTTCAACTGATTTGCAGTAAACTGAAGTCAAAATTTATAGAAAAATTCTTTAAGTATCATTTTTGACTTCAAAAAAATCAACGTGAATTGTATATTTCTTATCGAAAAATAATTATCATCTTAAAAATTATACCCTCGAAATTGATATGAAATCATCACCGGTTACCTACGGTTCGTCAGGAAAACTACGGTTCGTCAGGAAGGTATTTTTTTTTCCTGACGAACCGTAGTTGAGAGGATATTGTTCTAGAAACTCGATTGTTAACCAAGTTTGAGAGATGATATGCGGTCACGAGGAGACTTTTCTCCTTGTTCGTTCATTTCTGAAATGTATCGTGGTACGTGGAGACTTCTTTTAACACATTTTTCCGTAGTTTTTGTTGATTGATAATCTGACATATTTTCTTCAAAAGTTTCTACAAGACAGGCGCGGAGCGCATATGCACTCTTTTGTTTTCCAATACTGTTTGGTACGCAAACCGAGCGCTTCCTGATTGTTACTACTTGTTAAATTAAGGTTTGGGTTAGGGACATCGGGAAAAATGACAGAACAACGTCACCCGAGGGGGATAGGCTAGGGTTAGTTAGGGTTACTGAAGGTTACTGAAGGTAACCCTGAGTAACCCTAACCCAGACTCCGGCATTTTAGGACCTAAGGGGCGAAGCCCCGTGGTTAGAGGCAATAAGATTTAAAAAAAATTCCTGCTTTTTCTTCTTGCTGACCCATACGGGGCAAAAAACAAGATCTATGGGGCCGTTCTAGAGATGACCGAAAAATGACCTACGGTTCGTCAGGAAGGTATTTTTTTTCCTGACGAACCGTAGCTCTGGGGCATTTCCTGACGAACCGTAGGTCACCCATCATCACAAATAAATCTGATTCTAGAAATTAATTTTCGAACAAGTTCTTCTATTATTTAAAATTTTTTTTATTTGATGATTTTTTCGAAAGCGCTTATTCTTTGTTTTTCGATTATCTTGAAGTCAAAAACGATTGAAATGAGCATTGTCTTTTTAGTTTGATTTCAAATAATCGCAGAACTGGAGTACTTTAGTCAGGGACACTGTGTACTTCGCAAAAAAAAAAAGATATGGCCCCTTTTCTCATAACAGTAAAATATTTTTTCTAGAACGGTTTTTTACGATAAACAATTTGTTTATTTAAAACAACCCTCATCTTTTTCATCAAAGAAAAAACCATCCTTTTAGTCTTGAAGCCTTCACTCCGAACATTAACCACCTGGCAAAAAACGGCATCATCCTCGACTCCCACTACAGCCAGCCCGTCTGTTCCCCTTCACGCTCACAGTTCCTCACCGGCCGGTATTCCTTCCGATATGGAATGCAGCACAGAAATATCCTCCCCACTCAACCTCACGGAGTTCCTTTGACAGAAAAAATGCTTCCCGAGTTTTTCAAGGAATGCGGCTACTCCGCCCTCGGCGTGGGAAAGTGGCATCAAGGAATGTTCCATCAAGATTTTCTCCCGACTTCGCGCGGTTTCGACAAATTCGTCGGTTCCTACAGCGGTTCCTCTCAACACGTTACTCACGAAAAATGCTTTGACTCGCCTCAGAAAGACGCGCCCTTCTCATTTTGCGGTTATGACATGAGGGAGGCGGAAAGAATTAAGGATATTACAACGGGAAAAGATGACAACCGGGAAATTATGCGATTCGACTTGAACGGCACGCATTCGAATAAGATTGTGACCGATGAAATCGAGAAAACGCTAGGTTCGGGTTGATTTTTAATTGACAAGATGATGAGTCATCTTTTTTTTCTTCAAAATGTCCTTGAAGAAGGGGGAGACGGCTATAAGCCAATCAAAAACCACTAGTTTTCGCAACAGCCAATCACAGGCGAGAAAAATTCCAAGGAGCCCCTGAGCCCATATTTTTTGTAACCCCTTTTCTGGACTCCTTTTGGGCCCAATTCTGACCCCAATTATCCAAATTTCAACCCAAAAAAAGCCGCAAAGAAAAATTCCAACGAGCCTTTATTCATCTTCGCCGCCTTCCAAGCCGTCCACGGGCCCCTGACAACCGAGCCCGAAGACGAAAGAATCTACGAAAACCTTTTCGAGCGAAATCGAAACGAGACGATTTTCAAGCGCACGAAAATGCTCGCCATGGTGACTGGTCTCGACAGAGCAGTTGGCAGAATTATCGAGAGCTTTAAAAATTCGGAAAATATGAAAACACGATTTTCGCTTTTGCGAGCGATAATGGCGGCAGTTTGACATACGCTGCCAGCAATCATCCTCTCCGGGGCGGGAAAAACGACTTGTTAGAGGGAGGAGTTCGCACGGTCTCTTTCCTGCACTCTTCGTTGATTCCAGCGGGGAGAATCGGCACTCGCTATTCGAAATTATTCGACATTACCGACTGGTTTCCGACTTTACTGGAATCTGCGCAGTGCAGTTTTGACTCGAAAAATCCGAACAAATTGGACGGTAAGTCTCATTTTAAAAATTTCTTCAAGGAAGAGGATGAGGAAGAGGAGGAAGTAAGAGATGAGATCGTTCATCATCTCGACCCGCTGAAAAAATTGGACGATGAAATTGAGGACCCAAGGCCATTTGTCAAGGTGTATGGGTTTGATTATGACATCAGGAAATGGTTCAGAAGCTTTTGATTGGCTAAACGAGGGAATTGTCGCTTCTTATTAGCAAGTTTTTAAAAATTTTACTTATAAAAAATCTCCATTGAAATTTATTTTCAGTTTAAACAGTAAACGATCCCAAAATCAGGAAAAAAATGCGGACCATAAATTGTTTAAAAATTTTTAACCATCGAAATAATTTTTCGGGGTACTTCTGAATCAGACTTGGAATCAAAATTAGCAGTGCTTAGTCTATTACGAGTTTTCGAACCATTGAAAAAAGGATGAAAACCGCGATTCGCGTGGGCAAATACAAACTGATAACGGGAGCAGAAGCAACGAAATCGCCTCTCGAAAATCAAGCCGAGCTTGATGCTCTTTCAAAGAGTCAGTTGTTTGTCGGAAATCCTTGGCTGAAAAAGAAGCAATATCGAAAATTGGTGGTCCTTTATGATATCGAAAAGGATCCAAGGGAATTGAATGATATTTCTGATCAGGATCCCGAAATGGTTGTTCATTTACTTTCAAGGGTAAGGGATTTTCTCGCGCCAATAAGAAGCCTGAATCTTCAATTTTCGCCGATCAAAAATCACTTTTTTCAGCTGGTAAGGCATTTCAACTCCGCGACTGCGCCGAATTTCCCATCCTTGGACAAATCAGCTGATCCGAATTTACGAAACGGAACTTGGGGCCCTTGGATCTCAGATTTATCGAAAGTCGACTCAAAATCAATTGATTTTAGCCTTGTTTATAATTCAAATTTCTACTATCACGCCACAAAATAACAGCTTTGAGTCAAAGCCTTTGACGAACTTCAACTTGAATTTGAATTTTTGCATTGTTTATTTTCCGCCTGTACAAATACTTTTCTACAATAGAGAATGCGATGAAAAATAAAATCTAAATATAAATCTAGATAAGGATAAAATTTGTTTTATTTTAAAAGATGTTTACAGCTTGAAAAAGTCTTCGATTGATTTTGGTGATGTTCTTCGGTCCTGAAATATATTTTGATTTTTTATTTCTTTCAAGAGCTTACGCTAGAATTTGAAAGTTCGAAGTCCCGGCGGAAGAAGGAATAAGAATATTGGCTGTGATGAGGATTTTGGAGAGGATAGTAAAAAGACGTGTTTTCACGGCTTTGGTGGTGAACTTCCATTTCGTTGCGCTGCGAGAATTTGAGAAAGCGAGAAACAGAAGCGTGGTACCTTGTAGTTGTCGAGCTCGATTTTTATTTTTTCCCTCGCTTTGTCTTTTATCTTGTCGATGTCGAGGGACTTGCACTTTCTGTTGTAGTAGGGGACGGAAAATAAATAAACATTCCTAAATGTTTTTTTTATGAATATATTTATTTTTAAAAGTTTGAATTTTTTCACGAAAAATATAAGATAAATTTAATATTAAAATAAAACTTGATGGATAAATAATTGAAAAAAAAAATGATAATAAATCTTAATAAGGGTATCTCCTTGATAAATCTTAATCATCAATTTTCTTACTTGCACCAAGTAACTTCTTTCTTCTTTTTCTTTCCGTTCTCTTCCTTGTCTTCCTTCGTCAATTCTTCTTTCGTAATTTCCATCTCTCCTCTTCACTTCTCTTTCTAAAATTCCAAGGTCTTTCTTTTTTCTAGCTGTTCCGGAATTGACACCGTCAATCACTTTAAAAGCGTGACACGTAAACGCTCGATAAATATGCCCGCAAGTGTTAATGCTTTATTTTTCCTGCTCTGAAACGCAATTCTGAGTGGGCAAAGAAAGTAATCTCTACTTTCCGTACTCTCAGGCAAAACAAAGCAGATCACTGTTCAGCCACGTCCAAAGCGTATTTTCAAAGAATGAGCCGTTTCAGCTCGTCATTAACGCATCGCAAATATTATCCATACGACGTCGCCTAATGGCAAAGAATTGACTAATTTGGGAGTTAATTTTTATCTTGGATTTACTCATTTTTAGCTCTCTGATCTTTCTTCTTATTTGATGTTTTACCTCTGTAGCTTCTGTCAGTCTATTTTCTTCTCGTCAGAATACCAAAAAATGGGTCTGAAAATATATGCCTGAAGCATCGATTACAGTCTCGTCAGGCGTTTTATCCCCTTTTTGGAGACGGGAAATGATCCTATATAATAGCCAGCCCGGGTCAAGCCGTCTCCGGTTCTAATTATGCCAGCCTAGCCATCTTACGGTTATTTCTTCAATGCAAAAGTGGGTCAGTTAGACTTGAGTTATTCTGATTTATGATAAATTCAAACTCGTTTCGCTTCTTCGAGGTTATTTTTGTCGTCTATACTGCGTCAAAATGCAAAAATAAGACTCTGAACTTCCTACAAGAAATTATTATGACTGCAAATGCAAATGGTCCCAAGCATAGGCAAATGTCAAGCATGAGAATAGTGGTCGGAAAACTCGAGTTGTTACGCGAAAGAGAGTTTTCAAATGAGGTGGATTTTCTCGCTTTTTAGTTTTTACGCTCTGGCTCAGCCAGAATCGGGACCCGGCGTTCAAGTATCAAGACGCAGAATTGATCCTTCTTGTCCGTAAGTTATAAAGTTTTTTGATATTTTGAAGAAAAAAACAAATATTTTTTACAAAAGTGATGCTGATCTTGGCGAATTATGCGACGAAGATTGCTTTGAAAAATGGATCAAGTGTAAGGATGGCTGTTTCAGCTCTTCTTGCGAGCGCCAATGCGCTGGAGAGTGGACCGGTAATTATCTTTTTTTTTTGACTAATCAACATGAGATATAAAGACTGCTACCGAGCTTGCCCGTGTGACGAGCTCTGCCCGAACGGTTGTGAGAACTGCGCGAATCCAATCTGCAGCTGTAAACATCCTGAGAACGACCCATATTTTAAGCAGTGTCTAAAAGAGGCGGGAGTACGATTGGAAGATTGTTTCAAGTCCTGTGCGACGAATAACACTTGTTATGATGGTTGTTATGATGTGTTTGATGAAGAAAAGAGCTTTTGTCCATGTATGGACAATTGTCCGATGGGATGTTCTTGTGATGGCGGTTACGAATGTCAGACTCATGTGATGGTGCTTGGCCAGGGGACTACATATTATAACGATTTTCCAAATTTTAGTTATTTGATTTCTGCTGACGGAGATTTCAAGGTTGACAAAAATGTCATAATTATTTGAGGAAAATTAAGGAAAAACGGCATTACGAATCTCCTTTAAATGTAGAATATGGATATCTTTTCGGGTCTGGGCATGCAATCTTAAGAGGAGACGTGTACTTTTTTGGATCAATAGAAGGGCAGGCAAAAAAGGTGAAAACTCTTCTTAGGTCCAATATCGATTTTGATTAAAATTCAAGATTTCAAAATTGTCTGGCTGTAAGATTTTGAATACTGGAACTCAACTTGTCGCTGCTTTTAATGCTCTTTACGGATCCCTCGCAACTGTTTCTGCTGGAACTGAGTCCGTTATTTTATGCAATGGTTATTCGACCAATTGTGAAAGCTTTGACGGAGAAAAATCTCAGTTTATTAGTTCTACACAAATCAGTCATCGTGAATCTTGCATGGCAGAATTTGAAAATGCGCCGATGATCATTGGATCTTATTCACCGTCTTCAAATCGTGTTGAAATTCTAACCACAAGGTGATCTTAAGGGGGTGGTGGTCGAGACTAAGACTTTTTTCAACCTAAAAAACTCAAATTTTTTCAAAAATTTTTTTTTTCTATAATTGAAAATAAGTTGAAAAGGGTCCAATTTATGTGGGCGGCTATGTCTGAAAAAAATATTTTTTCGCAAAGATGGTGAAAAATTCCTTCAAAGTAGACCCATCTCTTAACCAAAAAAACTCTATCCCCTTATCATTTTTTTCAAAATAAAACTTATTGAGAAGAAAGTTTACACCCTTAAGCGTGTGGGCGGCTTACTTTCAGAAAGTTCACCTTGTTAGAAAAGAAACTGGTAATTGAATGAAAACATGTTTTTTTCTGAAAAATCGTCATTTTCACTCATTTTTTCAATGAAATTTTCGAAAACATCACAATAATCGTAATTTTTTAGATTTTTATAATTAAAATATGATCAAGAATAATAACTTCGCAATAAAAAATCAATTTTGATCAATTTAGTGCAAAAAAACGCGTTTCAAAATTCCCGAAAATAGCGATTTTATAGCATAAAATCGAAAATTTTCTTTAATAAAGTTGGTCCAATCAAAAAAAGCTAGAGACCAAAAATGCTCCTTTTTTATCAAGGAATCAAAAAATAATATCAAAATTTTAAAAAGTCGAAAAAAATTTTCTTGACCACCACCCCCTTAAGTCAGATATTATCTTACTATTTGAAAATAAGCGGTTGGCAAGATACTGCTCCTCATCTACATGAGATTTTTTACCATACTTGTCTTTCTGTCTCAAACGGAGTTCTTACGATTGGTGGATACTTGAACGATGGCGATGAAAGGGGTTATACGAAAAATGTTTATCTCTTTCGAGATGATCAATGGGCAAAAGTCGGTGTTTTGCAATCGGTTAAGAAAAAGCTTATTCTTATAATTTATTTTCTGTTAGCCTTTCGATCTTGCGTCATCCATTCATTTTGGCGAAAATTTTCTTGTTTTTGGTGGAGTTCAAACTCGGTAAAATGCACGTATAAAGAAACTAATTTTTAAAAAATCGGCCAGGAACGTGGAAAGAGCAATGTGGGATGGACAGAATGTTACTTCTTCCATGATTATAAACGAGCATGGAGGAGACTGTATTCGGCCTATTATCTTCGAAATTAATCTAGATTCCTGTACAGAAGGCTGTGATGATTTCTGTTACTATTAATAAAAGACTGATTATCTTAAAAACTTCGCTCAATATTTTATATCAATACAAGCAAGCTTAGCTCAGCTAAGCTTATTTCCGACCTATGCTCAGATAAGAAAAATAATATCGTAAATTTGCAATTCTGCTTCCTGCAAGAAATCATTATTACTGCAAATGCAAATGCTCCCAAGCAAAGGTAATTATCAAGCATGAGAATTTCGGTGGAAAATTCGAGTTGTTTCGCAAAAGAGACTCTTCAAATGAGGTGGATTTTGTCGCTTTATAGTTTTACCGCTAAGGCTCAAGTGTCTAGAAGCAGGATTGATCCTTCTTGTCCGTAAGTGTTAGAGGGCGCTTAATCTTAGAGACAAGGAAGACTTTAATTTTTTTATTTTTTAAAGATTTTTTAAGATTTTGGTCTGAAAATCCATATTGACGACCCCCCTCTTAAAGTGATGCTGATCTCGGGGAATTATGCGACGAAGACTGCTTTGAAAAGTGGATCAAGTGTAAAGACGGCTGTTTGAGCTCTTCTTGCGAGCGCAAATGCGCTGGAGAATGGACAGGTAATCATCGGTCTTTGCTGAAATTCGCTGAATTTTTTAGACTGCTACCGGGCTTGCCCATGTGACGAGCTCTGCCCGAATGGTTGCGAGAACTGCATTTATCCAATTTGCGGATGTCAAAGCCCTGAGAACGATCCATATTTCAAACAGTGTTTGAAGGAAGCGAACAGAAGATTGGACGATTGTTTCGGGTCCTGTACGACAAGAACACTTGTTACGATGGCTGCTATGACTTGTTTGGAGACGAAAAGAGTTTTTGCCCATGTATGGAAAATTGGGTAGACGGCGGGTTCCATTCTTTGTGAAGAATGATTCTTTTTTCAAAGAATAGTTCTTTTTCGCAAAGAATCATTCTTTTTTAAGAATACATGAAAGGACGCATAAAAGACAGTCAAAAGTTCAGAAGCAAAATCCTGTTTATGCAAATAACTCAGGAGCGAGTCTGCGCTTCGCGCCAGTTATCAGGGAAACTCCGAAGAGTTTCATATCTTAGAATTTCTATATATCCGAAAAACCTTTTTTCGCCTTATTTTCTCTAGAATATTGAGAAAAAGAATGATTCTTTTAAAAGAATTGAACCCGCCGTCACCCGAAAATTGCCCAATGGGTTCTTGTGATGGCGGTTTTAAATGTCAGCGTTTTGTGACTGCACTTTGCCAGGGCGTTACATTCGATAGCGATTTCCAAATTTTAGTTATTTGGTTTCTGCTGATGGAAGTTTCAAGGTTGGCAAAAATATAATAAATCTTTGACTATTGTTAAGGAGAAACGGCATTACGAATCTCCAATAAATCGAGAAGTTGGATATCTTTATCGGTCTGGGCATGCAATTTTAAGAGGAGAGGTGTACTTTCTTGGATCATTTGATGGGCAAGCCACAAAAAAGGTGAAAGCTCACCTCAGGTTCGATATCGATTTTGATTAAAATTCAAGATTTCGAAATCGTCTGGCTGTAAGATTGTGAATACTGGAATTCAACTTGTAAATGCTTTCATCGCTGAATACGGATCCTTGGCAACGGTTTCCTCTGCTGGAACTGACTCCGTTATTTTATGCAGAGGTTCTTCGACCGATTGCGAAAGTTTTGACGTGGAAAAATCTCAATCTATCAGTTCTACACAAATCAGACATAGTCGTTCTTGTATGGCAGAATTTGATAATGCACCCTTGATCATTGGATCTGGTAGCCCAACTTCAAATCGTGTGGAAATTCTAACTTCAAGGTGATTCGTTATTATTTATTTTCTTACTATTCGAGAATAAGCGGTTGGCAAGATACTACTCCTCATCTTCATGGGATTTATTACCATACTTGTCTTTCTGTCTCGAATGGAGTTCTTACAATTGGTGGATACTTGAACGATCGCGATGATGAGGGTTTTACGAAAAATGTTTATCTCTTTCGAGATGATCAGTGGACAAAAGTCGGTGTTTTGCAATCGGTAAAGAAATAATTTATTATTTTGGTTATAGTTTTTAAGGATATAGCCGTTCTCAAGGCACTTTCGTAGCGTCGAAATGGGGCGATAATTTTTTTTCATTTCAAGACAGGTCCTACCTAAAATTATGTCTTGAATTCGATTCTGATGTTTTTTAACATTTTTTCAAAGAAAATTTCTCTCTGGAGCGATTTGAAATCTTACGATCACTTTTTCTCGAAATTTTTCTATTAAAACGCTAAAACTAAACCGTGTTTTAATAAAAATAACTGCTAATCTATTTTCCTAGGGCCTCAAAATTTCAAAACCCAAGCAAATTTTCATTCTAGCGTCTTCTTCTTTTTAGCTTTTCTTTTTCATAAATGCTGCGTTCAGGGCGCTCGGCCAATCAGCGCGCTCTTTCACATGCGCGCCTCACCGCGCGATGGAGGAGGGCGCCCAGCGCAGCAAACCAGAGCGCTGTCTGACGCTTTTGCTTACTCAAGTAAGCCTCATAAAAATGGCTCTAGAATCATAAATAATTGGAATCTATTAAACTTTAGACCCTAGGAATGTAGAGAAAGGTCCAAATTTTTAATTTATCAAAATAACTCGACCGATTTAATGAAAAAGTCTCGAGAAAAAATGATCGTAAGATTAAAAATTGCTCTAGAGAGAAATTTTTCCATTAAAAAATTAAAAAGAACACTAGAATCTGGTCTCTTAGGCAATTTTAGGTAGGGTTCCTTTTGAAATTAAAAAATTTTATCGTCCCCTTTTGGCGCTACGAAAGTGCCTTGAGAACGGCTATATCCTTAAGTTTTTTACTCTTGGGTCTTCCATTCATTTCGGTGATTATTTTCTTGTTTCTGATGGTGCTGAAAACGGGTAAAAGTATAAATATAAATTCTGTTTTTAAAAAATAATTTAGAAACGTGGAAAGGGCAATGTGGGATGGTCAGAATGTAACTTCCTCGATGATTATAAACGAACATGAAGGATACTGTTTTCGGCGTATTCTCTTCGAATCTGATCCAGATTCTTGCACAGAAGGGTGCGACGATTTCTGTTACTATTAATAAAAGTCTTTTACTTTTGAAATTTCACTCAATAATTCAAACAAAGCAAAACTGTGGCTCTTCTTTGATGAAGCTCTCAAGAGGCACTTACCATTATACAACCGAAAACTATCAAAGAGCATCTTTGAATTCTTTCAAAATGAAAAATTTCGTCAAAATTTTTGTCTTCGTTTCAGTTTTAGATGCTCAGAAAGCGAGAAATTGTGAGTGCACAGCGGGAATATTGAGAAACGAAGATGGATTGTTGAATTGCGTCTGCTCTAAAGAGATCATTTGGGTTTGAAAAACGGCGATAAATGGGATTAAAGGGGTGTTATAGAATGTAAAAGAGAAGTTCCCGGACTGGTTTTTGCACATTGTGGACAAGACTAACAGAGATTTTCAAACGAAATGCTCCAGAAAGGTACAAAAAAGTGTTTTCTTCTTTATCAATTTTTTGAGAATCTCGTTGATCACGCAAAAAAGACGAATATCACCGTTTTCGACTTCTTCAACAAAGACGCCACTGTCTTTCAAGGACTGCGCTCCGATTTCTGGCAAATAACGGACATCTTCGAAAGCAAAAGCTGGAGCATCGAAAATGAAGATTTCGAGGAAGAAGGCACTCCTGAAACTCATGTTCTTCTTTTCGAAAACAGGTTTGTTCGTTTTTTTATTGAAATGATTGAGTATTTTTGATTTAGCTTTTTTGACGACAAAAATCGAGAAAACATCACGATCAATTCAGCTTTTCTGCCGACAAAGGATTCTGACAAGATTTTTCTGTCATATTTGACCTAATAAAGAATCCCCTTCATCATCACTTTCTTAAAAAAATGGTTGAAAAAGGGGACGTGGCTCAAGTCCCCAAGAAAATTCCATCCGGGGCGGCAAAGAGTTGACACGAGTTTTCAAGCAAAATTGACACCCGCAACTGTCGCTAGAATAAATTTTCGATCGAAAAAAAGAAGAATGAAGCTTTTTTATTTTTTGCCAATTTCGGCCCTCGCCGGGCATGAGCGAGAATTCGATTGAACTTGCGGCGGAGAGATTTCCTCAGATACAGTCATTACTTCTCCTGATTTCGATACGGAGCCCTGGCACTACAAAAATCACAACTGCACTTGGAAAGTCGACTTTGGAGAAGGCGTTGACGGCTTTGTCATTGTTCCGAAGCATTTTCAACTGGAAGATACGGGGTCGAGCTGCGCGGATTATGTTGAGATTAAAAATGATCAAATGCATCTTTCAATCTGCGGCGGAATTTTGGACGATACGGACTACGCGGCTTTCGCGTCTTCTTCTAACTCTTCCTACTCTTCTTCTTCTTCAAGCGAATATCCTGACTACACAGGAGCCTCATCTTCCGACTTCTGGGATCGTAGAAAACGACGAAGTGGCGATTTTGAGGGAGAAGTTCAGCATCGAGGATTCGAAGAGCCTCTCTGGGTTCCTGGTTCTCAAGCGACAATTACGTTCATCAGCGACGAGCACAGAGAATTCAGGGGCTTTGAATTTGAAATTACGGCCAATAAAATGAACGTTATTCAGAATCAAGCAGAGGTAGGAAAAAAGCCATTAAATTTTTCGAAGAAATATGTTTTTTCCCTGATCATTTATTTTCATGTTTTCAGAAAATCTTCTCCGCGCTGTCGGATGATCTCAAATGGAAAGATCGTTTCGTCAACCGGCTGACGAAAATCCTCACTTTGGCCAACAGTTCTTACACAGGAGAAAAATGCGCCGAAGAAAATGGCTTTGAAAATGAAATTCCAAGCGACCTCATTTTCGACGCGGAAGACACGTGTCCTCTAAATGACCAGGTGAACCAAGCGCTGAATTCATTTGCCAAAAGGAACGAGTTTTCAATTTTTGATCGATTTCTAATATAATGACAGAAAAGTAAAACTCGGGTGAAAAGTTGGGCTTGCCAAGGAAGCGGAAAAGTCTACAAGCAGATCATCAATAAAGCCGCGAAAATCAAAACATTTTTCGACAGAAAATTCAACTGCTAAAAATTTACTCGCGAAAATAATAAACTCAATTTTTCGAACCCGTTTTCTTTTTGGCTTTTCCGCTCAGTTCTTATTCGGAATATTGGATTATGGTCGTTTTTCTGGTTTTTCTGCAGTCTTCAATCCTTTCAAGTAAAAAATCGACCCAGAAATTGACCTGAAATGGCCCCATTTCAACCTTGAAAAAGAATCAACTGGATCATCAACAAACCATGACTTGATAGTGACGCAACTGCCCCTGAGGGAAAACTTTTTTTTGCAAAAAAAAATTCCCACTAAAAGCAATTTTCGCGACCAAAAATCAGGCCACACTGTTGTTCAGAGATTGACTGAATTTATTTCGAAAAAAGAAGAGAAGAAAAATCAAGGTAAATTTGCTAAAAATCCATTTTTTTATTTGATAATAAAAGTAGTTAATATAAGGACCGTATTCTTTTGCATTTTCAAGCTCTCTGATTGGCTGCTGGATGCTTAGGAATGTGGCTCTGGAAATTCAAATTGCAGACTGGCGCCTTTTTGCAGACAAGTACGTGATCACGTAGGTTGATTATATAATGTTTATTACAGGTAAATAGACAGTGAGTCATACTTTACAATGAATAACAATTTTTATAGTAAACATTCAAATAAAACTTCTTGAGCTGCGAAAAGAGCGAATTCGATTCCGGCTAAAATGGGCTCGTCTTGTGAAAACCATAAATTTGTTTCAAATGTGCTACTCTTTTTAAACAATAAAAATTAATAAATTGATTAAATGAATAGCCTTATTTATCCTATTATGGAAATTGTCGATCAGCTCATAATCTATTGTTAATTAAAAATTTCCAATTAAAGCCGCAATCGATTTCTATAGAGCAGAGTGATTCGCAGGAGTTTTTGCAGGTTTGATGATTTCTTCATTCTCGCTTTTTCGCTTGTTTGATGGCCTTTCTGTCGGAGAGATGATTTTCAATGGCTGTGCTTCCCATTGTTTCCATAGTTCTTGTAGATTCTGGCACTTTAATAGAAAAAATTATTACGAATCATAAAATAATGAGTTGACTTACCATTTGTTTTGACTTTCTCAGAGAAATTCTTTCTCTAAGTTTTTCTTCAAAAATCCTGTCACTCATTTGAATTCTAATAATAGACTGACCAAGCAGGAGTCCAAGGTCTTTCTTATCAGCAAAAGGTGTGAAGTGCGCATCGTGATGCATCCGTGGGTACTTGACGGCGGGTGACGGCGGCTGGAGTGTCTGCAGGCGCTCGCAAGACTGTCTGGTGTCGCTTTTTCAGCCTAATTTATAAGTTCAGTCTGAATGGCAAATTGTCAAATATCTAAAATGTTGAAATAATCAGATGAGGCTAGAAGAAAAAACAAATGAATCAGGAAAAAAGAAATTCAGTAAAATGATCATAAGTAAGTACTATTTGGTTCAGATTGATTACGTTATCATTCTTTAGTCCTAAATCTTTGGTAAAATTTCTGAACAGTAAAGGCACTTGGCTAACAAGGTAATTTCAATCAATAAATACTGTTCAAATATTCAGTTTTTAGCGTTATATAAGCAAACGAAATGAAGCGAAATAATATCGAAGCGTATCTTCAATAAAAGCTAATCATGTTCCCATTAATCTAACAAAATGAAGCAAAATCATAACGAATCATATCCGTGTTGTCGAAAATTAATTTCAGTGAAGGTCTTTTTCTACTATTAAATGTTTCAAAAATCGCTGACATTATCGATGGTCATTGTATCGTTAAAACTCATAATCACATCTTCTACTGAACATTCCTTAGTGTTTTTAAATGTTGACAGAATATTATTTAAATCGATGTTGCGCGTTGCTACCTTTAAATGAAAAAACATAATACTTTATCATAATTCCAAGGGTAATTGAAAATTATAATATGAAACTATATATTCTCTAGTATGTGTCTTAAGGTTACGCATAAAATGTATTCAAAATAGCAATAAAAGTTTTGATGAAATAGTTGTCTTCTATAAAATGTAATCAAAAATGTTTTCACGCTTATGCTGATGAATGTTTCTATCAATTAATTAAAATGTTACTTTTATTTTTCTTTTGCTTTTTGATTTTCATTCTCTATTATTATAAAATGATTCAACAGTGAAAATCAAGGGATCAAAAAAGTGAATTCGAAAATCTGTAAAATGAATACATTATTATCTCTAGAAATTATAACAGTTTTCAAAGCTATGAAATGACAGCTTGATTTTCTCAGTCTGTGTCTAATTTACGTTGTCAATCTTTGGATACAATCTTTCGCAATCAAATTATAGAATGTGACGAAACGTCGGGCCAATTGTCGACCTTTTGACGTTTCAAAATGGTTCGACTTTTAATGTAACTATTTTTTGGGTAATGATTTGATATTTAACCATTATAGCGCTTAACCTACTGCCTCAACAATAAAATGAAAGTATCAATAATGTCTAACGAAGCAAGAAATTTTTCGCCAATGTTTCAAGGTGAGCTTAACGTCTGTTTTCTTTTCAATCAACTTTTTGTTTTAGCCAATTATTAAAAGAAAAAAAGATTTAAATGGTAACTACCTTCGGATGATGAAAAAAACGAATGGTTTTAGTGTGTTTGTATAAAATGAATTCAATAAGATTAGCTTTTGTTAGAACGCTCCAATTGTGGTAATTTTTTTTTTGTCTTTTCTAGTGTAACTTTTCTTTTAAGCGTTAAAATGCAACAAGATGGAAAATCAAGGATAAGCATAAAAGATAGTAATAGATTACAATTCTTTTATGAAGACTAAAATGTTTTTAGGAAAAAAAATTGAAGACAACAACGAACAAATGGCCTGCTCAATGTGAAAAAGCGCTTTCAATAAAGTCTTTTACTGTTCTTTTGAATATCTTCTTAAAATGGTGCTATGTAAATTTTACTTGTGATATAATGAAAGATACGTTTTACTCTGAAGATTAATTTCCATTTGAATAAATATGATTTTGATTTATAAAAAAGGTGTTTTTATTGTGTACGCATCTCTAGAATAGTCGCAGGAAAATGCTGTTATTTCGAATTCGGTTGTTTTCAAAGTTGAGTCGAGCAAAAGTTTCTAGAATAAGTTGATGCATTAGCTGGTATTTGCAGCTAGTGCTCATTCTTCAAAAAAGGTTTTTTTGGAAGGTTGTAGCTGGCTCCAATGCTCAAGTTTTCTACATCAAAGGTAATTTTCACCGATAAAGTATATGTTAGGATTAATTTGGTATAAAAAATAATTGAAAATTTAAAATTTTTTTTTTCCAAGGCGTCCAAACCCCAACAAGTCCCATTGCTTCCCGTTAATGGAGAAGTATACGTTCGTTCTTCTGGTAAGTTTATTTGTACAATTATTAATTTTAAACTTTTACTGAAGAAGACCATCTGGAGCTTTTGCCCATGAACGAAAGAGCGGTCGACGTTGCTCTCGAACCTCAAGAGGGAGGCGGCGAAGTGCCTTCTCTCGAATCTGTGCCTCCGGCTGGCACTGTGGAAGAATGGGCTACGATGGAGGATGAGACCGAGGGTCCGATTCGCATCCTCACTCAAGCGCCAAATGCGGGAGAGGAAGCATCCACGATTGATATCGATGCTGCCGACGTTGCTGCCGACGGCGTCGCTGCTGTGGACGATGGCTCTACTCTCCCCGTTCCCAATTTTGATGATTTCGTCGATGCTGCCGAGCGATTTCATCGATCTCGAGTTGAGGAAGTTAGCAACGTCCTCAATTCTACGAGAAACAAGCTGTTACTCACCCCAGGTCTTGCCGAATCAACACGAGAGTGGTTGGAAAAAGTGGATGACTTGGCTATCAACCAGGCTCTCCAGAACAGCCCTGTTTCCGGTCTCACGCAGGCGCAGGAAAACAACGCCACCCAGCGACTACCTCTCAAACGTGCTCGTCCAACCACCGCGGATGCTGCCGCCGAGCCCACCGCCGAGCCCACCGCTGCTGCTCAACTCTTCCCGAAGCGTCCACGTGCAGGCCAAATCATGTACCATGGCGTTTCGTATCCACTCGAAAGGGTTGATCGAATCCAGAACAAGGGTAGCGATAAACAAGCCACCCTTTTCGGATTTGGCAAAAATCCAAACACTTTGTCGGTCTGCCCAACTGGCAATTCTTTCTTTACAAAGGAGAAATTGGGCAAAGACAAGTACGTCAAAGGTAATTTTATTTCATATTTTAAGTATCAAAAATAAAATAAATTCTAGTGCCCGATGCACGCAAGTCTACACGAGCTAAGGCCCCTCTTCTCGAAAACTTGGCTCAAATCAAGAACCACTTCATTGAGAGAGACGCGCAGTGCACCGACTTTGTCGCTGAATTGCTCAGCGGCAATCTAGCCGTCTTAGTAGAGACGCCCTTTACGAACCTCCTTTTTGGAGATATCAGTGGATTTATTCAATCGACCTCAGGATGTCATCCAGCTACACCACCACCACCACCAAAAGACGAGTGAAGAATAAACTTACTCCATTCCGCCCAAGATGAAATGATGATTCTTGACGGGCGAAGAGCACACAAATTTACTCTTTCTGCGTTTCTTTCTGTGCTAGAATATAATTTAATTTTTTAAAAACCATTTAAATTTTGAATGTCTTTTCAGACATTCAAAATAAAGCGTTTGTTTTCTTTTGTTTGCTTGCGTTACTTCTAGAAATTCACTTTTTCAAATCAGCGAGGAGAAAAGACGCCGCCGAGATTTCGAGCGAGTTCATTTCCAGATTTCGCATTTTCCGTCATTGGAGTGGTCAGAATTTAAAAATCACTGCTAATTGGCTAATACCTTTTTCGTAGAGAATTTGAATGTAGAGAAAATGCTGTGTAACTATTATTCGACCACCACCATTGACACCGGATGATTTTCTGCGCAAATTTATCACTGATTAGGTTTCGAAATACTTCTCAGCTACCGTATGTTTTTAATGATAACCCTCTTGTTGGACAATAACATACACTTGTTATCTTACACTTGTTTCTCACAGGGGTTAATTTATAGATTCTCGCTAAGTAATATCTCCTGCGCCTCTCCATCATCCGCAAGATGTCAGATGAACCGTTGCGCATAAATGTGCGTTTGAATTTGAGAGAAATGCCAGACCTCGGTCGTATTTTTCAAAGACAGCCGCATCAAATTCGGGCTTTTCGACGAGGCATTCGACATCTACGACGGCGACAGGTTCTTGTTAGACTTACTCGACGTTACCTCGACGGTTTGGTAGAGAAGCTCAATCGTTTCATCATGTAAGTACCTGGCGAGATTAGTTCCATTTTATTTCCTATAAATCAAGGGAACAACAGCTCAATGAGGGACGATTTCGCATCGACAATTTCGAGTTGGAAGGCGCGAATAGCCAACAACAGCGTACTCTCTCACTCAGCACTCGAAATTGGCGATTCTATTCTGCAAAGGTTTAAAATTTGTTTCATAATGTTAATTTTTAAAAAAAAATTTCAGAAGAGCTTCAAAGCCATTCTCAAGATGATTGTTGTTCTTTTGCTTGGAGTTTTGATCGGCGGTTTGATGCTTGGCGGTGTAGCAGTCTACTTGTGCCGACAAGGTCAAGAAATCGGTGAGAACTTGGCTTGCAAGCTTGACTTCAACGCGGCTATTTTTGGAACTTCTTCTCAAGCCGACGATATTGCCTTTGTCGATGAGCGTTCTTTTACAAATATTACGGCTTTGGATGAAGAGGAGCTACGTCGTTTCCGCCGTGATGTCGATTACGGTAATCTTTTGTTTTTTATAAAAAAAGTAAAAAAAATTTTAGCTCTTGTTCCAGCGGACGATTCAAGCGATCTCTCGATGGACGAGTTCTACGATCTTATCGTGGACACATATGTCGAAGAAGATTCAAGCGACGAGATGGGTAATAATGAAATCATGAATAAAGATTTTTAATGAATTTTAAAGTCATTACCACCACTGCTCCCATTGTGGAGATTTTGTCTGATGACTTTGACGTTGAAGGCAGTGGCGATGAGGGATCATCCGACATTCAGCAGCCTCCTGTGACTTCTTTGGCGACCGCGACCACGACCGTGACCACGACCGCGACAACGACCGTCACCACTACTACGTCCAAGACCACGACCACACCTTTCTTGGCTACTACGGCTAAGACTACAGCAATGTCTACTCGTGACACCTTTGCCGTCGATTTTGAAGTCGTTGCTGATGATACCGTCGCCACCGCCGCCGCCGCCGCCGCCGCCGCCACCGGTGTCGAAGGATCAGGTAAAATGTTAATTCGGAAAAAATGTAAACGCTTGTCATCAAGGTTCCGGCGACAGCGGCGAAATTGACATCGATTTGGTCGACGATTTTGCTTCAAACTCGGCAGCAAAGAATCACGGTATTATCACATATATAAGTGTCTCGCTTGCCACTGTAATTGGCTACTATTTTGCGCTCGCTTTGCTCAAAGCAGGTAAAAAACGCTGTGATTTATCATTTGCTAATTTTTGGGCGCATTCTGTAGCGCAGCTTGCTTGGGATAAACATCGTCGATGCTTCTTCATTCCAGCAGCCTCCTCATTTGATTCCTCATTCGATGATATGTGCTCTTCTTCTGGGGATGAAATTGTCTCTCTTCATCACCGCCGTCGCCGGGGCTATTTTCAGTCTCCAATTTTAGAAGACGACGAGGAGGAGGAGCAGGAAGATCTCATTTACGACTACGAGCCAATGGTGGCTCGCAACGTCAAGAATGCAAGTAAGTTTTTTACGTCAAAAAAACGCCCTTTTTCATACTTTTTTAAGATCCTACTGAGCGCTACAAATACTACAGCAATCTCGTCTAAGTCTCCACCGATTCGGCGTCATCATTTTATCGACAAAAGTTGATACAATTTATTGAAAAAAAATCTTTTCTCTCAACCTTACTAACCCAAATTACTGCTAATTTTAATTGCTCTATCCCTTTTCCTCAAGTGTTTACTAACAACCTTCTTTGTGGTTCTAAACTGTTCCGCTCAATGACCTTCTCGTCTTATCAACAATCGATTATTTTTTTTAACTTAAGACAAGTGGTTGATATGTCTTCCGATCGTCCTCCATCTGCCGCGCCGTACGGTACTGCTCCTTCGCATGCTGATGCCGAGTCCGTCATCACCACTTCACGAGAGAATGGATTTGAAGTCGCACTCGAGCGCCAGGAAGAGCGCCAGTACAACTCTCAGCAGTCAAATCGTCAGCAGAAAACTACAACCAAGAAAAAGAAAAACAAGTAATTACTTTTTTTTCAGCACAGATTCTTACAGTTAAATTTAAGACTGGTTCTTGGTTTCAAGATTGCCAAGAACATTTGCAAAGTGGCCAAGCGATCGAGACGAAGTAACGCATGTAAGAGATTTTCAATGCAGTAGCATTTTCTTATTTCTCTATTCAGATCATTCTACCACCAGCACGACGACTGTCGCTAAAAAGTCGAAATTTCGACTGATTTACGAAAGTGCCAAGAAGGCAGTGAAGAGTAAGTCATTTTTCGTGATGTTTTTGCTAATTGTTATTTTGTAGCAGTGCGGCATTCCAATCCTCGTCTTGTGAGCACTTTAGCTCTTGGAGATCTTGAAGCTACAGTTTCTTTGGCTTCACGTGGCAACTCTCGAGCCGCCATTGTAGAAGCTACTCGACCTACGTTCCCACTTCCCGCAATGGCTCAAGAACAAGCGCGACTCGCTTTACCTGCCACCGTGGATGCTGCCGAGCCGACTGCTCCCGATTTTCAACGGTTCGAGCGTGTGCCTGCTCACATTGCCTTTCAGCGCGTGATTGAGCAACTTCAAGAGCGAAATTCGCGTTAAAAAATTCTCACTGCCACCAACCACCATTTTTAGGTCCATCTTTAGGTTTTTTACTAATTGAAAATTTAACTGTCATCCTGTCTGCCACTCACTCACATTCGCTCATGTTTGATCAATCCCTTTTACTCGCCCACCACCACCACCGCCGCGCGAAAAGAGTTTTATTTATCCAGGATCTAAACTTCTTTTTGTGCATCAGCTCATTCACTGTCATCATTATCGTTTTGGACCACTAAATACTTATCAAAACTTTTTTAATTTTTTCTACTTTTAGGCTGATTGAGGAGCTCGATATTGTGATTGCCATAGAGGAGAATATTGTGCGGAGATCAAACGGCCTTCCAATGATGGTAATATAAAAAAAACTCGGGCTTTTTGGGTTAATTTTCATCTAGATCACGAGCGGTCCAATGTGCATGGCTCAAGTTCGAAAGACAATGTACAACACAGGTAAAAACTTTTGTAAAAATAATGTTTCAACGTTTTTTATTCAGATCATTTGAGCAAGTACACCAAAAAGCGGCAAAGAGACGAAGACGATTATCCCGATTTAACAGAGCTTTGGGATGAGAAAAAGTGTCGTTTTGCTGACCCGAGTTTAATCTATACTTCTGCTGTTGCTGCTCGACGTCAATTTTGCTGTTTTTGATTGCTGTTTCAATTCCTTTTTTTCAGAAAAAAATGCACAATCGAAAAACTGAAATTTTCGAAAATCTCACCAGGTCGCCAGATCCTACATGCAACACGCCAAGTGCCAAAATTTTGATTCATTCGCCAGCCTCGGTAGGTGATCAATCTGACCAATCTTTTAATTCTATTTATAGGTTTATGAAAATAGCTCAAGTCAAGACCAATTTGACGAATCAACTCCGTTGAAACGACGCTCACTGCTGCCTCATTCTGCTGGGCCGAGTAAGCATCTTTCCCCTCGGGCTGCTGCGGCGGCGGCGGCGGCTATTCAACAAACAAGCGGTGGCGTCTTTTCTCTTAGCACGCCCTCACCTCTCAACAGCGTTGGTTCGACTAATTCTTCGCCGCATTTTCTTTCTCCTGGCTCAATTAATCCAAATCGTCCTACTTTTCCACGTAAGTTAAATTTTTAATAAAAATTGGTTAAAAGAAAATTAGTGTACACACTTGAAAATGGTGGCCGAAGTCGCTACGATTGGAAAAGCCCTTACAATCCAGAGTACGCAAGAGGGCTGGCATTTGTCAGGGGAACAAGCATGGTGATGGCGCGAAGAGGTACTCGCCCGCCAACAGGAGGACCCGTCACTCGACGATCAGTCACAAAAAAACAAAAATCTTCCAATGATGAGCCGAAGACGCCACCTCGAAAAATTCCTGGTCCGCTTGAGCTAGGTTTTGGAAAAGATTTTTCCGTTTATGAATTTAAAAACACTCCTCTCGAAGATCGTTTTCCGCCTCCTGCACCTTCGGCGGCTCAAATGGCTGCGGCTCTGGAAGCTTCAAAGACGACTTCGACAGATAATCTCTACCGTCCTTATCGTCCTTTGACTCCTCATCCTACAGCCACGGTGACGACTAGAAGTACAAGTAGAGCAACTCGTCGTCTCGATTTTGGCCCGAGTCAAGAGCCGATAAATCTTTCGCTTCCAAAGTCGGCTGATCAATCGCGCAAACGTAAGCGAGATAGCGATTGTGAAACGCCTCGTGGCGGCGATGAGGATGGTGACACTGCTGAAGACGACAAAATCGTGGAAAATGATTCGCCGCTTGATTTGACAACCGCTGCTGCTGGTGGTGATTCAAAAGTTTCGAGCGGTTCTGAATCTGAAACTTGGAGCCCTTCTTATCCAGTCAAGATTCCGGTCACGGACCGAAGAAACAAATCAAGACGGCTTGTGACTCAAAAGGAGAAAACACCTATCGTCCAGCAGTGCCGTACGGCGGCCGTACGACACCAGCAGCAGCAGCAGCAGCAGCAAGATGTCGAGGATCATTCGCCAAAAAAGGAAACATTTATTCCTTGTATGCTCAACGTTCACCGAAATGAAAAGGGTCAATTCGCTAGTAATGATTCAACTCCCAAAAAAGCTTCACTTCGCAATTTGGCAAAGAAGAGAGCGCGCGCTCGATTGGATCCGAAGCGAGTTACAGAGTTTGACACTCTTCCAGCCTGTCCAAAAGTTCCACTTTTGACAAATAAAACGTCTGATGTCGAGCCGTACGGCACCGCCGAGCCGTATGGCACCGGTTCAAAAATGGCTTCAGCAAACAAGTCGATCGAAATCGATGTGTCTGGGTTGGATTCAATTGCTGAAGATGAGCTTACTTCTGGGGAGCGGCTCAAATTCATGAAAATCTACGCGCATGCTGTTACTGGACGCCGCGGAATTGTTCCAATGTTGGGCGACACAAATATGGGACATTATTTGCGTCGGCTTTCTTCAGAATTTGCACAGAATTGGCAAGTCTATGGAAATCCTCAAAAGAAAGATGCGACAACGATTTTGGCGCAAATGAACTGGGATTGTTTCCGAGCCGATCGCATTGGTCCTCCACAGTACTATTCTCTTGACGGTAGCAAGTTTAAAATGCCTGTCAATACGCCAAATTTTAAAAATCTTGGACCAAGACGGGCCACTTTCATGTTCAATGGGGAGTCAATCTTTTGGGCAATTATGTTTGCCAAGATTTGCGAGTTTGGGTAAGTTGGTAAAATAAAAAGAAAAATTAACATTTTCGATCAAGGTTAAATCAAACAACGGAAAAGAATGGGAAGCTCGCTCCCTTGGATTCGATTTCAAGGATGAAGAACTGCGCTTGATCATCGAGGATGTCAACAAATTACCAAAAACCGTTTGGCCTTGGCCCTTGGATCGTAAGCACGATTTTGAGCCTTTTCCAGCTGAACGAGCGGCAATTTTGTTGCTTATGGGCTTTTGCCCTTGTTCCCAGGATCCTCATTATGCTTCGACCGTTGTCGCATTTCAAGAGGTAAGACGACGTTACTACTATAACGATTTGGTCATAGTAGTTATTTGTCTTATAGAATTTGTTCAACAGCGGCGTTGCAAAACGATTAAACGAGCCTCCATCTGCTGTTCAAATGGAATTCGTCTACGATCGCCTCGAAGTTTATCTCCATCGACTCGCCATAGCTTCAGTGGAGCGCGATATCTTTGGACAAGTGGACGGATCTTCTGTTGCCCAGATAATTGAAAAACGATTTCAATTTATGGGAGCTGCTCTCGGCGATTACTTTCATACGACGCCTACAATTGAAGATGTGATTCCTCAGCCAACGCAAGCAGGTGAAACTGACATTGACGAATGTGCTCTAACAATCGACACATCGTTGACAGAATGCAATCCGCCAATGTCACCGGCTCTGGAAAATGTGCTCGATTCGTTGCCCACAATCTTCAGATCTGGCCGAAGTTACATGCGCCCCACAAAAGAGCTGCTGATGCGGCTTACATTTGCACAATCTTTTCAACCGTTTACAGAAAATCCACATATGATGGAATTGGTATGTTTCAAATTTTAAGTTGAGATTCTGATTCTGATTTTAAAGTTTGGCGCTCGAGAAACTCCCAACAGCTGGTTCCGAAATTGCAAAGAATCAGAGCACACTTACCCAAGGCGAAAAACAAAAACTTTCTGCTGTTATCGAAAAGCTCAAAGCAAAATCTAACAAGGTAAATTTACTCAAGTGCGTTTTAATAAATTTACCAATTTTTCTAGTAATTCCTTCTGCCGCTACCACATCGCTTTTCGCGCATATTTTTACCCTACGACATTTACTTGCACTTTCATTCTATTTTACTGAAAAATTGAAGTTTTTGAACAAAATTTTTAAAAGATCAATTCAACTAGAATGTCACATCATCCGCCATTGACGGCACCGCTGGCTTGTTCAACGCCTTCACCCGAGTCAGTGGCAAATTCTGAAATGCGAGAATTGATGCCAAAGGTAACTGTTGCTCCCTCGCCTATTCCACGAACGGCATCTAATGGCGAATTGTTTCGAAGTCTGTCTCCAATCGTCTACAATGCATACAACTTTTGTGTCTCTTGTCAACGCGCGTTCACCGATCGGAATAGGCGATTTGTTGCCCATCCCTGCTCGCATGCTGTCTGTCAGAAAAGAGTCCAAAACTTATAAAACTATTTAGATGAGTTAGTTTTATTATTGGACTCTTTAAAAGTGCTCCTTAAAAACGATTGACATTTGTCTAGTCTGTAAAAGCGAAATTCTTATGCTTTTCAATACCGAGTTGTAAATTTTTTTTCTACAAATGAATTCATTCTTTTGAATTTTTTTAACCGGAATCCTGTATTTCAGAATCATGAAATTGGTCTTTCTACTTGGCATCATATCAATGGGAATATGTCAAGTCACTAACGACTGGGGATGGATCATGCCGTCGACCGAGCCTAAGTCGACCACGTCGACCGAGTCTACCACGTCGACTACGACCACGACCACGTCGACTACGACCACGTCGACCACGTCGACCACGACCACGTCGACCACGACCACGACCACGTCGACCACGTCGACCACGACCACGTCGATCACGTCGACCACGACCACGTCGACCACGACCACGTCGATCACGACCACGTCGACCACGACCACGTCTACGACGACCACGCCCGAGTCCACGATATTGCCTGAAAGATCCCAGCCAAGTACCATTTCCAGCATTGATTTATCAGCCACTACCGACGACGACGACGACGACGACGAAAAGTTGAACGGAACGACGAGTCCGACAAGTGTGGTTTCAAGGTACGTTTAGAAACTCGTGGTACCAAAAAAAATGCATGGTATAAAAATTTATCCCTCTTGAAAAATTGCGCTAGGAAAAGGGAAAACCGTCGCCGTCTTCAAGGTTGAGCAGAGTGATTTTTCACATGGCACAATTTTTTATACCATGCATTTTTTTTGGTACCATGAATCCCCAGACCTACCGCAAGATCCAATTTATTTTTTTTCAGCATCGCTGGCATAAATGAAACTCTGCTCCAACCACCACCTGCTCCGCCAACACCGAAATTCTCGAAAAAACAAATTGTTTTGCTGTCAGTCGTTTATCCGATACTGTCCATATTTTCAATTTGTTTCTTTGGAATTGTGGTGATAACGTATTCAACTCACGATTGGAACTTGTGGGATTCGACAAAATACGCTGCTCGGACATGGCCGATTTTTATTCGAAATTTGTTTATGGATTGCTTATCGTTGATCCCATTCAGAGAGTTTGATCCAAAGAAACGGTATACAAACTACATACGAATCAACGCAACCATGACAAATTTTGACGGTAAATTTTTATCGGTTTTTTTTATTTTCAACCCATTTTTAGATCGAAATCCGGGAAAACGAGTCCGTGGATGTTTTGCATCAATTTGGAAGCGCTGTTGTTGTTGTTTTTATCCACGTCAACAGTACTCGGATGCCATTCACGAAGAGATTGATCTTCAAAACGAGCGTCATCCAAGAAATTTACGTGGCGCACGATATCAATCTGGTGGTGACGATCATCATGAAACTTCTCGCCTTTTGAACAATCAGCAACGCAATTTACCACCAAGACCTTCTCGACCGGTTAAACCTGGCCCACCGCGACCCGATTACCCAAGACCCGATTACGTAAGTCTATCGAAAGCACCGACACCTGTTGGCGGCGCCGCCCTGGCGGCGCTCAAGATTTTCGAGCAGCGGTGGAGCCGAACGGCGCAACAGCGGCGAGAACCGCGCGATACGCGCGCTTCTCGAGGGGGGCGCGGGGAGGGGCTTCGCCCCTAGAAAAAGTCGCGAAACCGCCTAGACGGCGGTCTCGGCTCCTTTTTCGTTGGCGTACGCTTGCGCGTACGCGATCGCGTACGCTTGCGCGTACGCGATCGCGTACGCGTGCGCGTACGCGTGCGCGTACGCGCTCGCGTGTGTGTTTTTGAACGCTTCGCTAAATTTTATTTCTAGTGCCAAGACGCCCCTTCTGGTAACATCGTGGTGAGCGACGAACGAGAGCTGGAGATTTTGGCTCAAGAGGAAAAGCTCAAAATGGCAACACAGCGAGTTATCGACAAGGAGCAGCGAAAGTTTGATCTTGAGCACAAAAGATACAAGGCTCGAGTCGAACACAAGCGGCGCAAGCGCGAAAAGGCAGAAAAACGAGCCAAAGCCAAGTACGAGAAGCGCAAAACCAAACTGGACATGATTCGAAACGCTGCTGCTGCTGCTGCTGCCGTACGGCCGCCGTACGGCACCACCGGCACTCCTACAACTTCTGGTGGTGATGAATCGCTGACACCGTCATTTCAGACACCTCCCACCGCTCAAAATCGCTCTGTTCCGGCTCGAGTTTTTCCACAGCGACTCGAAAGGGAATCGTTTCGATTGTCAACAAAATTATCGCCAAGGGAAAAAGACGCCAAAGGTGAAAGCAAGCATTCGACGGAATCTATTTCCCTTTTCGAGGAGCCAGCGATCATCGCCAACTTTGACTCGATCGACGACGACGACGATTCGCTCGCCAGTGACTGCTGCCGCTGCTGCTGCTGATCAATCTTCTTCCTTTGACGAATCTGACATTATTCGTCAAATTGACAATGCCAAAACTCCTTCTCCACCACTATCTATGCGACGTCGCTCGCCATCCTGCTCTGCTCTTAATACGCCAGTCGTTGTCGCTCATGCTGCCACTGCAGCTGCTGATTCGAGTCAAAATTGGTCATACTCGATGCCGGATCTTAGGTAAGACTATTTCTAATCAAACAATTTTACCCAAAAATTTAGCCAAGCCTACAACACTTTTGTTCGACCGACGGCTTTTGGCAAGCTTCTCGACGTCGCATTTCCAGCCACCACTGCCGCCACTGATGATGATGAGCAGCCACAATATGCATCAACTCCAGCAAAAAGAATACAGGCACTTGGGGCGCAGAGAATTTTTTTATATGTTTTGATTAATCCTCGGATTGGCATTTTTAACTTGGTTATTGATGCGAGTTGAAAACACCAACCCGAGACATAGTCGACATATTATAATCGACAAACTCTGTTGCCCCTAAAAGCCATCGCTCGAATCGATACACCAACAATTGGCGCCGCGGGAGCTGGTGCCAGATCCAGATCGCAAACAGGAAACGGGAGGAGCAATCGTCATTTGTTAGAAAATGACAAAATTTGTATGCATAGTGTCCGACTTTCCAATTTTTTTTGGTTTGTATTATTGGAACTAGTTGGAGCATGCATATAAATTTGTTCAACATTCGACGACTAAGCAAAATGATAATTGCTCCTCCCGATTAAAAAGTTGTTGCCACTATTCACGAGCTTCCGGAAGAAGAAGAAGATTATGAGGACCAGCGACGCCGTACGGCCAGCCGTGGTGGTACCGTACGGTCTACCGTACGGCCTGGCCGGCGACAACGACGACAAACAGGCATGGGCGGTAAAATTACTACCAACGTTACCATTTGTCGTACACAGGAACTTGTCCTTCTCTTGTAAATGAAGCGCAGTCTCTGTGAACGATTAAAGAATAACGTTATAATCGACTTACAGTACCGCCCATTCTCAGACAATCTCAACTCTGTCGGCACAACAATTTCTCGCTCTTCTGAGCCTCCACCACTGACAGAGTTTGATGGCGGCGCACTCTTGAGCGACGAAGAAATTCAAGAAGACGACAGTGTTTTCATTGAAGACGACGAAGATGCTTCTTTCCAGTTTGGACCTTCGTCGCCAAATCGCCCGAAGCGCGAGCGTAAAAACCAGATAGATTCACTCATTGAGTGAGCTCCGCAAAAGTTCACTTCCCGCTCCACAAAAGTTCACTTGATTCGGCTTTTTAAAATGTTACTTGTAACATAATTTTCTCACTTGTACGACTGCTTATTTCCCCTGTTTTTTCATTTTTAAATGTTACAAAGTGCATTTGACCTAAAACAACTTAGAATACATTAGCTCCAATTTAATCAGTTTTTCTTTTATTTAGACTCGAAGTGTTCTTGACAAAGGTGGTGATAATTCAAGGAAAAGGTCTTGTCGACGACTATTGCTATATTTTTATTATAGTGCAGTAGAAAATAGTTGGACAACATCTTTTTGTGTTCGTGCTTCATGCAAACTCGATCACAAACAAAAAAGCCAACAAAAAGGAAAAGGCTGAAGAGGAATCAATCAAGGATGAGCCATCCGACACGTGGACACCAAGATCGCAGCGAGGCCGTTCGGCGCGGAGGAGGAGGAGGATTTCGTCAAAGCGACAGGCAGCAGCAGTGCCGTACGGCCCAGCGAGGCAGGAGCAGCGGAAGATTCACGACAAGAAGCCCTTACCAGCTCGAGCTCCAGCTTCAGATCGAAATCGTTCAATGCGGAGAGACGATTGCGCAACTATTGACGCGATGGGATCAAACTGCACAAATCAGGGATTGTTCTCAAGCTTTTTTAGTATTTATTTTACAAAAAAAAGAAAGTTTTGAAAACAATTCAAGAAATCCGTTTCAGGCCGGTCATGTTCGACGAATTCTAGCTGCGGGAGGATCATTAGATCCAGATGTGCTGGAATCAATTACAATGAACAATTCACCGACGAATGCGACTCGGAGATCGCCTCCATTCTCAACACAGCAGCACCAGCGGCAAGTGGCGGTACGCGCACCTGTTCCGGGATGGATCATCCGAGCGGCGGAACATGCACTCGAATTTGTAACAAGGGGGCGAGTGCGAGCGAATCACAGCAACAGCGGCGCGGGCTTGGCCGTACGGCAGCCATACGGCAGCCGAACGGCACCGGCGAATCGATGGCAGCGGGGAGTCAATGGAAGCGTACAGCCTCCGCCGAATGTCCGAGCGATTCAAGCAAGAACAGGGAGCACAAGAGGCTTCGTTTCGGCGAATCAGAATCCATTGGATTCGATCCGAAGCGATCCACCACCGAGATACAGCACACTCTTTCCACCAAGGGAGGATCCACCACCAGCGTACAAATCACCGTCACCTCCGCTTCAAGTCACGATCAACAACAACAACCGTACCACCCTACCACGAGCAAAAGGACAAGTGATAACACCAGAGGAATGGTCTTCAACGAGTTCATCGGAGAGCGAGGAAGACAGCGAAAAAGCGCAAAAGATGAGAGAACTGCGCGAACAGAAAATGAGTCGATTTCACGAAAGACTCAAAAGGCTCAGTATTCACAATCTACGAGTTCGACATCGGATGCGCAATCGCCGGGGCGGCACTCTTCTTCATCGTCAACCCGCGATGCGATTGCCCGCTCCCGCAACGGACGAGAAGGAAGAATCCGAAAACGAGAGAAAACGGTCCAGCAGTGCCGTACGGCCCAGCAGTGCCGTACGGCCCAGCAGTGCCGTACGGCCCAGCAGCGGATCGAGCATCAGCGAAGACGAGTGGCGTCGAAGGTGCGAAGCCCGTATCCCCGGTCAATCGGGCACATCAGAAGAAGAAGACGAAAGTGCACCAGCACCGAGTCAGAGTCTGACCACTCAGACCGCCGAGGTAGATCTAGATTCCGAAGACGACAGCGACGAGGACGTGGAAGATCTGCCAGTGATGACAAGCCCAGGCCCGGCGGCGGTGCCGTACGGCTCGGCGGCGGCGGGTCAAATTGTACTACATCGAGAAGCACCAGCCGAACTGAGAATCCTTTCTTACCAACAAAATCGTCTCTCTGCTCTTCAAGTATTTTTAATCCGTCTGCGAGTTTGTTTGGAACTCGGTCAACAACGGAAACAACCATCAATAACGATTATGATGTCGATCGCAGAAATCTTTCTCTTTTTGGCTCAGCTGACTCTCACCCTTGTCCGCCTGGGACTTCAAATTCAAGACGAAGAGTAAGCAAAAGGTAAATGATTGTTTGAAAAAGCAACTCTAACGCTAAGGTTAAGCGCTCCACCACCGCCACCGCCATTGACCACAATTCTCACCCACGGCCCAAACATTTCTCAAGACCGTCAAGAATCTGAATCGTCGCGCGATTATGACGACAGTGATGGCGATGAATCAGGCAATGAAATTGTCGATACAAAAATCTCTTCAAATCCCTTTCCCTCACCTTGGCTAATATTCGAAAGAGCTTTTTATCACGACATGGAGAAAAATGTTGGCCTTTTTAAAGATTCGTCAATTAACTTTGCCGATGAAAATTATGTTTCGCCTCGATTTCCAAATGGAAAAGCTGTCCGAATCGGAATGGCAACTCCTTCTTTCGAAAAAGTTTTACTGATGGGTGGTTTTAACGATCTTCTACCCGAGAATCTCTCAAAATTCGTATACTTTGACGAAGAGTATGTGAAAAAATCGTGTCTCAAGGCGTCCACATGCGAGAAATGGCGACTGGCGACTCTTGAATTCTACCACTGTTTGGCAGATTTTGCATTTACATTCCAGAGGAAGCAAACAAAAGTCCCAGAGCACACAAGCATCCGCATATACTCAAAGAGCGTATGTAGCATGCATTTACCCGAACCGTTGGATAAAACGCCACAACTCGAGGATTATGGACGCGATTTGACCAAATCGATGATCAACTTGTTTGAATACGCCGCCGATACGAGCTACATGGCAATCAAAAGTGACGACAATTTCAATCACGACAAGCAAGATGTCTATCAAGTGCACTTTTTTATTCCGACCTCTTCCGGTACTTGGAATTGTTGAAAGCCTTTGTCGATTACGGCTTTCCAAAATATCAATCGACTTGCTTCATTGATGACGATAATGCGCTTTCGCTCATTGATCCGTCGTGCTTGGATTCAAAAATGGTGGCAAATCTCGAATTGGCGATGAAACGTTTCGCCATGTATGGCGGCGATGAAAATCTATCGGGCGTTGGATACTTACTTGCGATGCGAAAGTTTGTCGCCGATTACGCCGAGTACAGAAGATTCAGAATTCAAAAAGCCGCTAAAATGTCTGTCTCTGAAGTAACGCTGCTTTCAAAACATGACGAAACAAGTGACATCCAACGCCAGCTTGCCATGGACAAGATACGAACCGCTGCCCTCGGTGAAGCAATTGCCTCTTACGATCGAGATCTGACTGCTCTGATTAGAAAACTACATCACTTGTATGTGATGTATGTTTTGCGAAATCCCATTGAAAACAAGACCAAAATGGCGAAATTTCTCAATTCATTTGGAGAAAAGCGCTTCGATGTCAGCCACAACCTGAGCGAACCTAAAATCGAAGCGTTTCTTCAATTTCGAAGAGCTCAATACGAAAAGCTTTTGGGCGACAATACAAAAAATTTGTATCAAAAACTGGCCATTTTTCAATCGAAAAAATTGCCAGCCACTCAGCCCTCCTCCTCCTCCTCTACCGACACCGCCTCATCCTCCTCCTCCTCCTCCTCTGACATTGAAAAAGATGATCAAGAAGAACAAAGTTCGCCCCCTTCTTTGACGTCTTTAAAATCACCTCAAGTTAACTCGCCTCCGGCGGCGGCGGCATCTCCAAAGTAAGCCAAAATTTACTCTACAAAAATTAATCTTTTCTATAAGCTTTGCAATCACTTTTGGTGATTTTACAAGCCCGATTTCTCCCCAAACAACGTCTCCAGCTGTTTTTGCGCCTCTTGTCCCGCCCGCAACTCAAGTTCATCGAAACGACGAGGATGATGGCACTTCTACCCCATGCCAAGACGAAGCCTCTTTTTAAAAATCTGTTCTTAATCATCATTCTAATTCCCTCCCTCCCCTCTCTCTCTCTCCCTGCATTTTTAGTGAAAAAACTACTAATCAACTTGTCGCAAAATTAATTCAAAGTAAGAATAAAAGACACAAATTGAAAACAACAGTAGTTGACGTTTTTCGCATTTATTCAAAAAGTCTATTTGCAGGAAAAGTTTGAATTACAATTTGATAAGCTAGAACTCGTGAAAGTGTGACATTAGATTCTTGGTAAACATCACGGCGACGAAATGTATTTTCAACGAGTTTGGATTTAAAGACTTCGGGTTGAATTTCTTCGACTAAATTTTCGAGAGATTCGGCATTGTAGATAAACTCGGTGTGATTAATACTCCCCCAATTATTAGGGTAAATTAGCCCAAGTCTTTCCGTTACTTTTGTCTCCCCCAACTCGTGATCGTAAACAGTTTGCAAGGATTTAGCCATGTAGTAAGCATCGATGCTGACTCGAAGAAGCCCATGGAGTCCATAAACGAGTTTTCGTACAAGCTGCTCGAGATCACGATCGACCAAAACCGTAATAATATAGCGATTTTGAATTTGAGAAACATTCGACGATTTGAAGAAGTTTATGAAATTATAATTGTGTTTCCAATGTTGACCTTAAAATCGTTACAAATGGTTCAATAAATTAATTTACGTATATAGTATTTCGGAGGATGAGAAAGTGATCCCTCTCTTGACTCCAAAACTTCAAGTTCACCAGGCTCGAAATAAGAATCAGGAGTTGGCTCATCCTTTATCAAGTCATTTAAGACAGCTTTATCACTTTCAAATGCAATACTGGCAAGTTTGCGACTTTTTGCTCTCGCAGCATTATCGGCTTGATTATCGCTGCTTTCGTAGTCTATTCAAAAGTGTTTTCAAGTACTTTTTCACGGCTGCCTCCGATAATGAAAAAACACTTGACTGGGTGATAAGGGTCTTCGTACAAATTTGTCGCCGCCTTGTAATTGCTTGGATAAAGCATATCCAAATCAGCTACCATTGGATTATACTTGCTTCGATCGGCTTCTTCCTGAGCAATAAACTTGTCAAAAAAAGCACTTGACACGCCTTCTCCCCGCTCCAAATTCACTGCCTTTTCTCGTGTTTTTTTACGTCTCTCCTTGACATATGCTATAACAGCCGCTATATTTGGTAGAACTTCTTTTGTTGCCATTCTAAATAATCAAACATGACCAAATGGTTGTTTTTTTTGGTATTTAATAGAAAAGAAAATAAAATCACACGTTCACACAGTGTAAGAGGCACAGAATTTTTAAATCAATTCGCCGTCATATCTTCGAAGGGGAAGAGTGCTGACCTTATCATCGCAGATGATTCTTTTCGACAAAATAGGATTGATGACTTTCTTGTGCATGACCCAAGTCTTCATACGTTCTCGCTTCCTGTCAAGTTGAATTTGAGGGATGCTCTTCTTGATTCGCTGGTTGTAATCACTACCAAAAATGGCAATTAGATATTCGTAAAAAGATAATGGAACGCCATCGTTGCATCCTTTAGCAGATTTTTTGATTATTTTTGCGTGAGGTTCATCACCAGCAGCTTGAGCTAAAATATCAAATACATGATCCTCGTTGTCTTTTTTGATTAGCTCTTTAATCAAATCATTCATTTTAACATCAGTCATTGTATAGCATTTTGGGCTTATCGCTAGAAAAACACCATTCGTAATAGCGTCTTCTGTTTTCAAAAGGCCTGGTTCTTTTTGGCTTTCCACTGATTTTGTTGCAAACCACTTTGGTTTTATATCTTTGAGCCAGGACGCTTTCATCTCATCCCGAACGCAGTCGAATAGATCGTCTTCTGTCAGCGAAAGAAGAAAGGAATCAGTATCGCAATATGTGAAGACAAAAGAGCCAGGTTTCAAATATTTGACCAAAATAAAATAAATTTAGTATACAACACTGTCATTCGTAATTATTTGTTTTCAAGACAAAATTAACAAAAAATTTTAATCTTACAACATTTTAAACAGTGTTGTATACTACTTGGGTAAAATTGGTAGAAAAGAAGCTTCGAGTTTTGATATACTTGAATTTGCACATGAATGGCCAAATCTTCGTAAACACGTCTTTTTTTAAATTGAACTTCGTGAAGCGGATCCACAGCCATATCTTGAGCACGCAAACTTTTCATATCTTTAAGCAAAGGATTTCTCAAAGCTTTATACAGACTATCGATTCCAACAACAGATGTTTGAACAAAGCGATCACGAGCTAAAGCAAATTTACCGATGCATCCGTTCATCAACAGTTTTGCTACGGTTTGACCCGCAACGTCTCCATTCTTTTCCGAAGCAACTCGATCTGCAACCATTTTATTGACAAATTTTTTAAACGGTTCTCCACGAAAATAAGTAACAAACCAATGAACCTTGTATTCCATTCCAAGCTTGTGATAATGCCTAAGCATTTCACTTGTTGCCAAATATTCGGTTGTATTATAGCAAAAAGCATTTTCTTCTTTGGGAAAGAGTCGATTTAATTCACGCTCAGAGAGAACATTCTTAAGATGTCCTTGGACATCCTCGGGGTTCAGATGCACTTTATCAAAAATTGGCGGTATAAACGGATGATCTTGTTTTATCTTGTCTGTGGAGCGCAAATCGACCAAAGCAAAACCGAAAAATTTCGATTGTCCGGTCTCTTCATCATCCTCGTTGACAAGTTCTTTAAACATTGCTTCGGTTACTCCTTCGGTGCCTTCCTGCAATCCGTTGAATTTTGAGCTTGAACCGCGATACAAAAATGGGTAGCTCTTTGAAAAAGGAGGTTTATTCATCATTTCTAAACTGCTCCATTGTTTTAACCATCTGCATGCATATTTGATTTTGATTTCGTGATGAAAATTTGTTGGACCCTCAACAGGCGTGAACCCTTCTTCGTCACCGTCGTCACTGTTATCCTCATTTGTAACTAGAACAGGATTGGGCGCTCCTCGCTCAATGTCATCGCCCCGTCTGAGTGCCTCTACGATTGTGTGCAACCGAGCGTCATCGCGAGCCCTCAGCTCATCCACAGTAATTTTCTTGTACTTAGCACCACCGGAAACTTTTACTTTTTGTCCGAAGTAAGGCTTACGCTTGCACCAAGGACAAGCGTGATAAGAGCAGCCTCGAAATTCGAAAATGATCTTCTTTTTGACACGGGAAAATGGTGATATATATTCATCCAATTCAACATAGCCATCGACAGAATAACCACCAATTTTGATTTCTTTTCTGTTGTAAGAATGCTGAATTTTACCATTATAACCGCCTTCTTTCCAATTCAGATATTCTAGCCATTTTATCGATTCAAGACTTGTGTTTTCTCGCTGAGCAAAAAGACCTTCTGAAAAAAAACGCGTTTCAGGTTCGCCATTGATCGTCTTTACTCTTGCGTTCGAATATTGCATTTGCTGTGGATGATAAAAAATACCAGGACCGCAAGGCATCGGCCCGCGAAAAATAGCTGGATAGAGTGAATTATAGTCCAATAATTCACATTTCTTGAAGGGTTTTCCATTTGGAGCCAGCCGCGCACCTTTTGGAATATTATCGTCATCACCACGATTGAGAAATACGGCCCTATGCAAAACTTGACAGATTCCGCCAGACAATTTTTCTCGACATTTTCGATAAAAAAAGGCATGTGACGGAGGAATTGAATAAATTGGCGGACATTCTTTATCGTACATGACAAACGCAAGCTTCTGAGCTGTTGTTGCAATTGACAGATCACAATGCAATCCTATGCCAAACTTTTCAGAATACTTTTTGGCATAGCAACTGATTGCCCCTTCCAAAAGTTTCACGTCGTTGAAATTATATTCAAATAAAAACTCCATCATTGAAGGCTTTCTTCGAAATTGTCTTTCCATGACGCTCCACAAGTCAACACTGTCGGCGTATTTCTTTGGAGAGAAATTGAAAAAGTCGAGAGCTTTCTCATCAAGAGGATCACATTGAAAGCAATTCTTCTCTTTGTCGAATTTTAACAAACTCTTTAATTGAGCAACTTTTAAATCGTAAAATTCTTGAGCAGATGTAAAATTGCACTCTTTGTTTTTGATAGCATCTTTGACAACTGGATCGCTTTTTAAATTTTTCAAATTCAAAAAATTTATAATGGGTTGAATGTCCAGCTCATCCCAAAGTTTCATTGATACTTTTTCATGAATTATAGAATTCATTTCAACTGGAAATTTTTCGCGCCCCTTCTTGATCGAACTAAGCGTCGAGTGAAAAGCCGAATATGCAGCAAACTTTTTTGAAGACATAAGTTGTTCAGTCGTTGTGTACCACTCATAAGGAAAATCACCCTTGCAGTAATGATCCGGATCTAAGCCACATGAGCGAGCCAACTTGTCTAATTTCATCGGAGCAGTGTAGTTTTTAAAATCTCTAAAACTTAGACCAAGCGCTTCAATCAACATGTAGCCAGCACCTCGCTTTATAATATTAATTTGCTTTGCATCGCGTCCAGCAAACTCATAAAGAACGGCAATTAAAAGAGGATAGAGAACAGGCATATCGTATGTTTCGGAAAACCAGCCATAAATTTTCAATTTTTGAAAATCCTTGAGGTAATTTAACTTTTTGCGCATCATTTGAAGATCTTCCGGAGATGTATGCTCACGAAGTTCCTTGTCGTTGACACGAGCTGAATAAAAATGTATCCCTTGAGTAATGCAATCGGGCAGTTCTTCAATCATCTCGTCGCGCAATTCCTCAAGATGCTTGATATATTGAGCAATCATTAGAATAGTCGATTCATATCTGAAATCCTTGCAATAGAATATTTCTTTTTGCTTATCAGAAGTAAACGACGCCAGGGTTACCAAATTGTGAAACTTTTCCTTCTTTGAAAACGGACCCTCGCTCATCAACGATTCAATGTCGTATGTAGCAAAAAACTTTTGTGTATAATCGACAGAAGGCAAATATCCCTCTTCAACCAACTGCTCTATAAACGCATTGACATCGTCGCCCTGTACACTTTGCCGGAAAATATATTCAGTATCTTGTCGACATGTAGCAATATGACGGTCCATTTTTGCCTTTTTCTCGGTAGTAAATAAACATTTGCTGTTTTTACATCTGGGCATCGTTTTGACACACGAATCAGGCAATATTTTAAATCTTGTTTCACTATCAAAAATGTTTGGCGTCGACGAAATAACATTTAGAATCGGTGCATAAGTTTGACTGTAATCAGAATCATCGCTAATGAGAGAACAAGGTGATACCAAATCCACAGATATTTTATCGTCATCACCCCCACCATCAGATGAGACATCAGTTGCAAAAGTATTAGGCTCGCGTTGCGGCACTTGTGTAGTATCAGAATCAGAATCTAGCGCCAGACGTCGCCGGCGACTTTGCCCTGTCAAGTTGATAGTAGAATTATTATCACCATCATCCAAAAGTATCTCACCATCCCGAGCAAGATTGACAGAAATAGCATCAGCGGTGCCGTACGGCCTGTCGTACGGCGCGGCGGTGTCTTGCCGCGGCGAAGCACTCGACTCATCATCCGCACAAGTATCCAAAAAAGCAGCAGCGCCCCTATTCAATGCAACGTGGCTCTCTTTTGCGGCATCGTGCGCCTGCGCTTCCTCTTCAAGATTTTCCCATGCCGCTCTACGGTACTCTTCATCATCATCAAAAGAACTATTTTCACTGGCGATAAACCCTTGAATAATTCTCGATTTGGCCGCAGTCGATTTAGAAAAAGCAGAAGCATCGATTTCATCTTGACCAAAACTAGCTTTTTGGTCATTATCCTTTTTTGAATGATAACAACCATTGCGCACCCAGCGTAGAATCTTGGCAGTTTTAGAACGAGAAACACTTGGATTAAGTTTGACTCGTTTGTGATACTCTTTATCACAAGAAAGAGCCGGTAAACGATATGGTTCTTCAATAAATCGCTTATAACTCATGCTCGTCAAATCTCGGAATCGTTGTGCAAATTCATCTTCGTCAAAATTCGCCACCAAAAGATTGAGATGTCCATGTTTCCCTCTTGCCAGTGTGTTATAAAATGCAGTCTTTTTGTTTATATTGTCGTTGATATAATTTGCAAAAAACAGCGTTACACTTATTCCAAAATGAACACGAATTTTTTCAAATATACGGTCAGCAATGGTGAATTTTTCATTTTCACAAAGTCCAAGTGTTTTCCACATAAATCTTATCTTCTCAGGATAATCGGTTTTCTTTAGTTTTGGCCATCGTTTACGTGCAATCGCTTCCCAAAGTGAAATCCATTCAGAATCCAAATTTTCAATCACTTTCCGGCACGGGATTACATGAAAAGTCCCCAATTCGTCGAAATACGGCCGATTTGATTGAATGACAATCGTCGGTCTGTCTGAAAAGCCATCTTTTCCAACATTATCAAACAAGTCCAACACACTTCGCAAGTCGGGTTTAGAGTTCAAACGATAGGGTCTGTAACAAATCGCATATTTAGCAAACTTGCCACCAAACAAACAGTATAAATCGATTCCAAGAAATTCTTCAATATCTGGTAAATCTCGACGCGATGGATTTTTACCAAATTTTTCAATTAAAGGTAAAATATTCACGTCAGTAAGAGTCTCCTTTAATTTCCGCGTCATTTTTGACGGCATTCTGGGCGTAATTTTAAGATAATTCCACCAATTCAAACCAGTCAGAATAGCAGCATAAACATTTGAAACCATGGAAGAAACAGATGTCGTTTCACTGTCGAAAATATCGACTCCCTTTTTACCAGCTCGATGCCGGGACCAAACACCACCCTCACTATCACTGCCATCACTGCTAGAGTCGTCAGATTGAAAAATATGATCATCAAAATCGTCGTCGTTACAATAATCATTCAAGTCGAACATTGAGTGCGCTTGGTTTGAAACATTGTGCTTTTCAAGATTTGAATTTTCAATGACACTCCCAGTTTCCTTTTTAAACAAATACATTTCAATAAAATGCCAATTGCCTTACCTTTAGAAACAAACAATCTCTTTTATTTTTAGAATGAAGTCTTCGATTTATTCTGCTTTTTTCTTTATTGGATAAGCCTGACACGCGGCCAGGCAAAATTCTATTCATTTAAAAAAAAAATTTATTTTATTTTTGTTTCAGTCAAATGGTACAGTAAGACAAGTAGTACAGCAAAACTACGCCAACTACCAGCTCATGAAAAAAGTGCTTACATCATTTTTTTGGAGTGACACGATCGACCAGAGCCTCTGGAAAAATTCACAGTTAGGCGGCATTGCGCAATAATCAGAAACTTACCATTTTTAGCTTTGTCTAGAATTAGATCTTCGACTGGAATTTTTGTGACGAAAGCATCCCATGACCCGTTTATTTCTCCAGCAAAAGTGATTTTAACAGTCACAAGACCGTGTTTTCCAGCTCGATCGTCGAACTTCATCGGAACACACCAGTTTTCATTTTGGAATTCGAAAAAATCAACACATCCTCCTATAGCCTTATTGTTAAACCTTCCGTTGTGCATCAAAAATTCAAATAAAAATCAATTGGAGACGTCCAAGGCGAACGCAAGTGTTCTTTGTTATCCAAATAAACAACTAGCTCCTTGATTTCATAACCCGGCTCATGCATTGTTGTTTTCGTTATTGAAGTGTCGTAGCCACATGTCGCGCGTCGAACATAACTCATTCCCGAGAATATGATCATGTAAGGAAGGGGACCAGAATTTAATGTTATAGTATATGTTTTGAGCCCGTGCGTTTGATTTATAATGCTGAATCTTGGCGAGAAAAAAGGTATACGCGCTTGGCCCTTTATTCCAGTTGTAATGGGTAATTCTTTTTTACCAGGCGTGCAATACACAGATTCAAGCATATGATCAGTAATATTGGGCTCTTCATGATCATGCTTGTCTTTTTTCTTGTAAAATATCGTATAATCCAACTTATCAGTTTCGTCTTTCATTGTCTGCGTTTTCAAGACTTTAATTGTCGTTGTATGTGGCTGCCAATATTTATATGATAGAACCCCTGTTTTTCCCTCAATTTGCTCTTTGTCGAAAAGTCCATGTGCATCAGATTTGACATTCTCATTGACAGGTGTATAAAAACGGCCTTCTTTCAATTGTTTGACAACCATATCAGGATAATTAACAACTAACTCGGCGCACTTGCACTCTTCAACAATTCTACACACAGTTGTTTTCTCTTCTAGCTCTAAATCGTTTGAAAAAGAGTATTTGTCTGTGGTTAGTCTTTCGAAAATTGACGTCAACATCCTACACTCTTGAAAAGCATTATGCTTGGCCAAAATTTTCGAAGCAAAGTTTTTCACCATTTCAAACTGCAAACGGGAACCAGCAGGGAGACACTTTGGCTGTCGGCACAATCCATGGTTTATGGGCGCTCGTACGGTGTAGACATTAAAAAGCTCATCGCAGGACACTTTTTCCCCTTCTGGAGTCAACGCAATATCCTCCACAGCTTTCTTCCAATACTTGAGAGAGTACTGTTGGCGATTTTCCACAAGGCTTTTGCTCCCATTCTTTGTCAAAGTCGTTGCAAGTTTATCAGAATCAACATCACGTGAATCATAGGTTCCTTGAGGAAAGAGCTCGACTTCTTGCGCATCAGTCGAATAATTTAATTTTTTCATGTAATGGCTAACAAAAGTATACTCGAGAAAATCGTACGAAGTATCTACATAAGTATCCAATATTTTTACTTTAAAAGCTTTCACCAATTTCGAGTGCCAATCGTTAACTGGTACATAATTGGACTCGCAAATCAAAGTCGCAATAAACATAAATTTATCCAACTTTAGGGAATCTTTGTCCTCGGGAACCACGAATCGAACTTGGCCTCGAATCTCCTCATCCCCCAAGCGGTGTATTCGTTTATAATCCTTATAAGGATCATCTGAATTAGTAAATCCCTCAAGATATAGCAACCGTCCGTAAACATCATATTTAGATCTCGAATAGGACATTCTTAATATTCAGAAAAATAATAATTTTAAAATTAGCATCTAATTATCGTTATTTTAAAGCAACCGTAAGATAAAAGTAAAATAATTGTCGATGTTAAAACAAAAATAATAATAGCAACATAGCTCAAAGTTAGCTTGTTTTCCAGTATCCATAATCTGCAAGAATTGTCCTTAAATTGTCCCGATAAATGCAAAAATTATTCCAGTCCTATACCTTTGAATTAAAAATAAGAGTCAATAAAATCTGATTTAAAAACTCCCACACAACTCGAAAAAATTTAAGCTTCAATTTTTTTTTCTTTTTCCGCCTTGTCGCGAGCATCTCTTGCCGAGTCTCATGAATACCGATACTCTCTTCGTCTTGCGTTCTTTCTTGTTCTTTTTCGATTTCCTCAAAACTCGTGGTCGAAATCTCCCGTTCTTCCATCTCTGGCGTCGATAAGGAGTCATTAGCTTTCAAGATATAAATGTTTATGCAATCTAAAAAATGCATTCAATTGAAACAAATTTTTAAACAAAAATCAAAATTCAGAAAGAGCAGAAACTAAGTTAAGTTGATTTTCATAAAAACGGTCACGCAATTTTTTGCCAGTCAAATCAGCAAGTGTATAAGTAGGAACATAAGTGCCGAAATCAATATGAATAATTTGAAAGAGTTTTTTTGACCAATTTGGCGCGTAGCCTTTTTTTGCGAGCTTTTGCTTCAAATCGGCATCGATTGGAATACGAACAATATCCCCAAAATTGTATTTATTCTTTCGCTTTCTTATTTTCAGATTACGCTTCGCTTCCATCATATCAAACAAAAGTCGTGCATTTTTACGCGTCACATCATTAGGAGCCATTTCAATCGAGTTGTGTACTGTATTATTATAAGCTTTGACAACTTCTTTTAATAAATGAATCCATCTCCGGCGGCCATTATAGGCGCTGAATATCATTCCAAATCGTGATTGTATAGTTCGTCTTTAAAAGTAAAAAATAAATTAGCAATCAACAAAAACTTACATCACACGTTCTGCAAGTGAAGCCTTGTGTTGACCGCGCAGGCTTATCGGTTGAACATTGTACTTTTCAAGCATTGGCCAAATTTGAAATCCAAATTCTTGTCCACGATCCGTAAGAAAAAAGCAAGTACCTGGCAAATCAAGATGCATAAAAATATCTTCTAATTTATCGGAAACTTCTTTGGGTTTTTTCGTTAACAACGGTCTCGCAAAAAGTTGCTTAGATAATCCATCGACGACAAACAAAATATACTTGTAGTTATCATTTTGTTTAGCGTCATTAATATAAGAAACACAAAGATCAGCAAATAAATGTGTATACAAACCAGGTGCTATTATAGGATTACGAATAAATTTACGTTTGTAGGGTTTATGGCGTGATATAATATTATTTTTCTGTTTAAATTTTTTTAAATCAAGTGATGAAAACATTGAAGGACGCGAAGGATTGTAAAACAAATCAATGCCTTCATTAATTCCAGAAGTTTTCCATGTCGGAGATTGGCTCTCCTTCTCGATGTGTGTCGCTTTCTTTTTCTGACTCCCTTTTTCTGCGTTTTTTCTCGGAGTTTCGAAGACAAGATCGTCTATTTCTCGAGGGCGTCGAACCAGCTCTTCCACCTCTGGCGGATTCGTTGTCAGATTCTGAGGACTCGTCGTCGGCGCTTGTGTCAGGAGTAAATCTGACTCTTCGCTTTCGAGTTGGTCGTTTACTGGATTTGTTTTTAACAATGGTGACTCTACCCCCTCGCTTTGGTTTGTTGCTAGTCTTGGAACTTCGCTGGCGCCAAAACTCTCTGGTTTTGAGTTGTTTTCTTCGAGTTCCTGCACTCGCGAAGGATCTAACTGGCTGATAGTCGGAGTCGTAATCATATTCTTCTTCAGTTGTGGGCTCATAATACTCTGAAGACTCAGAGCTCTCGGAATCGTAATAGTCCCGTTCTTGTTTTTCGCCTAGAAGGCTTGTTGCGTACAGAAGCCCGCCATTTTCTGTAATCAGAACTGGTGATAACAGACTTTGAGTTGTTTGCGGAGTGGCCCCCTTCGTCCCGATTCCTATCGAGTTGAGCTGATACGTGAGCTGATTTTGCCATTGATCCAAACTTGTGCTTTTTACGTTTTGTCTGTCTTGAAGGCTTATCGAACTCGGCTGATGTTTCGGCTGTGTCAGCGCTTCCGTCGTCTTCACTAAATTGTTGCTGCTGCTGCTGCTGCTGCTTGTTGGAATTAGACTCGACTTCTCCAATCTCTTCCGCAGGCTCTTCTGTCTCTTCAGGGCTTGATTCTTCTCCTTCTCCGCCGCTTGCAGGTGAGCGTCCACGACTGATAGGGATTTCCCTGTTGCATAAGGCTGAAATCTCCGAGGCGGAGCGCGTTTCCTTTTATCATAGTCTGGATAAGGTTCCTCTTTAGTTTTCGGCGCTTTAACTCTAACACGCATTGTTTCAGGATTAAATTCCCAAGAAGAAGATATATTATCTAATTGAGAAAGAGTAAGATAACAACCACCATTTAACATCTTAGAAATTTAAACTAAAGATTTTTAATAATACAATATTATTTCGATTAAAGTGTAAACCTGTTACTTTTAGATAAACGCCGCAAGAGTGTCTCTGTTTCTCTATCAGTACTTGACTTTGACCATGCGATAAAGATTGTCTCACTTTAATACTAAAGCACCCCATCTAGCGGCGTACTGACCTTGACTCAGCAGAATTACGGGATAAAAAGCAACACGATCAATCTTATTCCATCCATTTTATAAATATTGGACCAAAAAACATCTAGTTTTTTCGATTATCTGCAATTATGTGCGCCAAGAGAACTGCTGAAACGATCAAGGAAGATGACTATCCGCGATTCAAAGTTCGTGCCGACATCAAAAGCTTTACAACTTACACTCAGCCGGACAAGAGCTTCTACTTGTGCCCAAAAGCTAGAGAAATAGCTCCATTGCCCGGAAGAAAACTCCCCGCAATTGCCGACAAAGTAAAAAATAACTGGAGAATTCATCTCTCTTGCTCTGAAAAAATCCTCGATCTGAGCGACCCAGAACAAGTCAAATTCTTCGAAAGCATTCCTGAAATTCTAGGAAACAACGCGAGCGTGGTTTTCTACATCAAGTATTGGAAGCCAAGCTCCGAAAACTCCAACCGACAGGACAATACCGCTCAAGAAATTGAAGGAACCTTCTTCTTTGACGGAATCGCATGCACTCGCATCTAATCAGCTACGTCCCCGACCTTAGGTTTCAACATCCTTGTTCTCTACTACTTGCTGGCACCACTGGAAGTGGCAAATCTTTTTTTATCAAAAACTTGGTTGAAAAACAAGGCATCAATGGTAACATAAAAAACATCTATTACTGGATGCCAAAAATGGAGCCCCTCGACATCATGCCAAGCCCCAATCAAGAATTATTTTTGATGGAAGGAATGCCAACACAATCATGGGTCGAAGACACCTTGAAGCCCGAATCCGGTGACGTTTTGCTTATAATAGACGATCAATGGGCAAAATGCATCGAGTCGCCTGTTGTAGAATTCTTGTTAACCTTTGGTCGAAGACATTTACAAGTATCACTTGTTTTTGTGTGTCAAAACTTTTACGAAAAATCGAAAAAGGCAATTACTTGCAGGTAAAATGAATCTTTAATGAACAAATTATCAATTTACTTTTTTAGAAATTGTATGACTGGGCTCATTGTCTTTGACAACTCAGTAGATGTATCGATCAACAAAACTATTTTCACAAAGATTGGAGAAGCAGCAGCCTACAAAGCCGCAATGGAATTATTTAAAGAAAGAAGAATAGTCTGTTATCGATATATTATTGCCCGTAGAGACATTAAATCTGTACATGAGCCACGAGTTTTTACAAATCTGTTTGGCGAAATCAGAGGGTTAGGGAATTCCCCTTGGCTCTTTGATATGCCTCAATAAATTGCCTTTTTCTCAAATTTAAAGAATTTATTTATTTTAGAAATCATGAGCAACGAAATTCTTCTTATTAAACACAACAAACAAGAACTCAAAGGAATAGCAAAAGAAATGATATCAGATTATGCCAACTTTGACAATGCACTTCATATGCCCTCTGGAAGATGCTTTGCTCCAAAAAAAGGATTCTTCGACTATCCAAAAATAACTCAAGAAGGCTACAATTTAATTCAAATTCTCGACGACAACACTTGTGCTGATCCCTTTTGTCGAGTGAAAGCAGCATTCATCGTCGGCCTAGCAGCTCATAATTGCGACCAAAACATCTCAGACTACCCTCCAGAAATGCAACTTTTCAAAAGGTTCACAAATGTAAAGAAAAAGATTATAACTTCTGTTGCCTGTCAAACCGAAAACTAGCATAAATAAAAAACAACAACAACAAATTGAAAGAAATAAATGAGTTTTATTTGAACAGCAAAAAGAAATATTTTGCAGGTTCAGTTGTCAAAAAACGCTTTTTACATCTGTACGACGTTGTCCTGTTCAGACACAGCGCTGTTAGCTTCGCCCCGATGGATTCTTGCGCGAAGAGCGGTGGTTGGCGACATTTCCCCCTCTGGCACAAAGTGTGGCACCGCGGCGGCAGTTCTGGTGGGACGGTAGCCGGGCGAGTTCTTGATACGCCGAAGCTCCCGCTGAGCCCAATCGGTAGCACCGGCGAAGTGGAATCGTTCGCCACTTCGGGTCCAGATCTTGAGGACGTAATCGCCCAGAGTCAGGTCGCGTCCCAACCCCTTGAACTTGTCTTCAAAGACCCTGTCGGCGTCGAATATTTGCGAGAACGCCAATTTTCGATCGGGCCAGTTCATGCTCTGATCTATCAGCCGATTTACATCGACAACTAAAAATAAAAATCAATTTTGAAGAGAAATGTCAAAACTTACAATAGAGATCAGACTCGGGTGCCGGCTCTTCTTCGCCTTCTTCTTGAGCAGAAGGGGCGGTGTCGGCGACAGCATCAGAAAGGTCCCGATTCTTGCACATTTTCATCCACTCGGGCAGACGTCCACGGCCAACTTCGGGCTCCTCTTCATTAGGAAGAGTTGCGTCGCCTTGAATCGAACCCTTGAGTTGTTGAAGCCACGTCACAACATGCTGGAGTTGATCCAATTGAGATTGCTTCTAAAAAATTTTTCTAGAATGTTCCAAATAAACATTTCGATTTTTCTTTATAACTTAAAAACTAACGGTTAAAATTTTAAATAAATATGATCATTAAAAAGCAAATAAAAAAATAATCAAAACTAGCCGTTTACTTTTTTTGTTAATGAAAAAAAATTCTGTTACGAAATTTTGAATATCTCGTTTTAAAATATTTTAAAATCTAGCGGTTAGATTTTTATAAAAACAATGTTTTATTGTAGCTTTATTAAAAACAAATAAAACTGACCGTTTAGATTTTCTCATTCCGACAAAAAATAATTTTTCAATTTTTAAAAATGTAAACGGTTAAATATATTCACTAACCCCTTATCTATTAACATGACAAGTAATAAGAAAAAATAACCGTTCAAAATTTTTATACTCACCGACATGGCTGGCTGGAAAAAAATGTTGTTTCACCGACTTGCGTTTTTTGACAACTGAAAATAATATAAAAAAAAGAAGAGCCGTAGAGGTCAGTTCTAGAAATATTATTGTTGTTGTTTTGAATTTTATTTAAACGATAACATGCGTCGAGTTTGATGTTTTGCAATGCAGTTCAAAGTTTGCTCAAGTTTCTGAGCTTTTGTCTTGATTCGAAAGATTTTCTTGAAAAATTTAATTGCTGATTTTTTTTGAATCTTTGAAATCATTTTCATATGGTACACGACTTGCCAAGAACCTTTAAACAGAACCTGCACCTGCTGCAGGTGTATGAAAAACGATTCATATCGAACACGATCTCCATCCGCTTTTCGACCGACTACACAACTACCCGTTATCCTCAAATAAATCTGAACATAAAAGACAAGTTTTTTGGGTTATAAAATGAGATTATATTTTGTGATAACAGAGGGGAAACAGCTTATCGACGAAGTGATGGTTTATGAGTCTTTGCCCATGGGCCGGCACCTTTCATGACCATAGTTCGGCCTTTTCGTGTTCGAAAACTAACGCAGTAGTTGCCGTCATCGATGCACTTTCGCAAGAACCAGTACACTAGAGAAAAATGTTAATTTTTAGAAGAATTTTTTTTTAAAACTTACATTGAGCACGGCCCATGGGTCCCTTGCCGTCGAGATATGCAGGCTCAAAAAGAGCGTCCATAAGAGCAGCAGCCTTCTTCTTCTTTTTCTTTTGCCACCACCGATCTTGTTGACAAGCTTGCGAGCTCCTTTCGCAAGCTTTCCACGTGGAAATTCGGGCTCCTCGACCTCCATGTCTTGCTCTTCTTCTTGCCCAAGTTCTTGAAGAAGTAAATCCCGGAGAAATTCAGCTTCCTCAATCGCTCGATCGATGATCTCGACGTGGCGAGCCTTGGATCTCTAAAATAGACAATTACATTGCCCCTATTTGTAAAAACTTACAGTAAAAGGAGCAGACATCGAAAATTGAAATTCCGTGTATTGTTGTCGACAAAATTTCGAAACTGAAATAATTAAGTAAAAAAACTCAAAAATAAATTAACGTTCTAGAAACTTTTTTGATAACAAAAACACGGTTATTTAAAATTGCCACACTTTATTTTCAATAAAAAGAAGAACATCATAGGATAATATAGCAGTCACATTATGATCCAATCGACTCAGGCTTGCTTTCATCAACAATAATTGGTGGGTACTCTCCATGATATTCCTCGTCGCTTGAAAAAGAGTAATCATCAACCCACGATCCATCAGAATATTTTGCTGGGTAATGATCGTGCCCAATAATTCGTAGAACAGCCGGCCACTTGCTTCTATCTGGCAACTCTGTTTCAAGGTCAAACATCGCCTCGCAGAAAAATTCATGAAAGAATTCTTGCTGCCGACGACAAATTGGATTCTTACAATGTCCCTCACTTTCAAGACATTGCTTGAAATCGTATCCTTCTTGAGTTTCAAAATACGAAGTAAACTTCATCTCAATAAAATCAAGCTTCTGAGCAGCAACCAATAACTCATCCATCTCTCGTCTAATAAACCAATGCAATTTTCTTGTTTTCTTTTCTTTCAAAGGAGGATTATTGCTTGTAGTTTTCTCAGTATCTTGCATTTTGGCAGACATTTGTTTGAGTGAAATATATAGACCAAGACACGAAATCCAGACAAAGGTGTGAAAACCTGGTACTGATAACGCGCCGTCTCGATTCAACAAGATGACGTGGCTCAAGACTTGAGCCTCAAGTCCAAAGCTATCAGTGTACAAATTAAAAGAATTTAAATGGAGAGAAAATACCAAATTCTTGATCTCAATCAACTTTATGATGAAGAAAAACGAATTGACATAAACAAGAGTAAGTTAGTGTATAATACTTTTGATATTTATTATTTTTAGTGTACTATCCAGAATGCTTTACCTTTAACCTGCTCCAAATACTCATCTGCCGAAACTGCTCCGATCCAATTTGCATGAAAAAAACAGAATTCCTCCGAGAAATGTATTTGGACATAGACAACAACTTCCCAGATGATATCTACACGCATGCTGTTTTTCTTGATCCGCTAGAACAAGCCACAAATTACAAAGAAAAAGCCAATGAAATGGCCTTACCAAAAAGTTCTCTGGAAATCCAAATTCTGAATGAAACTGCTGATCAATCGTCTGACGAAACAAAAAAGAACCAATAGAAACTATGTACTCTTATCAAAGTGCTTGACCGGGTCGTGTTCAGATTGAATCAAAATGTTTATTGACGATACCGACAGCAAAATTGCAGCAGAGATCGAACAAATGATCAGAGAATCGGATAAAGCGACAATCGTTAAAAGTAAGTTTTTATTTATTTACAATAAAATAATTATTTTCCTTAGATAATGATGTCAACAGCGTTGAAAACATGGAAATATCGGTCAACAGAATAAACGATCAAATAAAACTTCTTGAGCTGCGAAAAGAGCGAATTCGATTCCGGCTAAAATGGGCTCGTCATATGAAACGTATTATTGATTGTAAAGTATGACTCACTGTCTATTTTTCTGTAATAAACATTATATAACTTACCTACGTGACTATCTATGTGTCTGCAAAAAAGGCGCCAGTCTGCAATTTGAATTTCCAGAGCCACATTCCTAAGCATCCAGCAGCCAATCAGAGAGCTTGAAAGTGCAAAAGAATACGGTCCTTATATTAACTACTAATAAAAATATAAAATAAATCGACAAAATGAGTCAGTAGTTTAATTCTGACAATCGACACTCATTCTGAGAGGGGCGACTCAGTAAACTACGCGCCCACGTGACAAACGGGCTATTCCTAAAACAAAGAAGCGAGGAATATTCTAGAACACCTACGCCTATATAAACCAGTTGATTCTTCTGCAGCCAACTCGATTAGTTAGAGAAAATTTCAAAAAAAAAGTAGCTACAGTATTTTTCAATCAGGTAAACTGATGAAAATTATGATTTGACATTGAAAGCGTCATAAAAAATCAAACTTAAGATTTAATTAAAATTATTATTATTTAAAATTCATAAAAAATTATTCCTGTCAATTATTTTTTTTTAATTAAACATGGGTTTATCCTTATTTTGATCCTCGACCGCCCTTGTAAGATTTTAAATGAAAATGTTTTGCTTTGATAACAACAAAGAGAATCCGATTGTTTTGAATACTAATTTTTGTAAAGACTAAAGTAATAAAACAGGCCTTTTCAATTGTCTCTTTCTCTGAGCTGCTCAACTCCAGCAGAATCAATATTTAACGAGATCACGTAGTAAATTGAGGTGCTTCAGCTAAATTGCTCAGCGATCATGTTTCGTTTTTTATCGCAAGTTTTGCAAAAATCCTTTAGAGAATTTCCTCATTTCCTGTTTTTAAGAGTGTTTAACGTCCCTTACATAGTTTCTCATCACAAAAAAACGAGCTCTTTAAAAATTTATTCAGAGAAAAACATGACCCAAATCGTCGCCTTCTCCGGAGACTTGTTGAATCGTCAGACGACGCTGAACAAGCGGCGCCACAGCCTGATCGCCTCGACGACAGACGAAGTGAAAAACTCCTTCAAAGATGTCAACTCAAATGACGGCCTCAAATTCCATTCCTCGGCTTGTTTCGAAACTGGAAATTTCCAGGTTAGAATCAGGCCATTTTCAAAATTGGGTAGACATTGCCAAATTTGGTGAACTTGAAAATTAACGGGGGTTTATCACGTCGAGGCTGGAGAATTTCGTCAGAGAGTACAAAGTCCTAATTTGTTAATTACAGTAATGTTGCTTGCAAACCTGTGAAAAAACCTGAGTCAGGGTTCTTCAGGGAAACTAAGCCGCGAACCTCTTTTAGAACCCTGACTCAGGTCTTCTAGACAGGTTGGCAGGTCATTATTTACTGTAAATGACAGACTAAGATCCTACGTCAAATCCTGTGTAGAAAACCTGAGTCAGGGTTCTGAAAGAGGTTTGCTGCTTAGTTTCCTCTTTCTGGACCCTGAGTCAGGTTTTCTACACAGGTTTTGACACAGGGCCTTAGTCTGTCAATTACAGTAAATAGTGACCTGCCAACCTGTCTTAAAACCTGAGTCAGGGTTCTGAAGGTTCTGATTTTATTGTTTCGGGACCCTTCATCAGGTTTTCTACACAGATTTCCGTACCAATAAGTCAACGCGTCATCAGTTAAAATGATCTTCTTTTTTCAACATTTTCATTTAGATGTCCCGATACCCGACAAAAAGGTGCAATAACTACCCTCGATGCCACGAGTTCAACGTCAAACTCTTCCTCCATTCCGCCGACCCTTCCTCTGTCAAAGTACTCCTCCACCCCCTTCTTCCTCTATTCATCCCACTTTCAGGCAGGCTTGAACTCGATTCTCTCCGAAATGGACTTCAAATACGCCGACTCGTTGATCCTCGCCTTCGAAAAGAACATCAGCTCGAGGGAAATCAACAGAATCTGGAAAGAAGCGGAACAGCTGAAGTCGTCGGGGAAGGTTCAAACTATTGGCGTGGCGGATATGACCATTGAGCAGATCAGGCACTTGTTTGATTGGTGCAGCATCAGGTTCGATTTTTCGATAGAAAATATTTGAACAGGGAAAATTCAGCCCTGACATGCTACAAATCTGCCCGAGCACATACGACGAAGACTTCAAGGAGCAAAATTCGACCATCAAAGACATCATGACCTACGGCCACGAGCATCACCTAAGAATCACCACTCATAAGTACGTTAATCTTATGTCAGGATAAGCAATCGTTATCGCTTCTTTGCGTAATTGTTCATTTAAGCGACCCGGTACTGGAATTTGAGGAACTGCATCTCAAAGCCCCCGCCCTCGCCGAAAAATACTCCACTTCTTATATTGGTAAGCCAGTCTTTTCATACCTCCCTTCAAGCTTTTGTTCTCAGGTCGATATGTTCAAAGATCGAAGGACAGAAACATCATCACGATGAAAGGGTACTTTGCAGGGCTGAACGAGAAGGAATGATGCTAACGAGAGCTACAGTCTGTTTCGTGCGGATTACTGTTGAATACTTGAATACTGTTTGTTGAGTTGTTTCTATATCTATTTAAAAACGTCTGAAATCGGATTAAAAAATGATCTGGAAATGAATTTTTCGCTTATATTTTTTTTGCAAGCGGCAGCGAGTTTTCACAATCAGGAAATAATCTGCGGCAAATGTCAAATGAAAGCGCATAATTCTGAGATAAAGCCGAGATAATAACCAGCTTGTTCAATGATAATATATAAATCTATTTATTTTCCGCAAAAAATCATCAAAAACTAGAATGAAAAATAATGACAAGTGTTAAATTTTTTGCAGCTTTTGTTATTTTTCTTTGTTTTTTAGTTTTTTATTCAACTAGTTTTCTCAGATTTGAGGAACAAAACGAAGATTCTTTAGTGACGGAGAGAATAAATTTTGCCGAAAAAGAGAATCTCGAGGATCTTTTCGAAAGAAGAAAGAGAATTTACCATCGAGCTTGCTCCGCCCTGCCATTAATTCAAACCTTTCTTTTGAATAGCTCCTCATTTGAAAGTCTTCTGGATTTGCACCGGCGAATCCACGACACGGAAACTCCCCTTCCTGAAATTCCTGAAGTTTCCTGCATCGCAAACAATATTCCTCAATCTTCAGTTTTCAACCTGACTCAATCAATGGACCTCCTTATTTGCCTCCCACCAAAAGCCGGAACTTCGAATTGGCAGCGAGCTGGGCTCTGTAACCTGTGTCGAAAACCTGACTCAGGGTCTGAAAAATGTCTTGGGAAAGGATTTCTCAGACCCTGACTCAGGTTTTCTACTCAGATCGCAGAGCCCAGACAGCGAGCTTTAGACATTCATTATCTAAATTTGACGCAAGGAGATGTCGCCGCCCGAGAATTCAAAGAACGCCTGATAGACAACTCATTCAAAAACTCCAAATTGATCGATCTCTACGGTATCCTTCCTCGGCTCAGGCCTAAGCGGCTGCATAAATTGTCCCTGGAAAACAAGCCGGTAAAGACAACAGCGAAAAACCAAGTGGCAAACACAAGAAATCCGTTTTCAAGAGTTCATTCAGCATGGCACGATAAAATGAGAATCAACGCTGAACACAATCAGACATTCCGAGAGTATATTCAGGACTGGGCTCGGCAAACTGTGTAGAAAACCTGAGTCATGGTCAGAAATATCTTCCAGAGCCTGAGTCAGGTTTTCAACACAGATTGCCGAGCTCAGATTCAGGCAATCGAACCTCTCGAAATCGATCATCAATATATTCCAGGAAATGGTTTCGACTCGAAAACTCGAAAATTTCGAGAACGCCTCATTTTCGGTTCCTTTTTTTCGATCGTTTTTTCAACCATCACCAGCCGATTACTACACTAGCTTCGAAGCCTACGTCGAATACATCGCCTCAAACCCTGGCGACTCAAAAATGAACGGGCACTGGAGAACAGCTTTCAATCTCTGCTCCGCCTGCGCGCTCGATTATTCCATCATCACACATCTCGACAACAGCGAGGAAGAAATCCCCTTCGTCCTCGAAAAAATCAACCTCGCCGGGAAAATCGAAATCGCTGGGAAATATTCTTGGGACGGGACGAAGCGAATCAAAGATCAGCAAAAACTCGAAGAGGCGCGAAAGAAGGAGAAACCATCAGCCGAGCTGGAATGGAAAAATGTGCCGAGGAAGACTGCAGAATTGATTTACAAGCATTATTTTCTGGATTTTGTCGTGTTTGGGTACTCTCCTGAGGATGTTCTGAAGTTTATCGAAGCCGCGGATTCTGGGAAAAAACGACCAACCGAAGAGAGAATACAGTTATCAAGGAGAGTTTTGAATAAATCAAAATACTTAATTAAAAATTAGGACAAAGATAATTTCAAAAAAATTTTTGCGGGTCGGGAAATCATAAAAAATCTGAAAGTGCAGTTTTCTTCAGCTCGTCGAGACGAGTCGAATGGTGGGTCAAACTCTTGATGACTCCAATGACTGACCGGTTAACCGGCAGTTTCCCGGAAAATACATTTCCGGTCGCCGTTTTTGTTCTAGAAATGCTAGAATGACAAAAAAGCAGGAAACTGGTCCTTTTAGTTAGTTCTTCTGTGGGTGAAAAAATGAGAATCATATCTCTAACCATAAGATGCTTATCACTGAAATTCTATTTTCTCATGAAAATGGGACCGAAAACTAGGAAGGTGCAGCAACAACGAAATGATGAGCTGAAGAAAACTGCACTTTCAGATTTTTTACGATTTCCGGACCCGCAAAAATTTTTTTGAAATTATCATAAATTATATAGTGATTTATTAAAATTAAAAAGAAATTAAATTAAAATAAGAATTTTAAAGACTAAAACAGTCGATTTAATAATTTAATTTCTTAATTTTAATAAAAACAATTTATTTTAAAAACTTCAAATTCAAGAAATCAACTTCACGAGAAAGAAGAAAGCTACCTCGAAAAATTTACAAATTTCATTTGCAATAAAGGATATTCTTGATATTTATCTGATAAAGATCTCTCTGCTTTTCATCAAAAATCTTGATTTTCCTTTTTTTTTTCTTCCAAATAAGGAATTTCCAGTTTCGTCTCGTTTCGCGTAATTGGGCGCGCTCGGCTCGCCCACGACTCCAGCTCATCTCGATTTTTTTTTGCGCGCGAAGAAAAGAATCGATCACGACGATTTTGCGTTTTTCCTTCTTTTCATTTTCGTTTTTTGAAAGAGATTTTGCTGAAAGAAGAAAAGAAAACACAAGATAACTTTTAGTCTAGAAATTTTGTAAGACTTCTTCAAAGTGACTTTTTTGCGAGAAAAGCGGCTCTAGAATGATTTTTTATAGGCAGAATTAATGGCTCATTTTTTTGTAAATTCTTGTGCTTTTTTGATAGAAAAATTGCTCTAGAATTCGCTTTTAGATCGATTTTTATATTTATAATTTGGTAAAATGACCAAAAGCTTGTAGTTTTTGTTCAAAACAGCGTTAGAATTTACTTTTTACAGTCATTTACGCGTTCTTATGTGATTGTCTTGAATTCGTTTTTTTGGAAATTTTCCAAAATAATCACCTGACGAAAAAATATAATTGGAGGTCTTATGACTCGCAATGATTGGATTTTTCGAGTTATAGGATAATGGAGGAAGAGCGATTAATCGTCAGGAAAAACGTAAATACGGAAATTTCCGGTTCTTTGGGCTTTTCAAAGCGCCTTTTTACGTATTCAAATGTCTCTTTTCTTTCTGAATGATCGATCGCTATACAATTATATCGTAAAAGCCGATTTTTGAGAGTGTGTAATTATAGTTATCTGAATGGAAAGAAAACTGCCTTTTTCAGCCAGATTTCGAGAGGCAGAATTTTCTTTTTATTCTGATTGCTTACAAATTGCCCTCATTTTTACCGACTTCCCGTGTTCTGGCCTCGGCAACCTGTGTAGAAAACCTGAGTCAGGGTTTGAAAAAGCTGAGCGTGCAGCGGCTTCGCAAATACTACCATTAAAATCTATAAAAAATTCATGCGAAGCAGCTTTGCAGCTTCGTTTTTTAAAAAAGCCGCTGCGCGGCTTTTCATTTCAGCTCTTTCAGACCCTGACTCAGGTTTTCTACACAGGTTGCCGAGCCCAGCCCGTGCTATCTTGGGCTGACTATCTTTTTGAAAACTGTCGCGAGAACTTGACCTGTGTAGAATCCTGAGTCAGGGGGTTTGTTTTTATTGCCCCAAGGAATCCTGACCCTGAAGCTTAAACCGGCCTCATTCGAAAATCTACAGCACTTTCGATATTAATTTTAAGGGTGGGGGCGTCCAATTAACTTGAATTTACGAGCCACGAGCGGCAATAAAACGAGTAACTATTTAATTTTTCAGCCAGTCTCAATCGAAACGAAGATTTATCTCTCTATTATTTATGATGACAGCTTGATGCGAGCATTTTTCGTCGAAAACTCACTCCAGGATTTTCTTTCTTTCAGATTGAGAAATTGAAAAGCAAAATCGGGCGAGAGTAAATCTTTGGAAAAAGGAGAAAAAAAGGAAGATTTATGGAATGGTTGAGGTCTACCGACTGGTCCAGCGTTTCGACCAGCGTCCTGAAGGGTTGAAGTTTCTACCGCCGCCGGATCAAGGGTAATTTTCACCTGATTAGGCCCGATATTTGATACTTCAACCAGACCTTATCTACCAATTCTGTGCTTTGCAGCCTCTGCAGAAACCCTGGCTCAGGGTCTCCAGAATTAACGAATACATAGGCGGCTTTTGATTGAGATTTACTGACCCTGACTCAGGTTTTCTTTACAGAAAATTTGTTCAGAAAGCTGGAAGAAGCAGAATCATCGGCGGCGAACAAGTTCACCCTCGACTGCGATGTCGAATTAAGAGGACTCGTCAAAAAAGTCGTCCAGGTTCGCTTCAAGCAATAATTTTCGAAGCCCAATTTTTGTTTCAGTTTTTCAACGAATTCGCGGACCGAAATATTCAATCGAAAAAGAAGCAAAATGTGAAAGAGCGGCGCCGTAACAAAACTCGTCTCAAGCAGAAACTCGTCAAAAACGCGGAGAAAAAGAGTTCTAGCGCCAAAGAAGAGGCAGCTCTGGTTCCGGCAATCCGAGAAGAAGTCAAGCCAAAGCCAGTTTATACTTCGCCCGAGCAATACTTGGTAAGCCAAACCTTTCCAAAAAAGGTTTAATGCCAATTCTAGCGCGATTCTATCCGTCTTCGAATCCCCGAGCATCAACTGTTGCGGCACGTGACGCACCAATCAGAGTGGTACTTTCGACAGCGAAACGAGCTCCGCGCCCAGATTCCTGGCGAAGCAATTTACGCGAAACGCGATTTCTTCCAACAACTTCCTGATCATCTTGTCGGTAAGAGAAGCTTTGGAATTATAAAACCTGAGTCAGGGTCTCAAAGATTTTTCAAGATTCTTTCACTGGGGAATCCCTAGTAGGGATCTTTCTGCCAGAAAGTTTCTGGCCCTGACTCAGGTTTCCTACACAGGTTCCCAAGCCCTCTGCTAAGTTCATCTTTAAGTGAACATCTTCAAAGAGCTGCCCCGGTCCGACTTGGCGAATCTGAAACTGGTGTGCCGCGATTTCGACTGGCTAATTCACGCGTACGATGTGTTACCCTTCGACTCCGGTTGGCGCCCCGGAAGAAAATACCGCGAAGATCGCTGCGAAAAATGCAAACGCGTACGGCAACGCGGCGATACTTCCATCTGCCGATTTCACTCAAAGGTAAGCCGACAAACGTCTTTTACTTCGGATGATAAAGAGTGGTTTTAGATGTTTTACGGAGACCCATGCTCAGGACCACAGAATTTCTATCTCTGCTGCCACAAAACTGACAAGAACGCGCCAGGCTGCGTAAGGTAAGTGCCCTGTTCGCCGATCTGTGTTGAAAACCTGAGTCAGGGTCTGAAAGATCTTTATTCAAGGATTTCTCAGACCTTGAGTCAGGTATTCTACGCAGTTTGCCTCTTTATCCATCTTCTTTATCGTTGAATTCAAGCTGACTCTATTTTCAGACACGAGAAGCACGACAACTGGTACCTCAATAATCGAAACGATCCCTGAAAGAAGGCTTCCCTTTCCAAAATTTCATCCCTCGCTCTCGTCAAGAATCATCTTCGAGCAATCACTATCCTCTCACTCTTCAATTTTACTATTTATAGCGACCACACAAAACCAAAAACGTATCTTCCTAATATCCCTTTCAAAAGTACAGTAAGGGCAGTAACTGTATGTTTTGCACAAAAAACAGACTACATTCAAAGTTCATTTACGCTCTATTCTTCATTTTATGTGCGCGCGCTTCATAATTTCAATTAAAAAAAGAATGATTTTGATAAACTGAAAGAAATCACCATTTTTGCACAACCATTTATCGAATAAAATCTCAGTACCGTAAGCTCTTGTGTCATTCTATCCCAGTTTCACCGCTCTACAGATGTCTTTAGATCTCTAGGTGTCCACGGAGGGCTCGATGTCGTGACTCAGGACTCTGGAGATATCTGGAGATGTCTGGAAATGTCTGTTCATTTCGGGAGAGGTCTTGAAATGTCTGAAGATCTGTGGATGTCCCTCTCTCTCTTGAGATATGTGGAAATGTCTTGTAGACATTTTCTACCTAGAAGAATAACATCTAAATGTTCGCAGATGTCTTTTGCAATCCCTTGATGTTTTCAGCTGTCGAGAGACTGATGACCACAGATGTCTAAAAATGTCAACAAATGTCAACTAACTGATGGCCCTTGATAACCATTCGACTGAATTCAGATTGAGAAAATATCAACTGAACCTCTTTATTGACGCGTTCCTTGAATCGTATGACCTCGGAAATGCCGATCTTCGATCAGAAGATCGAAATTCTTTATGTGAAGCGAAAATCGAAGCAAGTGGAGCGCTTCCAGTCCGAAATAACGCCCACCAAAACTAGGAAAACGCCAAAGAAGGTTGTTTCTACCTTCTCAAATGAGTTTCTCTAACATATGTTCAGCCAGCGAATTTCGAAGGCAGAGGAATCGGACTCGCAGTGTCGAAGATGGAGGGCGTTTGCTCGGTAAGATCCTCGAAAAGAAGGCATTGATTGAGATTTCCATAATTCTAGCGAATCGACATGGAAGCAGAAATGGAGCTGAAAACCGTCTACTACGTCTTCTACCTCCGCCGCCGAGTCGCCAAAGCAGACGTCAAGGACAAACTCAAGGCTTTTAACGGCTGGCCCTTTTCTGCCGCTTCCAAGCAATATGCAAAAGCGCTTGAAAATCTCCTGAATGTAAGACTGAGTCCCTTAAATATCCCTTATATTCCATCTCTAGCTGACGACGCCTTGCATACAATGGGTAATGAACATCATCGGATTAACGATTCACGCAAACGACCAGAAAGAACATCTGATTCAACGACTAGCTGAATGGTGTCTAAGACCAATTGATAATGGCGACTTTTTCATACCGTAAGTTTAAAACTTGCGGAATGGAAGGATAAGCAGCTTTGTAGTGTGGCTGATCCGATGCCTTTTATGGAAAACGACCACCGTAAAGCTCCGAAATTAGAGTTCGAGGAAGACAACATGCTCGAAGTCGGCAGGGGCGAAAACGGCGCGCCGGTGATTTTGAGCAACACGATCGCTGGAGAATTCGATCTGAATCGAAACGGCTACTCTCGAGTTCCGCACATTTCCCAGTAAGCCGCTTTTTGTCGATTCTTTTTCAATTCTCATTTTCTAGCACACCTTCGTCTCCCTCTTTTGCGGCGCCTTACACCCCTCGTGCTGTTCCGATGCCGGTGACAACGACTCCAAATATCAATCGTCCTCTCGTCTCTCCGGAAAATCCTCGTCTCCCGCCAAAGAAGCGGATTCGAAACCGTCACACTCCAGCCGAAACGGTCGATCTTACAGGAACGGTCAACCTTTCATTTTCCTTATCAAAGAAGACGTTCGAAATCTAGACCTTTCTATAGACGAGCATATTCCAACAGAAGAGGAAGTAATTGCCGTGATCAGAGATGTTCTCACCGTTGAAAACTCTAAGAAACTTACTCTTCCTTACGTGAGTCAAAGAATAAATGACATAAGTGATGATTTTCGTTTCAGATCCGGATGATGATTTGCCGAAGATATCCCGATTTCAACATCGATTCTGACGCCCAACGAAGCTGGATCAAAGAACTAGTTCTGGATCAACTCCAGCTCAAGAAAGCGGAAGAAAGAGCCGCCAAAGAAGCCGCGAAACGAGCTGCTGATGCCGCGGAGAAAGAGGAACAGAAAAATGAGCATTTCTATGGAGCAGAACTGCAAGAATGAACGACCCTGAAGAATGAAAAAAAGATCGGCTTTTTTTGCTGATTTAGCCCAATTTTGTTCCTTTCAACCTTTTTCCTGAAGAAAATTAATTTCATAACTTTCTAAATAAATATATTTTATTTATTGAATACTTCCGATACCTTTCTGACGATAGAAAACGACCTGTTCCACTTTTCATCATCCTTTTTGTTTAACTTTACAGATTAGACCCTATTCAAAAAGTACCATCAAGGGGTTTTCCCCTTCATTTCGATGGTTCTATCTTTGGTATTTTCTGCTTCAGCTCAAAATTGAAAATTTTTCAATTCAAACATTTATTTTCGCGACGTTCTGCCTGCGACTTTTTTACTTTATACTTGTCATTATTACTTTTATTTCAACGTTTATCCCTTCAACTTAGATTCCGGACCCTTACTGCAGCAAACAGTATTCAAGAAAAAAGACTCTTGTTCTCCTATTGTTCCTATTTCAGACATTTTATTTCTTTATTTGTACAAATCCCGCATTTTCCTCCGTGTTTTCATGACCAAAGGTCGCTCCCAATATTGCCGATTATACTGTCGTCTTTTTTGAGACAAGATTGATGGTCAAACTTGGGATGGAAGTCCAAAGATAGTCGATTTTCGAAGCTTTCTGAAAGAGTTCGAAAATCGACCATCTTTGGCATTTCTTATCAAGTCTAATCATCAATCTTGTCCTTAAAAAGACCATATACAATCGACAAACTTGGGAACGGCATCTGGAATCCCACAGACTTTAATTTCATCGTTTCTTTATTTTTTTGTTTTCTCTTTTATTTTTGACATTCAAATTCATTGAAAAAATCCATCAACTTAAAAAAAAGTGTGAAAAAATCACATGTTTTCAATTCAAGATTGATATGATATCATTATTCCCTACCATACACATACAGTAAATATAAACTGTGACTGTCCCTGTCTAAATAATCTCTGGAATTGAGAATAAACGCCTGTTATGCTCGTTTTAGAGTTTTCCGCAAATCAATTTCTTTTCCCAAAAAAGCGGTATGTTTCGGAAAAAGATCGATTGAACTTTTCTTTTTGTTTATTTTGGTATTTTTACAGATTTAGGCATTGAAAAATAGGTTGCTCGTCCATCTCTTCCCACAGTCCTATGCTTGAGAGCGTCCTCCACTTTCCATTTCCCTCTTCATCATTGAGAATCACTTCTCGCTTGGATTTCGTTGTTTTCGGAGCGAGACAGCCGTCTGATCTTCCGATGATTCGAAATTTTACCTCGTCAGGTTGATAGCCCTTGTTGTTCTTGAATTTTTCAATGTCGTCCACTATCAGCCACGAGAAAAGACTAAAATTTTCGATTTTATGGGAATAAATGGAGTTTTAGTTGCCTTTTTGACCAAATTGCATATTCTCCATTCATAGTTGATTCGTAGAATTTCTTGTTTTTGAATGTTTTCAGCTGGTAATCTCTTTAATTGGGATGAAAACCGAGAAAAGCAAAGTCTAGACTCGGCAAACTGTGTCTTAAATCTGAGTCAGGGTCCTCAAAGGGATCTAAAATGAGAAGAAATGGTTTTTCAACACCCTGACTCAGGTTTTTTGCGCATGTTTGCCCCCCAAAAGTAAAGCTCGAAAAGCAAAAAAACTCGTTCTTTTCCCCGATCCTTCCCGTTTTCTGAAACATAGCAAAAACCCTCCCGCAGCATTCTCCCTGATCCGGATCTTCTTTGAAATTGGAGCAAGAAAGCTGACTCTTTCTCGTCCAGTTTTCCACCTCACTCGGACAGAAGATTTCTCCGTCAATCGAGCTCATACTCACCATCCCATGAAGAAGCCCTTTTCCGAGATTCCAGTGCGAGCCATTATTGTACAAAAAGGTGTCGACGGATTGAACATGTCTGTAAACTGGCTTCCCAAGCATGAAAAACTCCATTTCAAATCGACCGCTGAATCGATCGTCTTCCGTTTCCAGATCCAAAGATTCGCAGCAAAGAGCTCGAACTGCTTTGCAATCTTCTTCGCATTCGGACTCTTCAAAATTCTCCCCTGGGCAAGAGAGATCCGGGCTGTTTTCACAAGTCCTCGTTCTGCGACGCAGCTCTGTTTTGCTACAGTCGCGGTGGACACAGTTCGACCAGTTTGTCCAAATTGACCAGGTCGGATCGAGCTTGCAGGAGGCGATCTTTCCCTCGGGCATCCATTTTCCCTGAATCAAAAGAGGCATTTTCCATTTCAACCAATTCATTGCGTCGTCAGGGCAAATCTGTGGACTTTCGATTCGAGCGACGAATTTTCCAGCAAAAGTGGATCCGATTTCAGGGGAAATATACCAGTACCAACCGTCAGCGTGGGTGTGGAGCCAGAGAAAGAAGTTTTTTGAAGCATCTTTGTACACCATTTGACCATTGTAAAAAGCGCCATCGAAGAGGAATTGAAAATCTTCGATAAGAATCTTTTCGCAGCATGTAGGAATGATCGTGGTCGTCGTTGTAGTCGTCGTGGTAGTTGTAGTTGTCGTGGTGGTAGTTGATGTCGTGGTCGTCGTTGTCGTGGTTGTTGTAGTAGTCGTAGGTTCTGGGCAAAGCCCGCAGGACTCGACACAAACGGCGGCAGTAATCATGTTTCCACAGTCCAAATCGTCGCTGAGACAAAGGCTAGCGAAGTCGGGATCATCCTGGCAGTCTTCTTCGGGAGCGGCTGTTGTAGTTGTTGTTGTCCTCTTTGTTGTCTTCTTCATCGTCCTTCGAGTCGTTGTTCTTCTCGTTGTTCTCGGCGCAGCTGTTGATGTAACAGGCTTGGCATAATTTCTAAACCAGAAATTCTTGACTGAACTCATCTGATTGCTGCCATCAAGAAGAGAGCCACTACGAGCATTTGAACCGCCAACGAGGGAGACAGAACGAGAGCTCTGTTTTTGGACGAGTTTTTTGTTCTTTGATGCTTTTTGTCGATTTATTTGCGCGAGGGTCATGCAGGAGCCACAAGTTTTCTGACATTGAGAACTGAGAAGAGCGCTTGAGCAATGCAGCGATGTGCACGAACTCGACCGATCTCGACATTCAAACATTTTATCAAAACTCGCGCAAAGGCCACAACTTCTGGCGCAATACATTTTCCCCAGCAAGCTATCACAACTCAACTGCGACAAGAGTCCACCCCCGCACATGGTGGCAAAAGTCGGATTATCCTGGCATGGCGAGTTGGGATTCGCTTTTGGTGGCTTCGTTGGCTTCGTTCTTGGCGCTCTGGTTGTTCGAACTGGTCGTGGTTTTTGAGTTTTGGGGAATTTTGTTGTTGTGATTTTTTGGCAGGAGGGATCGCAGGTTTTTCGACACTCTGTTGGAGCCTTGTTTTCAGTTTCAAAAATGACCAAAAAATGACCAAAAATGACTAAAATGACCAAACAATGACCAAAAATGACCAAAAATGACTAAAATGACCAAAAATTACCAAAAATGACCAAAATGACCAAAAATGACTAAAATGACCAAAAATTACCAAAATGACCAAAATGACCAAAAATGACCAAAAATGACTAAAATGACCAAAAATGACCAAAAATGACCAAAAATGACCAAAAATGACCAAAAATGATCAGAAATGACCAAAAATGACTAAAATGACCAAAAATGACCTAAATAAAACTTATTTGAAACTGTTCCTTCGACCAAGAAGAGCAAAGATTCGGATTGCAGAATACGTTCGTATCGACACATTTCAGCGACCCAGAATTTGAAGGAGTGAAATTTGGTTTCTGAATGTTCGTCTGTTTCATTGGATTCAAAGCGCTGCCGCACAAATTGCAAGATTTTCTACAAAGCGCGCCGGCAGCAGGACTGGTGCAGGGCATCACATCGCAAAATTTCCCAGAATCAAGGCACGGCACATTCGCAATTTCCTTCTCAAGCTGGGAGGACAGCTGATTCACTCGTTCGCACAACTTGCAAGTTTCAGGGCAAAAAAGACGAGTAACTTTCGAGCTGCAGTCGACATTCTCTGAATTGCACAGTTCTGGTCTCTTGTCCCTGCATTCTATCGCCAAGGAATGACTAATTAAAATAAGATGAAAAAGATTTTTCATCAGAATCGATTGATTTTCTGAGCATTTTGTTTTCTTGAAAATTCTTTGCCATGATTCTGCCGCGGGCTAGAAATTCTGCTCAGTAAATGAGGCTTAATCATGCTCCTCTTTTTATATTTTAGAAGTGTTTTTCTGAGTCCATTTTATTTTCAAGTTTTTTCTATTATTATTTTACAAACGAAAACCGGCCACTGACCCGACTATCGACTAAGGGTCAATGTCGGATCGGGTCGGTACCGACATAAAACCAGACATTGTCGCTTCTGTCGGTGGTCGGCACCGACCCTAGTTTGTTGGAGAGGAGATTTGGTCTTATGATCTTGACGTTATTGTTAATGGATTGCATTAGACAAGCTCATTTAGCAGTTTTAGATTAATTTTCGGATATATCGACGATTGAAAAAAGACGACTTGCTTTATTGAGACTCAAATTTATGGCCTTTCATTCAGAACCATCACAATGCGACAAAAACGGCGAAAAATAAACCTGCTTCAATGTGAAAGTCTGCTTCAAAATTGACCACGCTTCGATCGACAAAACTCAAGGAAATAAAATTGTCAACTATCAAGTCATAATCAAGTTTTTCAGCGTCCATTTTATTTCTGAATTTCTCAAGAATTCTTTCTATGTATTTTCTTTTTCTTCAAGAAGAAACTTTTTCTTCTGTTTCTTTCTTCAAATACTTTTCCGCCCATTTGAGCGATTCTTCAGTCGATCCCTTTGGCGCGTATTCGAGCCCGACGAAGTTCTCCCAGCCTTTTTCTTCGAGAAAATTAAAGAACTCATCGAAATCGATCGTTCCATCTTCGGAAACGGGCTCGTGACGATCTGGTGCTTGAGCGATTTGGAAATGAGCGCATTTTTCGAAAAGTTGTTTTACATTTTCCAGCGCGTTTCCTTTTTTAGTGCTCGAAAATCTCCGTTTTTAGGCTTATTTCGTCAATTTTCGAGCATTTTCCTTTTTGAACTTCGAGATGAAAAAGATCGCAATGATAAAAGAGGTTTTCCGCGCCGACTTCTTCGATGATGCTGAGAGCCTCTTCTGGCGTCGAGTAGAAATAGCCTTTTAATTTATTTATTTTCGCCAGAATGGCTTCTATATTTTATGGAACAAGCCAAGTGGCGTACTACAATATTTCTTTTAATATTTAGCGATTTTTGTCCCGAACGTGCGTATTTCCTCAAAAGTAATACTTATTCAAATTACTTATTCAGTACTTAGTAGCTTAGTAGCTCTAACTGTACCTGGTAAGGAGATCTTCGAATTTATCGGCTCCAAAGTGCCAACTATTCCGTAGTCCTTCAAGCTAGGCTCGGGAACCTGAGGAGAAAACAGGGCCCCTGAGTCAGGGTTTCAAAAAAGCTTCGATGAAACCCTGACTCAGGGACCCTGTTTTCTCCTCAGGTTGCTGAGCCCAGCCTTCAATAAATCAGCGGCAATTTTCAAGTTATCCACAAATTGAGCTCTGCACGATTCCTGAAGTTCTCTCTCAAATAATGAATTCAAGCACCTCTTTACCTTTGTCTCGCCTTCCGGAACTTTCCCAGCCATGAGATGAATCATCGGACATTCGACAGCACTAGCGTATTTGATCGCTTCTTTGACAGTCTTCAAGAAGTCGACACTTTTGCCCGGAATGGCGCCCAAACCGGCGGAATCTCCAGCCGCTGTGTTGATCAAAACGCATTTCAGGCCAGACTCAACAACTGCCTTTTTGAACTCTTCAACTGGATACTCATACGGCCAGGCAACTTCGAAGTACGAGAAGCCAACTTTTTTCGCCAGGGAAATTCGCTTCAGCAGATTCGCCTCCTCTAAAACAACAATTCAAAATCCGTCGATTTTTCATTTTCAACCTTTGAAAAGCCATGAAATATTCGCCGCAAGCTTCATTTTTTTTTCCTCTCTAGAAAAAAATTAATGTTGATATATTTGACTTTGCCGGAGTGTTTCGTTGAGTAATGAAAATGGAAAAATGACTCATTTGGAAATTTTGGAGACAACGAAGAAGTAACCCAAGTTGGCATATTTGGCATATCTGATGAATAGTTGATTAAATCGACAGGAGGCTGAAAGTCGCTAATTTGAATTCATTCTGGTTGTCTTGAGCAAAAATCCTCGCTTACAAGGACCTGAGAGGATGCCAATAAACAAAGTGCGATTCACTTCAAGCGATTATTTATTCAAACTCGAACTTCGCCATCCGGAAGAAATCAGCTGTCGCATATGTTTTTGTTTTTTTCAAGACGTTGCATTCAACAGTTTCTGAAGTTTAAGTCTATCTTTCAAGCGGTATTTTGAATATGTTTCATATTATATGTATGGAAAATTCTAATGTTTTGACTTCGGTCGAACCTGGAAGATGTTTCCAGTGAGAGCTAGGGCCGAACCAAGATAAGGAAGAAATAAGAGAGGAAGTGACAAAAAAGGAAGTGATTTTTTTGAAATGGGTTTTCATTGGCCGGTAGGCCAAATGCAGCGATCTTATTGGTCTTCAGAAAATGCACTTCCTTTTTTGTCACTTCCTATCTTATTACTTCCTTATTTTGGTTTGTGCCGAGTGCTAGCATAGTTCAAGATGAGCTCTTTTAGGAATATCGGCTTTTGTTCCTCATGAAAAATGCCCGTTTCCAAAAATTGAAAAAGAATTTATGGTTTGCGCACGAAAATTAAATGTATCAAAATCTTTCAATTTTGGATTTCAAAGATAAAGATTTTAACAAACATCACTCAAACTCAATGTTATAATTAATGTTATTTTTCTGTAATCCCCCGATTCGCCTGTTCACCGATGGTAAGTGAACCCCGTTGACAAGCAGAACTGATTCGAATTAGCGCTGCAAAAAGGAGAAAGTAAAAAACATGCTCAGAGTTTGCGCCATCAGATGGTGCTCGACGCGCGGGATAATCCCCAAGCCAAGTTTACTTACTGCAAAAGTAGAGATGTATTAATTAATCATTTACAAAAACAAAAAAAAAGAGAAAAGAAAAACATGAAAAGATAAAAATAATAGAAGAATCGAAAAATGACGCAAAATGACAGTAAATCGACTGAAATGCCCCCAGCTGAATATCAAGAGGCACTCAAATGCTTGCCGATTTATTTTCTTGAGGAAGATTGTGAGTTTTTGAGTCGAAAAAATGGATGGTGTCACGAATCGACAAAAAATCTCGACAAATTTTGCGTCAGCGGCTTCTCGGCTGCTGATTGGCCTGGAAGCCAAATCAAGGTTTCTGATTGGTTGAAAATTTTCACGTTAATTTGTCGGGATTTTTTGTTGGATCCATTTACCGAGAAAAAATGATGATTTTATTTTTTTTCAGCAACGAATGAGTGGGACTTGAATTTCGACGTCAGATGGCAGGACTATCTGGTCGCCTTCATCATCTCCTTCCTCTTCTTGATTGGCTTCATCGGTCATGCAATAGTAATCCGCTCCCTCTGTTCCTCGCGAAAACAAACTTGGACGCAGACAATGGTCAAGTAAGTCGACTCCTCCTTGATTTCAATAATTCAAAAAATAATTGATTCAGAATCAACTCTGTCTTTGCCATTTCATTTCTGATCATTACGACTCCGACAGATTTGAAGGTTCTCCTCAGCCAGATTATTCTCAAGGTGAAATTATTTTCATCGATTTTTGATGATCGAGTATTTTTTATAGCTTCCAAAAACGACGCTTCTGAGCAGAATCGGATGCAAGTTGACGATGTACTGGGTAATCAGAGCAAAACATAGGGCAGCGGGTTAATTATTAATCAGGTGCTCGTCTGTAGTGGTGTCAGTATTTTTTCAAACACGATGATGGTCGTTGACAGGACAATGGGCATCAAGAATCCGATGATGCGCGCCAGATTGGCTGCTTCGAGGAAATACAAAAGTAGGTCAAAATCTGGTCGGATCGAAAAAAATCTGATTGGCCGAAATTTTTTACAATAACAATGGATCGAACTAACAAAAAAACGTCAGAAAAATCGCTTTTCGATCGAAAAATTTTTTCCTGAAATCTGATTGGCCGAAATTTTTTTTACCAAAAATCGAATCGAAAAAGAGCAGCAAAAAATCGTTTTTTTTTTATCAAAATTTTTTCTGAAATCTGATTGGCCGAACCGCTAGATACGAGAATCTGATTGGCCGATTCCACCCACTTCCCCATATTTTCGATCTAACCCAATTTTTTCTGCGAGTTGTTTTTCAGAAGTAACTTGTTAATTAAGCGTGTGTATTTATCTTCGTCGCCGTGAGCCCGCTGATCACCGCCTCTCCAAGTTTGTTTCTGTATGCGAAAGAGGGATAAACTGCTCCAACTGGCAGCTCAGCTCTGTTGAGTAAAATTAACGTAGCAAGTGGCACTTTGCCCTTGACCGAGTGGCGCTTAGGAGTTCATCCCGAAAAACAGAATCCCAATGCGGCGTGTGCATGCCCTTAGGCGAGTATCAAGAGTACAAACGTTACTTCGACTTGGTGACGTTTATTATTCTGATGCTCGTTCCCGCTACTGTCAGGTAAGAATTTTAATATTAAGCAATATTCAATTCTGGAAGAGTAATTAAGTTTTTGATTCGAAAGTAAAAGTCATTTTTGTCTTTTTTTCGAAAATAACTAAAAAAAGACTTGGTTGAAAACCTGTGTCCAAAACCTGAGTCAGGTTTTAAACAGCGGCTTTTCAATTAAGCTCTTCAAACCCTGACTCAGGTTTTTTACACAGGCTCTCAAATAAAATCAAAGTCTTAGTAAGAATGATCTATTTTTAATCTGTCTGGAAAACCTGACTCAGGGGCTGGAAAAATGCTCTGTAAAACCTGAGTCAGGTTTTCTACACAGGTTAAAAATAGATCATTCTGACCAAGACTCACAGAAAACCTGAGTAGAAAACCTGGGTCAGGGTCTGAATTAACAAAATTGCCTGAAATAATGATCTTTAAACCCTGACTCAGGTTTTCTACACAGGGTGCCCAACCCAGCCAATTGAGCGCCTGTCAAGTGAACTAATTGAGCTTCAGTATCGTGGCGATTATAACGATCGGCATCGCCCAGCGCGAAAAAACCTTCAGCCAGTTCGGAAATGGGGTGACAAAAAAGACAATCAAGCATGAAAAGAAGTTTGTCACCGCGCTGTATCGATACAATGTCGCGGACAGCATCTTTTACACCATCTGTCTCGTAAGTTGTCGACCACAAATTGGTTCATTTGAAGCCGGATTGAACGTTCATTCAGTCTCCAACACGATCGCTGGAGATCTTCGGCCCGTACGCGTCGACTTGGGTGGTGGAGAATATTTTGACTTGGATGATTTATGTTTCGAGGGTGCTGCTGGTTTCTTACTTTGCTTGTACGCCGATTTTGTACAGTCTCTTCTTCGATATGAAGATCAGAAAGGTCAGGACGAGAAAATAAGCAAAAAATCAGCATTTTTTTGAAGAAAAAAGCGACTGATCCAAATTCTTCTTATTCAACTTCAGCTACACTCAATGGTGCCTCGCGGAATTCACATCTGATAGAGAAGAAGATTCCCCTTCAAAGAAGCTCTTGTGTATTTTGACTAAAACATTGTAAAAATAATAAACAAGGAAAAAGACATTGCTTTCTAATCAACAAATCATTTATCCAAACAAGTTTCCAGCGCTTCAAAAATTACCTCAAAAGCAAAATCCCCAACAAGAAAATTTCAGAGATAAATCCGAAAAATGCCCGGAGACTGGTCGATTTTTGAGAAATCGGCTACTTTCGGGGCATTTCTTCTCTCCCTAACCCTAACGCTTGATGTTTTATAGAGGATGAAGAAGATGAAAATGATGATTCTAGTGAAGGAGATGATCCAATTGAGCCTGAGCTTGATTGCAGGAACGGTTTAAAAAGAGAGGAATAAGAGGATGATTGCTGAGTCAGGGTTTAATGAAAGCCCCTTTAGACCCTGACTCAGGTTTTCAACATAGGCTGCCGAGCCTTAATTCAATCAAATCCTATTTCGAACCCGTAAAAGATGCAATTCAAAGCCAAAAAACTGCTCGAGCTGCAATTCAAAATGCCTGGCCATCAACGGCCGAAGAGTATCGATGGAATTCACCTGCCCCGAAACTGGCTTCACTCAAACCTTCACCAACCAGAAATGCAACAGAATTAGAAAAATGAACATGAGCGAAAATTGTGGAACACTGAGCTGTGCCTGTGCTGCAGAATTGACTGTGGCAGAGACTGGAAAAGGAATGTCTTTTTGTTTCAAACAGTGTTTAGGATATATTTTCAACCCTAAATCTTCACTCTAGAATCTTCTTTCGGAGCTCAAAAACCTGTGTAAAAACCTGACTCAGGGTCTCAAAAAGGTTTTTATGAAAAGACAGGACCCTGACTCAGGTTTTAACACAGGTTTTTGAGCTCACAATTCATTAGAAAAAAATATATGACTGTTAGTTTTTCCATTTTTCAAAACCAATATATCCTCAGTTTCAATCGAAACTTTTCCTGCTTCGAAATCAGCATAAAAATCTTTCCAAAAGTACTTTAAAATTTTCCCTGTTTTTAAGAATGATTTTAACTGAATCCTTACAGGTACCAAATTCGAATGCACCGCGGCGAAAAAGAAGCCTACTTACCGAGTCTACTGCGACGCCAACAACGACAATCGATTCAACTTGGGCGAGACGAATCAAGAGCGAAAAGTCAAATGCAAACGGGGAGCGATCAAAAGAAATCCTTTCAACTTGCAATGTTAATAAAAATATTCGAAAGACTCTTGCTTGTTTCTTAAAAAAATGAGTAAAAATCGCAAATTGATTAATAAAATATTAGCGATCGACGATCGTGGATTTGTTTTTCCTCAAATATCGTGACGAGACGCGTTAAATTTGTTTCCTGTAAAGTTTACAGTTGTAACAGTTGTTACAGTGTAAACTTACTGCTTACGATCAGCGAATTATTATGACTTAATCTTTCCTCAGGCACCAAGTGCTTTTCATCTCAAGCCTTTTCTTGTATCGCCACCTTGCGGTGCATGCCTCGACCGTCGCGTGCTCATAATACAACCAGACGGTTTAATTGAAAAAAAGCGAGATGAAGGTTTGTAGAGAGGATCGTTTGCAAAGAGAAAAAAATGTTCGATTCAAGCAACAAAAAATGCAATTTTAGAAGCTGTTTTCCCTCTTTGCCAGCGCAAGTGCCGCTTATTCCTACGAAACGACCGAGCCATATACGACATCGACTTCGATTGTCAGTACTACCGAGAGATTCACCGACTGCGGGGGCACCATCAAACAACCAACAACCTTCTCTTCTCCCGATTTCGGCTCCGAAAACTACCAGAATTTCCTGAGCTGCACCTGGAACATCTCTCTTCGCGGCGTCGCTGGATTCTGGATCGTGCCAAAGACTTTTGACATTGAATCTGTTAGTTTTTGGTGGGCAAGTTATCCAGACTACTTGAGCACACTTCCTAAATGCGCGTTCGACCATGTGAAAGTGATTGCAAACGAGGTGGAAAGCAACTTCTGCGGGAGCAACGCCGGTGACCGAACTATTGGCGACGAAGAAAAAGGAGGTAAAGAAGGAGGAAAATGGGTGCCTGATCTTGTGAATGTGAGCGAAGAAGGCTTCCCAAAAATGTTTGTCCTTGGCAGTCAAGCAACTGTCAGCATGTTCACCGATTTCTCGAATGAGAATACAATCGAATTTCCTGGAAATGATTTTAAGGGCTTTGAGTTTGAGCTCATTGAAGCTGATCGACTAGATATTATTGAACATCACTTTGGCGTAAGTAAAACATCATGAAAGAAAAATACAAAATGATTTTTTTAGAGAATCGCAGCTTCCCTCGCTGACGGCAAGAAATCGGGCCGATACGTGAATCGATTCCAAAAAGTCCTTGAAAAAGCTCGAGCTTCGTCCACTGGCGAAAACTGCTACGAAGAAAACGGCTTCGGAGCCTCTGACTCTTCCGATGATGTCCAAGTTTTCGACGAGAGCGACATGTGCACTCTCAATTCTCAAGTGAACGCGGCGCTCAACAGCTGGGCGAGAAACAACGCCTGCGACGGTCGAGGCAAGGTCTATCGACAGATCATTCGCGCTGCTCGAAAGATCAGAAATTTTTACAATTCTGTCAATGACTGCTGAATTCGCGAAATAAAAAATCCAAGAAATATTCTCTTCATTTTTGATTGTTTGCGATTTGCACGAGGTAAAGTGAATGAGTGACACTTTCAGAATAATAGAGAAAAGAAGGAGCTGACTCAGGATCTCAAGTCAACGCCTTCTCCAAAGTCCACTTTCCAAGTGCAGTTGTGATTTTTGTAGTGCCAGGGCTCTGTATCGAAATCAGGAGAAGTAATGACTGTGTCTGAGTTGATCTCTCCGCCGCAAGTTCCTTCGAATTCTCGCTCATGCGGCATGAGTCATGCCCGGCGAGGACCGAAATAGGCAGAAAATATAGGCAGCTTCATTCTTCTTCTTTTTTTTCGATTGAAAGTTTATTCTAGCGACAGAAGCGGGTGTCAATCTTGCTTGAAAACTCGTGTCAACTCTCTGCCGCCCCGGATGGAATTTTCTCGGGGACTTGAGCCACGTCCCCTTTTTTAAAACTTTTTGGCAGGGAATGATGATGAAGGAGTTTCTTTATTAGGTCAAGTACGAAAGAAAAATCTTGTCAGAAACTTTTGTTGGCAGAAAAGCTGAATTGATCGTGATGTTCTCTCGATTTTTGACATCGAAAAAGCTTGATTAAAAAAAGTCAGAATTTTTCATAAAAAAACAAACCTGTTTTCAAAAAGAAGAACGTGAGTTTCAGAAGTGCCTTCTTCCTCAAAATCATCGTTTTCGATGCTCCAGTTTTTGCTTTCGAAGATGTCCGTTATTTGCCAGAAGTCAGAGCGCAGTCCTTGAATGACAGTGGCGTCTTTGTTGAAGAAGTCGAAAACGGTGATGTTTGTCTTTTTTGCGTGATCGACGAGATTCTTAAAAATCGATGAAGAGAAAAGTCTTTTTTTTTTGTACCTTTCTGGAGCATTTTGTTTGAAAATCTCTGTTAGTCTTGTCAACAATATGCAAAAACCAATCCGGAAACTTCTCTTTTACATTCTAAAACCCTCTTAAATCCTCTTATCTCCCCGTTTTCAAACCCAAATGATTTCTTCAGAGCAGAGGCAATTCAACAATCCATCTTCGTTTCTCAAAATCCCCGCTGTGCACTGACAGTTTCTCGCTTTTTGAGAAAATAAAACTGAAAATAAAACAAAAAATATGAAGAAAATTTTCATTTTTAAAGAATGCGAAGATGCGCTTTGATTCTTTTCGGTTTTGAATAAAGGGAAGGGTCTCTTGAGAGCTTGATCAATGAAGAGCCACAGTTTTGCTTCTAGTCTTATGTTGAGTAAACTTTTATTGATAGTAACAGAAATCGTCGCAGCCTTCTGCACAGGAATCTGGATCGGATTCGAAGATAATCGGCCGATAACAGCTTCCTTCATGCTCGTTAATAATCATCGATGATGTTACGTTCTGACCATCCCACATTGCTCTCTCGACCTTACTGACCGATTTTTCAAAAATGAGATTCTTTATACATATTTTTACCGGGTTTCATATCCGCCAAAAACAAGAAAATAATCACCCAAATATATTGAAGACGCAAAAGGAAAATTCTTAAAAATAATAGCCAAAATAATAAAATTGATTATTGTTTACTGAAAGCAAAACACCGACTTTTGTCCACTGATCATTTCGAAAGAGATAAACATTTTTCGTATTAGTCCATTCGTCGTAATCATACAATAATCCACCAATTGTAAGAACTCCATTTGAGACAGACAGACAAGTATGATCAGAAATCGAATGAGGATGAGGAGTTGTATCTTGCCAACCGCTTATTTTCATGTAAAAGCAAATATCTTTTTATGAATCACCTTGAAGTTAGAATTTCTACACGATTTGAAGACGGATAAAAAGAACCAATAATCATCGGGGCATTTTCAAGTTCTACCATGCAAGAACATTTATGAGTGATTTGTGTCGAACTTATAGATTGAGATCTTTCTCCGTCAAAGCTCTCGCAATCAGCTGAGAAACCTCTACATAAAATAACTGACTCAGTTCCAGCAGAAACAGTCGCGAGGGATCCGTCAACAGCGTCGAAAAAATATACAAGTTCGATTCCAGTATTGATAATCTTACAGCCAGATAATTTTGAAATCTTGAATTTTTACTCAAATCGATATCGGACCTTGACAGAGCTTTCACCTTTTTTCTTTGACCTAAGAATGATCCAAAAAAGTAAACTTCTCCTTTAAAAATTGCATGACCAGACGCAAAAAGATATCCATTATACTCCAAAGGAGACTCATAATGTCGTTTTTCCTTTAACTCTCGTCAAAGAATGATAACATTTTGGCCAACCTTGAAACTTCCATCAGCAGAAATCAAATAACTGAAATTTGGTAAATCGAGGTATCTGTCCCCCTGGCAAAGCACTGTCACATAAGGCTGGCATTCGAAACCGCAATCACAAGAACAGCCCATCGGACAATTTTCCATGCATGGGCAGAAGCTCTTTTCTTCTTCAAACACATCATAGCAACCATCATAACAAGTCTTATTAGTCGTACAGGATTCGAAACAATCGTCCAATCTTCTCCGCGCCTCTTTAAGGCACTGTTTGAAATACTGGTCATTCTCAGGGCTTTTACAGCTGCAAATTGGATTCGCGCAGCTCTGGCAGCCGTTTGGGCAGAGCTCGTCACACGGGCAAGCTCGGTAGCAATCTTAAAAACATCAGCGAATTTCAGCAAAGACCGCTGGTTACCGGTCCATTCTCCAGCGCATTGGCGCTCGCAAGAAGAGCTAAAACAGCCATCTTTACATTTGATCCATTTTTCAAAGCAGTCTTCGTCGCATAATTCGCCAAGATCAGCATCACTTCGGTTGAAAAATATTTGATTGTCTCTTCAAAAAGTACTCTCTTTTACTTACGGACAAGACGGATCAATCCTTCGTCTCGATTTTTGAACCCCGGGTTCCAATTCTGGCTGAGCGAGAGCGTTAAAACTAAAAAGCGACAAAATGCACCTCATTTGAAAAGTCTCTTTTGCAAAACAACTCGAGTTTCCAACCACAATTCTCATGCTTGATATTTGCCCATGCTTGAGACCATTTGCATTTGCAGTAATAATAATTTCCTACAGGAACTTTCAAGGAATCGGTGTTCAGAGCCTTATTTTTAATTTTGACGCGGCAAAGATGACAAAAAAAAAGCTTATAGATGCGAAAAGACTATGATCATCCTAAATCAGAATATTTCAATTCTTACTGACCCACTTTCGTATAGAAGTGAAAACCGTAAGATGGCTAGGCTGGCATAATTAGGACCGGAGATGGCTTGACCCGGGCTGGCTATTATGTAGGATCATTTCCCGTCTCCCAAAAGGGGATTAAACGCCTGACGAGTCTGTAATCGATGCTTCAGCCATACATTTTCAGACCCATTTTTTGGTATTCAGAAGAGAAGAAAATAGACTGATAGACTCTACCAAGGTAAAATATCAAATAAAAAGAAAGAGCAGAGAGCTAAAAATCAGTGAATCCAAGTTTAAAATCAACTCCCTAATCAGTCAATTTCGTCTCAATTCTTGGCCATTAGGAGACGTCGTATCGATAATATTCGCGACGCGTTAATGACGAGCTGAAACGAGACGGGAGCTTTTCCAGCCATTAGCTTTTCCAGCCGTTAGCTTTTCCAGCATATTAGAATTTCCAGCAAGGCTGGAAAAGCTAACGGCTGGAAAAGCTAATGGCTGGAAAAACTTCTTTCTGATTGATATTTTTCTAATGAAAATATAGTTTGATAAATAAGTACTATTTTTATTAAAAATGTATTTACTTTGTGAAATATCATAATTAATTAATAATCGTCGATTAATATAAGAATTATCGAGAGATCGTTTTCAAAGGAGGTCAGGATTCTTGGTACTCCTTTTTCCGAGTTTGATACTGGAGTAATGCTACCCTTTTTGCCACTGATCCCTTTGAAGGGATTAGCGCCCGACGCCGGAGCCACTTTCCGCCCAGAGCGAGAGTTCGAAAAGTCCGAAAGTCGAAAGTGACAAAAAGGTTGAACATTACTCGCAGTACAAAAATTGGAACAAGGAGTACCAAAAATCCCGACCTCCTTTAACCCTAGCCGGCCAAAAATGATTTTTCTCGGATACCGGTCAAGATACTCCATATTTGGCGCCAGAGATTTACCCGCAAATAAGACTATACAAATGATAAAGGTCAAATTATATGTCTTTGGGGAAATAGATTAAATCCTGCCTATCAAGATGCAATAGAAAAAACCGCTCCAGAATGAGTTTCTTAGAAATTATACGTTAAATATTGTGAGGTACTTGGAAATGAGTAAAAACCTGCTCCATATTTGGAGTACCTTGACCGGCTAGGGTTAAAAACGATCTCTCGATAAATTTCATATTAATCGACGATTATTAATTAATAATGAATCATTATTAATGATATTTCAATCCAGGTGATACCGTCCGCTTTGAAATGACCTGGTGGAGAATGACTTGCTTATTTAACTGCCAGGTACTAGAAAAGAGGGTCTTTAAGGGTCCCTAATAGAGTTGAGGTACCAAATTCAAAAAAGTAATGCGGTGCGAAATTTTTATTTTTTCTGAGCTTCAATTTGCGCCCTTAACCTTCCCAAGATCTCAATCCAGTCAAAAGTTATTGATTCCCAACCTAAAAAAAAACGCGTCTAAGTAAATACACTTTTTAATAAAAAAAGTACTTATTTTATCAGTTTATATTTTCATTAGAAAAATATCAATCTGAAAGAAGCTTTTCCAGTATATTAGCTTTTCCAGCAAATTAGAATTTCCAGCAAGGCTGGAAAAGCTAATGGCTGGAAAAGCTAACGGCTGGAAAAGCTTATGGCTGGAAAAGCTCCCGTCTCAGCTGAAACGGCTCATTCTTCGAAAATACGCTTTGGACGTGGCTCAATGCAGAACAGTGATCTGCTTTGTTTTGCCTGAGAGTACGGAAAGTAGAGATTACTTTCTTCGCCCACTCAGAATTGCGTTTCAGAGCAAGAAAAATAAAGCATTAACACTTGCGGGCATATTTATCGAGCGTTTACGTGTCGCGTTTTGAAAGTGATTGACGGTGTCAATTCCGGAACAGCTAGAAATTAGAAAGTAATTGCAATTTTAGAAAGAGGAGAAGGGAAGAGGAAAATGGAAATTACGAAAGAGGAAATGATGAAGGAAGACAAGGAAGAGAACGGAAAGAAAAAGAAGAAAAAAGTTTCTTGGTGCAAGTAAGCGAAAAAAATAATTTTTTTGAGACAAAAATTTATCAAAGAAACACCCTTAATTAGATTAAGATTTATTCTCGTTTTTTTCAATAATTCATTGATCAAAAAATTATAGGCTTATTATTTTAAAACTTTTTTCATAAAAATATTAGAAAAAAAAAATAGATAAAATATTATTCAGAAATGTGTATTTATTCTCCGTTCCTTATTACAACAGAAAATGCAAGTCCCTCGACATCGACAAAATAAAAGACAAAGCGAGGGAAAAAATAAAAATCGAGCTCGACAACTTCAAGGTACCAAATTGATTTTCACGCTCCTTCAAATTCCAGCAGCGGAACGAAATGGAAGTTCACCACCAAAGCCGTGAAAACACGTCTTTTTACTATCCTCTCCAAAATCCTCATCACAGCCATCTTGGAAGAAATACTTGATAAAAATATAATTTTAGGACCGAAGAACATCGCCAAAATCAATCGAAGATTTTCTCAAGCTGTAAACATCTTTAAAAACAAAATAAATTCCTAAAAATGAGAAAATAGTCGCTTGACGGGGATAACCTCTTATCTCACGGCACGTGAGTCACGGGTAAAATTTAAACTGTGAACATATCATTTTCTTATTGATAGCAAATTTAGCAAAAATAATTGAGAACTTGAGCCTAGGAAGTTTTTTCAAGAAAGAATCAAACAAGAGGTGTTAATGAATGAAATTAAATTTTCCATGGAAACAAAAGATCAAAAGCGCCGTCAATTTGCACGAAGAAAAATGAAAAATGAGCCACTTTTCCAGAACGAGAGAAAAGAAGGAGCTACTCATTTCCGGGAAAAAGCCGGTTTGTTAAAATAGATTCTCTGTCAAGCTTTTCAATCAAAATTACCGTATAAGTGAGTAAGCTCTGGATGAAACCAGGCAGAAAAAAGGCCTGGTCCCTGGTGAGTAGATATGCTTTGGTGGATTTCTTAGCACGGACAGGCTATTATAGTTGAGCAGATGTTTGAAGAGGGGCTTTTGAGTGTTGTTTCTCAAACTATTCACAAACCGCTGGTCAATTCAATACAACCATTTTCAGAGTTTTATCAGAAAGAGAAGGAGAAAGTCGGTGCTTCTTTGATTTTCCGGGAAATTGGCATTTTCGAATATTTAAATGAAAATTTGACCCATTTTTACTAACAAAAATAAGTCATTTTGGGTGAAAATTTTTGCGAAAAATTTTCTTGGAATTTAATTTTTTCGGTTCAAAAGTGAATAAATCAAAGTCTTAACTTTAAGTTTTCAAAGTAAAATAAGGGTGTCATAATGCAAATTTGAATAGAAAAAGCTGCTGCAAAATGGCGATTATTGATGTCTATACTCTTAAAAAAGGACCTCTAAATTGAAAACAAAACCGATAGTCCTTCGTTTTTGTCCTAGTAAAAATCACTTGTTGAAAGAAAAAAACCGAAAAATCGGATCTTCGGCGGCCGTAAAAAACGCCGAGGAATGTAAGCGGGAAATTGTAAAACGCATGTGCGGCGCCGCAATCAGACGATTTTACGATTTAGTGCACTACTGCTCCTCGATCACGCTCCAAATCGCTTTTGACCGGCCAAGCGCAAAAATCAGAGACTATTTAACTGTTCACCAGTTCCGTTTTTTTTCACAAAACAACCAGTTCTTTTTAGAAAATCTAAAAAGAAAAAATACTTTTCAGAAAACTTTTTTCGTTAAAAAAGCGTGGAAAATGGGAGACTGGAAAACTGGACTTTTCGGTTGCATCACCAAGCCGGGAATCTGCTGCTTGAGCTGCTTTGTTCGACCGCTTGTTGCAGGTAAAATTCTAGAGATTGAAATTCGATTTTTTTCTGAGGACTTTTTCTCCTTGAAGACCCCCCTTCCGCTGGAAGAAAATGATAAAATGCTTTTTGACTCGGCAAACCTGAGCAAAGAACCTGAGTCAGGGTCTGCTAGATTTTTTTTTTCAAGAATCATTCAGACCCTGACTCAGGTTTTCTACGCAGGTTTCCGAGCACAGGTAGAACGAGATTTTACTTTTTTTAATTTAAAGAATAATTTAATGAAGAATTCAATTTCAGGAAAAAACGCGGAAAGCATTGGTGAAAACGGCGTGCTCTGGGCGATCGCCTCCTTCATCCCCTGCGGCGCCGCTCTCCTCCGAGGCCAGATTCGAAAGAAGAACGGAGTCAGCGGCGCGATGTGGTCCGACTGCCTCCTCCACTGGTGCTGCCCTTGCTGCGCTTCTGGCCAAGGTAAAACTTGCAGTAGATGTTGAGGAATTGAAAAATTAACGACGCTGAAAATGACCCCTTTTGTCGCGCTAAATAGCCGTCTGACCTTTTTAAATTCTAGAGGCGATGCAAACCGGCGCGCTCGACTACCTCCTCGAAGACGAAATGCTCGACAAGGCGACGAAAAAATACAACCAGGAAATCACCAGAACCTAACTTATCCGACCTTACTCCTCGATGTCTCCACTCTTCGCTAAATTTTACCAATTTCCTGCTTTTTTTTTAAATTTTGCTTGCTATTTTTGGCGCTGAAATTATTTTCCTTTTGAAATCAAATTTTATGCTACTCTTTGCACTTGAAAAATGATTTTATCAATAAAACATAATTTCTTACTAAAATTGGTTTTTATTTTCTACGTTGGAATGAAAGTGAAGGCCCCAAAAGAGGGTTTGCGTGAGAGAACTGGGTTTTACTTATCGTGACAGGAATCGGAGACGGCGATTAAATACGGACGGTAGGAGACAAAGAGGCGCAGCAGTTCGGAGAGAAAGAAGTTAAGCTCCTAAAAAAGTGATGATTAAGGCTCTTTGTGAAGGAGACTTACAGAGAGCTTAGACATTCATTTCGTCTTCAGGAAGACCCAACCTCTGCAATCTGAGCCTGCGTAGTTCCTGTCTGAGCTCCATTTTTTCTTCGCGATGGCGTCGGCATTCTTTCTCAAGTCGTTCGATCTAATACAGTGAAGACTCAAAAATTGGCCGGTTTTCAGATCCAGATTTCCAAAAAAGCGGCCAAATTTTGAGTTTTTCGCCGAGTAGCCAAGTTTCCCCTTCAAAAAAGCAAAATTTCGAATTATTCGAAAATAGGCATTATTTACACATTTTTAATGAATTTAATTCAAATATTTTCTTGTTTGAAGTCATTTGTATTAGAATTTTGTAATTTAAAATGAATGAGACACTTTTAAAAAGCAAAAAATGATCAGAAATATCATAATTTGGGCTCATTTTTGATACAATTTTTTAGATTTTTTAAAAAGCGGCCAATTTTCGAGTCCATTTCAGGTTCATGAATCAGTCAATTTCGACCGAAACCGGCCAAATTTTGAGAAGGCAAATTTTGAGTTTTCACTGTAGTATAATTAGTATTTGATGAATAAAATATCATTAATAAGAGCTTATAAAAAAAATTCATCAAAAATAGAAAATTAATTTTCAATACAAAAAGCCAATTTTGGACAAAATTTTCCAAACCATCAAGAAAAATTTCTGACTAAAAGATTTTCCTTTTAGTTTAAAGTCAACAATTTAAAAAAACGAAAAGACTTACTTGATTTCTTTGGAGTTCAATTTTGTCAAAATATTTATCCAATTTATCGTTGTACTCTTCAGCGAGTCTAAAAAAATTAAAATCAAGAGCAATGACAAATAATTAAAATTTGTTGTTTTATTTATTACCCTTTGAGTGCTCTTAAGTTCCATCGGTTTATCATCAGCAAGAGTTTCGTTGGACAGAAAATGGCAACGGCAACCAGTGCGGCAAAGGCCAGGAATCCATATATCATATATTTATGATAAATGGATACCTCGATTTTTTCGGGGCAATGCATTGAAATCATCGGTATTGTACTGTCTGTACCTGAATCAGATACCGTATCAGCAGAAAACAAGAACATTCTTAAAATTTTTGTCTTGACCGACTCCTGCAATTTTTAAATACTTTGACGATCATAATTTTTAAAAATTACCACAATAACAGGCTTTTTAACGTTCTTGAATCAAAAGAGAATAAAAAAAAAACATTATTAGACCAGAAGAAATAAAAAATTAATAGAATGCCTGACCCTCTCTTGAACAGAAAATCCAGGGTTTCTCTTTTTTACTGCAATCTCTCGAAAAAATTTCGGCGGAATGTGTCAAAAATTTGACTTTTCTTCGAATGAAACGAGCGCTATTCGCAAATCTGCAAGCGCCATCAAAATTCAAATCAGATTTGCCATCTTTTCAGTTGCTCGAAAAATCCCGCAGCAATTTTGGAATTTTTAAATCGAGCGAAAATTAAAAAAAAGAAATATCTTCGTTATAAAAAATATACAAAAATAAATGAAGGCCATAAACTTATTAGTAAACAAATAATTAAGATTTAGTTAAAAAGAAACTCTTCGTTGTTTTCTTGATGATGAAGAGTAGAATCCCCAGTGCGCATCAGGTGGTCAATGCGTGGTTCTAGCAACAGTAAGATTTTCATGCAAATTGGAGACAACAACGACTGCTGAGCCAAAGAACGACAACAAGACAAAGAAGAACTCGGAGAACGACAAAAAAACGCCTTCTACGATTTGGTGCTGTTACTCTTATCCATTCAATTAGAAAAGGAGCGAAAGCACCACAAAGTTTAAAAAAGCTCTCTCAAGTGGTCAGCACCGTTTCTCCAAATGTCACGTGACGGGAAAGACCTTTTGAACAACTAGGGGCTTAGGCACACTGAATTACTTTCAGTTCTTCTCTTTTATAACGCTAGAATTGATCAAAAATCGGTATATATTTTATTTACAAACAAGATTCGTTTCCCCTTCTTTCAAGTCTTCTTTTTCTTGAAAAAAGAGCGATAATTACAGTCAGAATAAAAATCATTTTACAAAAGCAAACTCAAAGTTCAATTTTCGGCTTCGTATTCAGACGATTCCTCAAAATCCTCAGCAATTTCGTCAGCTTGATTTTTCTTCAACAACTCGCCGGACTCGCAGTCGACTCGTTTCAAACGGCTTCCAGTTTTGTTGAATTTGATCTTTTTCACTTCGCTTGGGTCGATTCCGTTCTTTTCAATCGAGTTCTTTTGCCTTGAAAAATTTGCTTTGAAAACAAGGAGGATTTTTTTTCTTACTTGCGAACTTGAGCGGCGAAAACTTGCTGAGATTTTTTGATCAAGTGGCATCGTTTTCGCTTGAAAAAGCAGCGGCTTCGGAAACTCCAGATTTTGCCAGTCAGTTCTTGATCTTCCATGTTTTTCACTCGGCCGCAGATCGATGAACTTGGCTAAAAAGGGGATGAAAATTTTAATATTAAATGAGATTCTACCTCTGCAAAATCGTCGCAATTGATTTCTGAGCAAAGATCTGGAAATTTTTCGTCGAGTTCGTGCATCGTTTCTGAAGCTTCATCTCCTCCTGCCATTCCCACGTCCATGAGCATTCCACTAACTGCGGAAGAATTGTTCTTTTTAGGATTGTTTTTTGCTCGTTTTGCTTTTCGCCAGGCAACTCGTTTTTCGTAGCGAGAAAGCTGCTTTTCGGCCTTGATTTCGTCTTGATTTTCTTCTAGAAAGGGAGAAAAAGCGGGAAAGGAGATGAAAAAACTCACCTTGGGTGGAAACAACTTGACTTCGAGCGTTGATAAGCGATTGCTTTCCTTTCGCTTTTTTGCGGTTGATTCGGTGTTGAATTCGTTTTTCTCGGCGGGCCTTTGCTTTTTCCATTTTGCTTCGATTCCCTCCTGAAAAAGCTGATACTGCGAGGACTCAATTCGGTTCTTACCGGATCGATCGAGTCCATTGCCAATTTGAGGCCTTCGTTTTGATTCTAGCGCTTCGTGGAAAGCATGGAAGGGGTCGGATTCGCAAACTCCATCGTGTTCGATTTCAATCTTTTTCTTTTTCGGCTCGAAACACAAGGCAGAAAGAAAGTGGCACTCGTTGAAGTACGTTACATCATCGCTTCCGCAAACTGGCTCGTAGTGCTCTCTAGAAAAAGAGGATGAGGAAGGGGAGGAAAAGGGGGAGGCTTACTTGGAAGAGGGGCATTTTTGAAACTTTCCATCAACGAATTTTGGGTAAGCATCGATGCACTTGGGGTTTTGAGTCGGAGCAGGAGTCGTTGAAGCTTGAGTGGTTTGCAACATCGTTGTTGTTTCTAGTGCTTAGGTGAAAAATGTAAATTCTAGAGCTCTATCTACCGATTTCTTCTTCCTCCTCTTCATAATCTCCTCCTTCTAGAGCTGCATCAAACAGAAACAGCTGATCAGAGTCAAATTCGTCTTCGTACTCGACATTTACAGTTATCACGTGATCGTCGCTAGAATTCGTTTAAAAACTCATCAACGATCCTCCGCTTACTTGACTTGGAAAAGCGGCGAATCATAATCAGGCTGGTCCTTGTTCCAGTCCGGATCTTTCGCCTCCATGTATTCATCGTAATCGTCATTGTGAATCGTTCGATGGCAAAAGCCGTGGTGGAGGATTTGAAGATCGGGGGAGTCGGAGCATTTTCGCTCCGTCAAGACGCAGCTGTTCGGGTAGCTGTTTCCATCGGTTCCGCAAACTTTTTATTGGCTTTTTTTTTCTTTCAAAAAAGATTTGGTCGCCTGTGATTGGCTGCTTCGAAAAATTATGGCTTTTGATTGGATGATACGAAAAAATCCGGGTTTTGATTGGCTGACGGGAAAATTTCTGGCTTTTAATTGGCTGATGCGAAAAAATCTGGCTTTTGATTGGATGAGGAACCCAGGCCGAAAAAGGTATCATGAAGCAAATTTTTCAGAAAAAAGCCATTCCTGGAAGCAAGTTGAGAGTGCATCCCCTTAAGCACTCCGTATCTGCCCTGGCGATTCCCGCGTACGCGGCCGCTTTGGCGCTCGGCTCTTCCGCTAACAAAAACAAAATTAAACAACTTTAAACTCAAGCCAAACAAATTGCGGCGAATCAAGAAACCTTCAATTTCTTCTTCCACGACCGAATCCATCAGCATTCCTTCTCCCTCGTAGCCCGAGCAGTCTTCTCCGTCGCAGCAGCTGCCGAAGTGCTCGAAGAAGACTTCTTCGCCTTCGCATTGTTTTTGGAAGATGGCGCATTCGTTGTTGTAGGTTTGGCCGTCCGTAGCGCAGACTTTGCTGCCGCGGGTTTTGTTGCATTGGACGGGGCACAAATGCTGAAGAAAAATTTTTAACAATAAAACGGCTGGGCTCGCCAACCTGAGTCATGTTCCAAAAATGGAAAGCCGCATAGCGGCTTTTTTAAAAACGAAGCCGCAAAGCGGCTTCGCCAGAAATTCAATTTCATCTATTTTTCAAATTTTTAGAGCCGCTTCGCGGCCTTCTTTCGAGAAAAGCCGCTACTAATCCTTACCGTTATTCTCGGCTCTTCAACCTGAGTGAAAACCCGAGTCAGGGTTTTGCAAAAGCTTTAATAAAAGCCGGGTAGCGGCTTTTCTTTTAAAGAAGCCGCGAAGCGGCTTTAAAGGCAAAGATAAGATTGAGATTGTAATTTTGGCGAAAATTACGCGGCTTTTAAAGAAAAGCCGCTACGCGGCTTTTAATCAAACTTTTGCGAAAGCCTGAGTCAGGTTTTCCACACAGGTTGAAGAGCCGAGAATAACGGTTCCATTTTTAAAAATCAAAAAATCACAGAACACGCGAGCGTGAAATTCTCAATTTTCGAGAAAAGCTCGCTGACATTTTCGAACACGAAAAGTCGAGTTCCGCTTTTGAACTTACTTTCTGTTCGAGCTGAGAAATGTTGATTGAATCGAGGTGCTTGCTTTCTCCCTCGCAAGCTCCATTCGCAACTTTATGAACGACGACTCCGGTGACGCATTTGTAGTGTTTGAAGACGCACTGGTTGGCGTAGGTGACTCCGTCGCTGCCGCAGATTTCGTCGACTTTCTCTGGCGCGTTTTCGACTCTTTCGCAAATCTTAAAAAATTTGCTATTTGTTGTTGAGTCATTTTAACGCTATTAACATCTTTCCTCTTTTTTTTCGCCCGTTTTGCGGTTACAAAATTAGTTCCACTTACGCTGAGCACTTTTTAGAAATCCTAGTCTCTTTCCTCTTTTAAAATGAACCTTAACCCGTTAACAGGGCAGTTGGCTTTTGCCTGAGCAAAAGCCCGTCTATGATTGATGGAAATCGTGGATCCGGGCATGTGATTGGCTACTCATTTCCACGCCTGTGAACGGGTTAAGATCAGAGTTGCTAATTTTGCTTTATTTTCGCTGATCTCAGCGACGAGAAAAATTCTCTGAGCTGAGCCGAGCTGAGCTGGCCTATTTCGGAGCTCATTGAGCTGAGCTGCTCTTTTTCAGAGGTCACTGAGTTGAGCTGAGCTGGGTGAGCTAAAATGAGCTGTTTTTGACTGTTTTTTTAGTAGAAAACTTGTGTTAAAATCCTTGAGCTGAGCTAAGCTGAGCTGAGAATACTTCTGTGAGCTGAGCTGAGCGGAACTGATCGTGTTCGAAAATAATTGAGCTGAGCTGAGCTGAGCAGCTAAGATCATATATATAAATCACAGCAGTCGCTTAGCTCAGCTCAATTATTTTCGAACATGATAAGTTCCGCTCAGCTCAGCTCACTTAAATATCACTCAGCTCAGCTTAGCTCAGCTCAAGGATTTTAACACAAGTTTACTACTAAAGAAACAGTAAAAAACAGCTCAGTTCAGCTCAAATTCTTTAAAAAAGGTCCGCTCAGCTCAGCTCACTCAGCTCAGCAAATTTGCAACTCTGCTTAGGATCTAGCTCTAGAAAAAAGTTGCTTTAGAAAATTTCAAAATCAAGGCTTTTTTAAGGCCTTTCTGATCTTTTTGGCGGTTGTTAATAACGTTTGAAAATATGAGTTGAATTTGATTTGGCGACCGCGGAAGCAACTCAAAAATTTTTCACGCTAATTTTTAAAAATTCGCCAAATTCAAGTTTGATTTCGCTTTTTTCTTATTTTTTCTAAACTGCTCAAAAACGCCGCCCAGAGCGTGTCTGACGTCGGAGATGAATAATTTTAAATATTTCATGTCAATTATTACGAAAAAATTTGAGAAGTGGTGAAAATTTAATTTATGCCGCACGCGCGTTTCTCCTTCTTTCTCCGCGAAAAAATTGACACTGGGGATTGAAATTGAGCGCTTTTCTTACTGAAATCAAAGTTTCGAATTCTCTTTTTCGTTCAAATTAATCTGAAATTGCTAAAAAAATGTTAAATTTGTTCTTGTTGGTGCATCAAAATTTCATTGGTAAAAATTATAGAACGAAATTTCGTCCATTCATGATTTTTAAAATAAGACTGTGACACCCTTATTTATCTCATAACATAAAAATCGGAATCGTTTGAGAAATCCTAATCAAAAAAATTCCAAAATCTTAAGGGCTTCGACGTCAAATCGCTGGTGAAAAACTTCTTCCCTTTATTTGAGAGCGAAACTTTAAGGGTATCCCCGGGTTAACCATTTTTGCACTAGAACTCATTCTGAGCTATATTTTGATACCAAAATCATTTGATTTCTTAAATGTATAAAGGGAGAAATCGCTGTTCGAAAATTTCGTGAAAATTTCGACGGGAGGCTCCTTAAGTTTTGCCTAGTTTGTCCGAAAGGGATCATTCTCTTCTGTACCTTTTCATTTGGCGCACAATCTTCATCAGCCCTGCTCGAAAGCAACAGAGTCCAAAGCAATTTCATTTTCCAAGTTATTTTTGATTTTCTCTCTTTCAGAAAATAAATAAACAAGAAAAATGAAGAAAATGAAGAATTGCGCTTCTAACGAGACGCTTCCACTTTTTCGAAAAGATCAAAGCCCAATTGTCGGACGCCGCTTGCCAGCGCCAAATGACAAAAAGCCGCGCGCGAGCGCCACCTGAGATTCACGATTTTTCTTGAGATGAATGAATTGAGATGAAATTACTCTTTTTCATCCAAGAATAATCAATGTCGCTATACGGCTTTTCAAAAAGATTTTTCAGACCCTGACTCAGGTTTTAAATACAGGTTTCCGAACCCAGAGATAGACTTGGGGGATTCTTCGATGAATAAAAAGTCTTTTTTCTCTGACATCAAATATTTTTTGAAATTTAAAATTTATCGCTTCGTAAAAACCATAACTTGATCCGAGGAAAGAGCAGACCAGATTTTTTAAATCGCAAAATCATTGATTAAATAGAATAATGAACATTACTAATGTGCGTTCTAACATAGTGTAACCCATTGATCTCAGGAAAAAATCATAAATCCTAGAAGCAAACGTTGAAGCTTAAACTTCTCGGACAAACCAGGTTCAATCCAAAAACTCGGTTGACAGAAATTTCCGGCTCATCTTGAACCTTTCAAAAATTCTTCGGAATCCCAGAGCTCGCCAGGAACAAGTCCACGAACGCCAGAACTTACAGTTATTTTATCGAACTTTTCAGTTTCCCGAACCGCCAATTTACTCATATTTTCCAATGACCTTGATTTTGGGAGAGTCGAATGTGTTAACTTTTATCATAATTTCACAGCTTTTCGAAAATTTTGCAGAACAAGCCGCGAAATCGTTGAATTTGAAGAAAAATTTGCAATCTTCCCGTTATGAACTTCTCGGCTCAGAAACCTATGTTGAAACCTGACTCAGGATTCTGAAAAGCGGCTTTGCCAAAATTTTACTTCAATTTGTTTAAAAGAAAGCCGCTTCGATTTTGACTCGGCAACCTGTGTAGAAAACCTGAGTCAGGGTCTGACGGATCATTTTTAATCTTTCAGACCCTGACTCAGGCTTTCGACACAGGTTGCCTGAGGAAAACCTGAGTCAAGGTCCTTAAAAATAGCGAAAATGTAAAACGGCGGAGTTTTGGCTCGGGAACCTGTGTAGAAAACCTGAGTCAGGGTCTGACGGATCATTTTTAATCTTTCAGACCCTGACTCAGGTTTTTCACACAGGTTGCCGAGCCGAAACTCCGCCGTTTTTCATTGGCGCTTTTAAGTACCCTGACTCAGGTTTTCCTTATCGGCTTTCTCCCAAAATCTACAGTACAAAAAAGCAGTAGATTATGATGTGTCAACCTTTTTCTCCAACTCATGAGAAAAAAGGAAAGAGCAAAAGCAAATTTATTTTCCACCGCCGCCAAATAAAATAAGGTCATTCCCATTCTGCTCTTTTTAACAAGAAAAAGGGCCACTTTACGAAAAGGATTTTTCTTTTTTCGTCAGAGCGTGAAAATTACTGCGGCGATTTTTTCCAAAACGTGAAATGGGCTTGCGTTTTGACAAAAACGTTTTCGAAAAATGCTTTTTTTTTAGAGTTCATCTTTTTTATCGCCAATTTGACTCACTTTGATTCATAAGCAATAAATGATGAAATAATTATGACCAAAATTTTGGTCAAACTTTTAACCAACCAGACTCTGAGATTTGGCCGGAAAGCAAATAAGATTTGAGAAAAATTTGACGCCAAAAATGAGATTTCTTCACTTAGTAATAAATTCTTCCATCAGATGGGGTCCTCCGGGGTCCTCCGAAGATCCATGTGATAGAATTTCTCGAGTTTTATTCGGTCATTTGCCGAGAAATCAGGAAATCCCAGTAATTCCCCGGAAGAGTTTATTCTTCTTCTTCTTAAAACTCTTCCAGTACGGGGGGTCCTCCACGAACAAAGAAAATGAAATCTGCTCGCTTGGTGTCGCTAATTACTTTCGTTTTCGGGGAAATCATCAAAAATCATCGGCATTTCTATTTCAGAGATGATTGGCCGCCCAGCTAAGCGAAATTTGATTGGTTTAAAAATTTGACCAAAATTTTGGTCAAAATTGTCGATTCGAGGTTCCTTCTGATATGGCTTCGGCAAATTGTGTAAAAAACCTGAGTCAGGTTTTTCAGATTTCTGAGACCCTGACTCAGGTTTTTTACACAGGTTGCAAAGTCTAGCAACCGGGATTTTAAGTAAAATAACCCGCTCAAAAGCGTATTAATCGGATTTAATCTTTTTGCAAAAAAAAAGATAGAAACAATCAATAGTTGACAGACTCGAGGTATTTTTCGATCATCTGCACTTTCTGAAAATGAAACACTCTGATTTTCCGATGATCGCTTTTCAAGAGGCTATTTTAACGCGATTCGGGAGAAAACCGAAGTGCCAAAATGAAGAGGAACAAACTGGAGATTTGAATTCAGCGTTTCAAAAAGGAATTGCTGAAATTCAAAAGATTTTGAGATTTTTTTGAAAAGATTTTTAATCAGACATTTTTCGTGGAAAAAGACCCACAAATTTTCGCAAAAATCTCGAAAAATATTTTCTGAAATCTGATTTGCCTGCCAACAAAATGCACGAATCTAATTGGCCCAAAATTTTCTCAAAATTGGGGTAAAAATTGTCGGGTGAAAACTGTCGATCTTATTGCCCTTCCGACAAAAAGCGAAAATCTGATTGGTCCAAAATTTTTCAAAGATTTTAGTTTGAATTTTGGTCTAAAATTGTCGATTGGCGCAGCCCGAATTTTAAAGGCAAATAAATTCAAAATTAAAAAGCAATTTCCAGAAGCATTGTGGGATCGGAATTTTCCCCGAGCTCACTTCTCGCCCGTCCCCTCTCATCTCTTATCATTAGGCCAGGCGCCTCGCGCACTAGAAATAGCCCTGCACTACCCTGAACAAGACACTCTCTGAATTACTGAAATAAAACAATAGAACCGGCCAAGTAGAGTCCCCTTCCTGCAGGAAACCAAGAGAACAACTACGAGAGAAAGTTCGGATCTCTCATCTGGTGACCTCGCTACGAATTCGCGCCCCAGCAGAGAGCCAGAAAAGGAAAGGGTTTTATATTTCATGTCAGATGCTTCAACAATTATAAACAAAGCGTTACACTATACGAGTAAAGTATCAGCTGCCATAAGACAGAGTCTTCTTTTTCTTCCATTGGTACACGGAGACGAAGAAACACAGACGAACTACAGACAGACAAATCAAATACCTACGAACGCTGAAATTGTTGAACGCTTGAAAGAACTGAATCTTGAATACATTGTTTTTATCTTTTCTACATATCGCGGACGATTCTTTCTGATCCCGATCGAACTTCGAGAAATTCCAGTCTACAGGAATCAAGTCAAAGCTTTTTCAACACTACTTCACGATTTTAAAACGAACGAAAGTCTCAGAAGAAGAACATCGCTATTAGACGTTGAAGAGCTCCTACAACTTACAGACGAAGGATTACCCGGATTTGTTATCTACGCAATAAGAACAATAATCCAGACGGTTAACATTAATAAACCAATCGTAAACAGTGGATTAGAAATTGCAGTTCAAATGGAGCAAGAAAATGCCAGCGAAGGTTCTAATAATGAAACAATTTTCGAAGATGCTGTAGACGACGGTCCAGATCAAATTGATGAAAGCATTAGACAGACTGAAGACGAAGTAAACCGGACATTCAGTGAAAACCCGCTGTTTAATGAAGAAGCAACATTTACGCGACCGAGGCCAAGAAGCTACCAAGTCAACAACACAACTGATAGCAAAGACGATTCCGACAATTGGGCTGAAAAATGGAAAAATCACCGAATTCCAAAGTTTGCCGATTCCGGTCTCGGAATAAAAGACTGGGCAAACAAAGTAATCTTTATGATCGACTTTTCACGAAAACGGCCATTGAATGATAAAGAAAAATGCCAGCTTTTTGGAAAATATTCCGACGAAATCATTTGGCCCGATACTTGAGTCCTTCTCCCAGACAGCAAATAAAAACTATGAAGACCTTCTATCTGTACTCGAAAATGAGCTACAAATTGACGAAGCTGAAGCGAGCATGTCCCTCGCCAATCTCAAATTCGAAGAGTCTCGCGACAAGGACCTGAAGCGCTTTTTTGAAAAAATAATGAAATTGACGAAAATCAAATATCCGAATTTGGACAAAGAAGGTCTCCTCACAACGAGTATGGAACACTTTGAAAAGCTCATACCGAACTACATAAAAAACTCGGAAAATTGGGGATTGGACGTTTACGATGACAGTGATCCGATGAGAAGAATCCAACTTGCTAATAGACTATACAACCTTCACAAAAGCAAGCGATCAGTCAATACATTCTCGGATAACAGGAACAAAAGTGGTCAAAAACATAACTCATCTTCCCAATCGAAATCTTGTACAAATTGTGGGAAAAGAGGTCATATTCGCCCAGAATGCCGCTTGCTTCCTGAATGTCATGGCTGTGGAAAAAGAGGACATTTAAAGAAAGAATGTCGCAGCTCAGCTAGAAAGGATAATCATCAGTCTAGAGGTGGTCATTCTGGCAGTTCCCGTGGAACCGGCCGAGGATATTTTCAAAATCATACTCAGCAACAAGGGCGACAACAGTATCAAAGCCAGCAGAGTTCCCGAGGAAACTTTAGACCAAATGGGCAAAACCGAAACTGCTTCAACTGTAATTCGCCAAATCACTGGGCAAAAGACTGTCCGCGACCTCGGCGCCAAGTTAATAATATGAACTTGGGCAACTCTCAACCTCAAGGTCATGAAATGAGAAACACGCCGTTCATTCAAATCGACAACTAAAAACCCTGCTAAGATTTTGTAAATATGCTGCCGCTCATTTCGATCACGCTAGTCCAATACGATTCTGACGAGGCTGAAACAACTGTCGAATTATCGAACGTTTTGGTGGATACCGGAGCAGAAACAAGTCTTGTATCATCCGATGATATTCCACTGA